TTTTTTTTTTCGTAATCATAAAATTACGGCGTTACATGGAGTTGAAATTTCGCATGACGTCTCGTTATGGTACTTTTTCTACTTAACTGTGACGTAGCGAGCCCCCACTCCTCAACTTTAATGCCTGTTATCTAAGCTATTTCTTGTTAAATTGAAGTAAAAAAAAATACATATCTAATATTTTTCTATTATCTGCTTACGAACTAAATAGAATTGCATTTTTTTTTTACCCAGTCATCGTCCCTATTACGAAAGATGAATAATAAAAAAAAACAATGTTGAATATCAAAGACAAAAAGTTTACTGAAACCTAGGACGAAATAAACGGTGGTACAGCAATACGATCTATTAAAAAGGCAATACAATCGTTTTTTATATGGGAGTACCCTTAAATACTTTTTATTCTGTTTTTTAGTAGTTTACATCATCTGTGAAACTTTCAACTGTCTATCACAGTTCATACAGCTTAATGTGACGACAGACAGAAGCACCGTGGAGTCTTTGTAAGATTTCATGATAAAAATATACAAGAACTTTCTAAAGCTTGATATTTCAGTATGTTGAAGTACTAAGAGTATACATCACTCAGTATCCAATGTGGAGATCAGGTGCTGGAACACCTGGTAGCGATGAGGTAATGTATGATTGTACAAACATCCATTAAAATTATTATTAGTTCAAAGCAACATTACCAGTAAAAAATCAAACTCGCTTTCTGTCTCCTCTCCCTCTCTCCCTCTATGTCTCTCATTTACACACTCTCTCGGCCTACAAAGTTTGGTATTGTACTGGGCGGTACTGGGTAAACACATACCTCCATTTTTGAAAATGGGATGGATGAAGGTACTAAAGCAAACGATTAGTGTCGGAGGTTGCCATTCATACGTCTGTGGACGCAGCGCTGTAGTGTTTGATTTTGGTGATATTTTATAAAATCAGGCGTTTACTTGAGAAAGTACATTGTAATAGTAGCTTCCACGTGTAATCAGTACCCACCAGACATTTGTGCAGCACCATCTAACCGGACGAAATGCAAATCTCACAATCCCCAAAGAACGAAATTGGGAGATTTTTTTTACAAATTGTTCTTATAATTTTGTGAAAAGGTCCTACGTCCGTTGCAGCCACAGATAAGATGCACCATAAATTGTCAAAAATGAGTTTCTTTGGAGTGTTATTATTTTTTCGAAAACAGATGCAATTACTTTTTCCGAGAAATAGGTTCATATTAATTCGTACGAGTACTAGGTACAGTGACGCGATTTATGTCACATTCTGTATTCAAAATAAAGTAAAAAGCATAGCATAACATTGTTATGCAATGTTATTAAAAGGCTTAGATTTACTTGGTTTCCAAGTTCCGACCAAAGACTGTCAAATGTATTATTAGTATAATGGACCTATAGATCTTTTCTATGATAATATGCATCTATAGATCGTCTCCGAGGTGCCGGGTTCAATTCTCGATCATGTCAATGTAGAAAATGAACTTTTCTATATTATCTCGGGTCTGGATGTTGTAGTATGTACCTTTCTTGCTTCTGATAATACAACTGGTTTCGATTCCAAACCTAAATTTAATCTGGGGTCTGCACATCTTGCGAGGCCCCTTCAATGCAGCAAAGAGACATTTACGAAAAAAAAAGTTTCATTTAAAAAAAAAATATAAAAATCGACATATTATAGGCAATTAATAGAGAGATGTATTGATCTATATTTTCTAATATTCTAAATTAATTGTGCTTTGTTATCCAAAACATTTGTTTATTTTCACATCGTCGCCGACCGTATCCCTTGTGAGGTAGACTGAGGTACATACCTTCATCTGATCTGCATAATGTTGTCTATTATCATATATACCTTATATATTAATTAAACATAAAAATTTATAGATCAACTGTAATAAATTACTTGCATATTTGATATAATGTTTATTATCAATGTAATATAATTAATATAAGTAGAGATTAAAAACCAATCATTGAGACACATTCGTACATTAACTGTACATACCTAAGTTTATTAGTGAATACAAGTAATTCTTATCTCATAATAATAACAGGGAATCTAACACGATATAGTCGGTATGATTTTCTAACACTAATCAGTATACAGACGTCTGTGCATTAGTGAAACAAGATATAATTCCATACAATATCGAACCAAGTGTCTCACAAATCTATTGAAATCGAAACTCTAAGTTATTTTTCAATAAATAAAAGGTTAGTAAGATTATTAATTAATATGAAAATCGACTTAAAAAGGGAATGAAAAGATTTATTTAACCCTGTTCATATGTTCAAGTCGGGCGAAAGTTTTATTAAAAAAAAACAGAGTCCATAAAATAATACTCATCTTAAAGACAGTGCATGGAGTCTCTATATATTTCTATAATCGCCCGAATTTATAACTTTTAAGACAGGTGTTATTTTTCAGATTATTGATGTCGTTTTAAATTAAAAAAATAAGTCTATAACTAACGTCAATGGCGTCGCTAAGGGGTGCCAGGAGGGGCAGCGGCCCCTACCTATACATTCAAAAAAATTGCTTAATGTAAAGCAGCTAGAGTCCTCAGTGTGACTTCACTTGTTTAATTGATAATTCCCGTACGTCGAAACTCGAATAAACTTACCAATTCAAGTCCAACACTCAACTACGTTCTGCTCTATACTATTGGTTAAGCGAGAGTGGTATACATTGAAACTCCTTTAAATATTTTATTATATTTTTCTAATACATGTTTGTACTCTGTACTGTTGTTATTACCATTGACGTAGATGTAAGGCTCGCACTACAAGTAAAAAGCTTCATGTGCTCTCGATTTGCTACAATTCATACTTAGCTCATTCTCCATAATCAACTGCCCCCTGGACTATTGGCTGGCGATCGGTAAGGTTTCTAACTTTGTTTGTTTGAAGGGGGTTCTCTTCGGAAATAGAATAATCTAAACATGAAAAGTCTTTCACTTATGGAACAGACTATAATTATTATCCAACACTCTACATCATAATTAGAAGCCAAGTACTTATCTAACCACATAACAGAAAATTATTTTAAATTATTTTATTTTTTCGATTCTTAACCACATTTTATTTTTTTTAGTTGAGAAAATCTATATACAAGTCTTACGACACATACTCGTGTAAGGAAAAATGCGCTATAAAGGCACAATTTTTCTTACCTAGTAAATATAATTATAAATACAGATGTAACATTACAAAATAACTATGATTTTTTTAGATAACAACATAACGTCGCCTCTGATAATAAAACCAAGGTGGTCTGCTTCCAAACATCATAGCATTGTAGCATAGTAGATATATGTAGGTGCCAAGACAATTATTATAAGATAATTTTTGTTTTGTTACTGAACAATCATGTTACATATTTATAGATTATGATTTATAGATTATACTAGCTGTTTTCCTGCGACTTCGCCCCGCGTAAATTATAGCTTATGTCAGCCGCTTATGATGAAGCTACCCGGAAGTAAAAGAACTTTCATAATCCCATCAGTTTCCAAAGATTACCCCTACGAACAAACAAAGATAATATGTTTACCTCTTCATATTACTAGACATCCGCCTGTTTAAGTTTTAGATAAATACTTATACTATTTATTTGCATCAGTTTCTGTGCAACAAGAAACAGATAAATCGTAATTTAAGATTTTCGTACTCTTAGTCCAGAATTCTTTTCATACTTGTAAGTCCCGATAAAAGAAAATTACATATATAAACTTCATCCCCCTATTTCGACCCCATAGAGGTTTAATTCATAAAAATCCTTGCTTTTTCCTCACTTACAACATGAAAGTGACCGTCTATCAAATTTCAGGTACAGTAAATTTCAGTTGTGCATTGATATTAAAGTCAGTCAGGTTTGCCTTTTAAAAGATAGAATTGTAGTTTGATATCTCTTTTTAAGAAAATTATGAAGATGTTTAGCACAGTTTAAATGTACATATGTATATAGAAAAGGCATACTGCTATGTTATTCTAAACGTGACATCGAGCTCAGCGCTGTCACGTCATAGAAAATAATAGTAATAAAGCATTTATTTTGTCAACACACTTAACAGTTAAGTACATACAGCAATTAAAAGTGTAAATAAAAATGTTGTTACCTTTTCAAGCAGTATTTATTAAACCTCTACGTCATGACAGCGCTTGGCTCGTCGTCGAGTTCTAGCTACTGTGGTTCTAGACTGTTTTTTTAACAGAATAGTACGGCAGTAAGTTTTTTTTTATACAATAATGCATTAGAAATACATTAAATCAATAAGTCACTGTCCGAAAGCTCTGACCGCTAGGTTTGAAATTAAAAAAATATGACGCGGTGTTGTGGTTGTAGCCTGTATTAAGGTTGGGTAACTAGCTTTTGCTCGCGACCTCGTCCGCGTGGTCAAGTTACTTTGAGCAGCATTTCCAACAAATATTTATTTATTCATTCCATTAAACTAATACATTTACATCCTCCATCATCCCTTATTTTATCCCCATGGGGGTTGAATTTATCAAAATCATATTTAAGCGGACGTCTTCATCATAGTAGCTCCAATCTTTAATTTCAGTACAATCAATTGAAAACCTAAGAAGATTTGTACAAATTTTCATCCCCTATTTTATCCATTTAGGGTGGAATTTATCAAAATCCTTTCTTTGAAAGTTGCCTACGTCATATTAGCATTATTCTTGCAAAGTCTCAGCCCGATAGGTTTAAAATCGACAAAGATTCATACAAACTTCATCCTCTATTTTATCCCCTTGGAGATAGAATTTATCAAATTCCTTTCTTAACGGATGCCTACGTCAAACAATTACCTACATGCCAAATTTCAGCTCGATCCGTCCAATGGTTTGGGCTGTGCGTTGATAGAACACTATGTCAGTCAGTCATCTTTGAGTTATATACATTTAAGATTATGTTGTAATAATTTGCCGAAACCATATTCGAATGCTCACCTAAGCTTCATAACGTTATTTTACAGATAATCAAAGATGGCAGTAAAACATGTTGTTAAAGAAAGTGGGAATAAAAATTTCACAGCTGCTGCATTGGACGACGCTATGTTACTAAGTGGTGAGATAATCATATTTAATTGTAGATTAAATAACGTAAAATTTTGTATTATGAATATGAATTAAGAAAGGCTCTCGATGATTGAAAGTGTAAAACAATAGTTTGGTAGTATGAAAATGTCAAATAATCATAAAAGATTATTCTACTCCTTTAAAATAAGAGTTTTTGTACTTGAATAATACTAAGTTCGGATGTTGGTGACACTTAGTGGGAATGAGGACTACAATATCATTGGGAATATATATCGTATTATATACTATGTATCAAAACTTAAGCACACAAAACATTAACAATAATAGAGTTAAAAAAAAAAAAAACAAAGAACAAAATCACAAGTAAAAAAGAACAAATTGTAAAAATATAAATCTTATAAAAAAGGATGGTGTCTTTCCAGCCAGTCGCAAACAGTTGGTATTTTGCGATGTGCGATTTGCTCCAGACACTCGTATGCTTGCTAAGGGTATGGTTACTCAAAGGAGTGCTTAATAAAACCAGATCGTTTAAATACTGTAAAAACACTGACTTTATTATAATAATCGTTTGTACATTTCGAAATCGAAATGAAAAGTGATTTGTATGCAAACACATCTGGGTCATAGTGCAATAACTTATTTTATGCTTAATATTATTGTTGCCATGTACTGCGTTAGCTCGTACATGCGAAGTGAAGTATTGTGATTGTATCTAAGACCAGATCTTACCTTATTTTACAATAACTACTAGCAAAAAGTACTTAATATTATAGCAATTGATTATTTTTATGATAACTATTATAAAAGCCTAAAATTGATTAATTATTAAAGAAAAAAATAAAAAAAATCCTACGCAGAATTGTCATCCTCAATAATAACATAGCTATGCTATTACTTATTTACTTATTAATAATTCTAAGAACAGAAATATCGGACATCATGATACAGCTCCACTAACGTCAAACATAATTTCGTCATGACCTAATAATCTTGATAATTATTAAATATTGCATTAGATATGCAATTCCAATGCAATTCGATATAATTCTACTCGCTGTTGACCCAAAAGCGATGATATCTAGAGAACATTGCAACAAATGTTTCTTAGTCATACATTATAATAATTGTTATGGACCTGGATTCCTGAGATGATAATATTTCTAAGATATCAACACTATAAGAACAAATAAAAAAAAACTACTTGCTAATTGCCATCACATGTAATAGAGGTTTGCATAATAAAATTCCGCTTACGTTCCCTTACAAATACGCATCGAGGGTATAAGCGCGCTAGCTTGATTTCATACATTTTAAACACAGACAAATATAAAAAATCTTTCGAACATTTTAGATTATATGAAAACCTATTTTTATATAGTTAAGATGAAATATATAAAACCTTTTTATTGTCACCTTTGCATTTTATTTTTCTATCGAGTGGTTAACGAAATTCACGCTTCTATTTTTTGAAAATAATAGACCATTTGCTTTAAATTAAATAAAATATTAGCTTGACGGAATCAGAAAAATAATATGACCACAATAATGAAATGCAATGTAACAATATTAATTGACACAAAAACTGGTTGAATATACCTTTAATGGTAGAACTGTTGTGCTATTATGTAAAACAAAAAAACAAAACCTTTATTATATGAACTTAGAATAATTACTAAAGATATGACACACTGCGGCATTTAGGAAGTGTAAACATTTTGAAGCCAGCCAGATACAACAGATAATTAATTATACACAATACTAGTATATTTGAAATCATGTTTAAAAATCCACTTTTTCTCAAGGTACTCTGAGATGGGTGGATTGCCTGAACAATGATGAAAATACGTACGTTAGTAGAAAAAAAAAATGCTTGAAAGATTCATCAGTGTTGTAAGGTCCTGGGTAGCTCAGTGGTTAGATCAGTCGCCCGGATTGCAAAAGGTCGTGGGTTCGAGTCCCATCTCAGTGTACCATGGACAAAGTGAATTTTTAGGCATTTTTCATTAAGAGTTATACACACGTTACCAGCTTATTCATACTCACTGCTGGGGCTCAGAACTTCCCTGTGGATCAAATCGAATAGGGAGAATGGACCACCACGCGGCCCCAGTGCGGAGTGGTGGGTTTTACGACCACAGACGCAGCCGGGACCGACGATTTAACGTTTTTATTGATTCCCTGTTCTTTTTTATTTTTTTAAGAAACTCTTTTCAAAGATATTAGATATGACAACCCTAGCATTATTTAGCTAAGCTGTTCAGGGGTTATCCGCTAATTATCAATTGAACACATCTGCAACATGCAATCACACACGTTTCAATCATCAGCCGATATCAAAGTAAACACTCATTGTGTATACAAACACCACTCCAAGTCGAGAGTCTGTTATCTATACATTAAGACTTAAATCATACAATGCACATTTTAAAAACTGACGTAGTATATTTCAGTCTGCAACACATTGTCAGGTAAACTCAAAATCTTCTAATAAAATCTAAATTCTGTTAAAAATCCAGATTCTCTCAAAAATCTTCTGTTCAGCAGCCTCAAACTCGAAGTCAGCGACGTCGCTCAGCTCTGTCGTGGTATTATATAAGTAAACCTTCAATGATGTATAACTTTATTACCTTTGGAATACGTTTTTATTTGTGAACCTCTATGTGGTGAAAGCTGCGCTCGCCGGGTTATATAACCCGGCATAAAACCCGGCGAGTTCTATGCGGTTTTTTATAACAGAATAGCACTGCAGTATACACAGAGTGGTTATGACTGAGTCTAATAACTCCTGAAGATGTTCCGTCGCGTGACCACACACGGTGGTTGTTGTAAGATTTGCATTAGTTTGCGGGTAGCTGATGAGTGTTGCGCAAATTTCTGGCACAAGCACACTCCTGATTCTATAAATAGCATCAAAGTCAAACCCTGGACCGTACACCAAACCTAAGTCATACTTCGTTCGGTATATTTTTAATCAATTACTTGCCGTCAATTACTTTACGTCATTACTCATATTAGAGCTGGTGAGTTTCTTGCTCGTTCTTCTTATCAGCCAAAAGACGTCCTGAACGAGTGGTAGGGAAAAAATGTTGGACGATTCAAAAGTACTTTTAAGAAGTCTATTTGAATAAAGATTATTTTGACTTTGACTTTGACTTTGCAAACCATTATTATTATTGTAAAATTCCTCAATCACAATCCTCGGCTACAAAGGGACTCACACATTTTCAAGATAATACAAACAGTAAATAACATAAATTATGAGAAAATTGTTTAAAGGATAAATTGGATATTAGGAGTTTATAGTTTATTCACTCTTTTAAGAAACTACTGAGAGGTATTCAATTTATATTTGAACAATTCCTTATGATAAAACACAATCTAATACAAGTGACGCTATGATCTAAACACAATATGATCTAATACAAATGACGCTTGTTTTGGAAAACCCAAAGGACAAAGATATTGATAACTATAATTTATAATATCGTACTAAAACTTCTGTATTATTATCTAACTTTAACCCACTTACCATTATTATGATCTCAATTTAAATATTACATTCATCGCAAAAGAATGATTTAGAATTAGAATTGAACACGTCTAGAAACGTCTGATTAGTTACTGGTTTCTGAAGTATTATGTACTCGTATATTTATTCGTTAACCAGGCTTTGGCGTTTACAACATGTTGCACATGTTGATGTGCGGCATTATTCTGATGGGTGTGATCATGCAGAGCCTCGCGCTCGGTTATGTGATGCCGGCGGCGCAGTGTGACTTGGACCTGACGCTGCAGCAGCGCGGGTGGCTCGCTGCAATACCGTTCATGGGTGACTATAATAATAGGATATACAATACAGTAAATGATATGGCGTAAGTCAGTTTGATATGGCGTTAGAATTGAAAATTTTTAAAATTACAATGGGTCAATAGTCTGGCATTTGTCTTCAACGGAGCGAGGAGAGTCTTCTTGCAAAATTTAATAATTTAACCAATATCATTTTACGAGTTTATTTTTCACAAGATAGATAGATTCGCTATTAATTACGAAATTCTTTATCTTGACATTTATTATTGTGACATTTAATATTCAAAATGATAATGATTATGGTAAGTTTAGTGAATTTGTTAATTTTGTATAAAAATTGTATTTTATTAATTTTGATAATAATTTGATTGTTTTTACCGGTAATGAAAAATTTATTAAATATTTGCATGCTATCTTTGTATGGCTAAATAGGTTTTAAGTTCTAATTTTATTTTAATTAATTCCTATCAAATTGTACCCTATTTAAAGGCAAATAAATATCTATTCCATTCTATATATATATAACTTACCTCTGAATAATATTAGTATAGATTTTGTTTTGGAAATTCATGTTAAGTTATAGATACAGCAAAATAAAGGCTGCCTTTATACTTCTTTAAAAAAATTACTATAATTTTCATGAAGGGTAACATGTACAGTCAACAGCACCGCAGACTACACAAAACTATAAAGTTTATCCGGTCAATTTTAAACCTTGCGTCATAAGAGTTCAAAACCAGTTCAGAAAATTTGACATATTTGGTTTGTATTGTAAAATTAATTCTTGAATTATGTTTGTGTGCCCATAACTTAGCAATGATCCTGACATCAGTATTCTGGGGATACCTAGCGGACACGCGAGGCAGGCGGCCAGTTATGCTGATCTCCATGATTCTATCTTCGATATTTTCAGTGTTCACCAGCTTTTCGCCCAATTTGACGACATTCGCCGTGTTGCAGTTCATATCATCAGTATTGTAAGCATCTGTTACACTCCTGATTACCTGTATAGCAGTTATCATTTGCTCCCACTTTCACGACATGAGAATGACATTATCTGTCGAGTCATAACGTGGCAATTTTAACATATATTACGTTAACATATATTTTTTTTAAATTTCTTAGTCTAAAATAAGCAGTCTTATATATTCACAACCATATAGCATTTTACGTATGCGCGTTTTACGATGATACATATTTCACAGTTACCTTTATGTTAATTTCACGTTTTATAAAGCAACTACTATTACTATTCAAATAGAAACTTAATTAGGACCCGATCTAAAGCAGGGCAGCCAGGATAATTGCTCAGAGTGGCAAAAATGACACCAGAATTTGAGTGCACCAGAATGTCGGCCGCACATCTTAATTAGTCTGAAACGCCTTTCCTTCCTTTTTTGTGTCATAGGAGGATCCTTTAATCATTGACAGTTGGCAGGGGTTGATTGAGACTCTATTTTCATGGACCCACGTGAAGGCTAGTCAAAACATGGATAGCATACCTCCGATGCACCCACTATTTTGGGGTAAGGGCCTGGGATCCAGCAGGGACTGCTCCACACTCAACCCCTGAATAAGTCTATGTCCCGCATTATACACAAAATTCATTCAAAATAATAGTATCTCATGAACGACATAATTATCTATTCAATGGTTTGTTTCATTTGTTATAGCACATCTGGACCTTCAGCGGTGGTTTACACGTATCTAGGTGAATTCAACAATCTTCGACACCGAGACAAGATGGTGGCCTTTGGCTCATCATTTGTAGGAATCGGAACAGTGGTACTGCCAGGTACATGGAGAATAATAATTATAAAGAAAACAATAGATTGATCGAGAAGACATTTAGTAAAATCCATTTATAATTATTAACTAGCAATTACATTATTGTACTAAAAGTCAAATCTATAATGCTAAATAATAAAACCCTCTTCTTACACGATGGCCCCCAAAAAGGAGTGTCTTGTGTTTACTTTTAGAGATATTTTTCGAGTGTATTGTTGAGTACTTACTGCTCGTGCCTACTGCAAAAAAATCTCTAATTCACATTCATAAATCTTTTAACAGCGGTCAGTTGGCTAATATTACCAATGGAATTCTACTATCCTTTGCCACTGCTGGGCATTGCTTATCGCTCTTGGCGCCTATTAGTAGTAGCTTGCGCGCTGCCATACGCACTTGGTGCTGTGCTACTGATGTTCTACCCTGACAGTCCTAAATTCCTTAACGCTGTTGGCCGACTAGAGGAATGCTTAGAAGTAGTCAAGAAAATATATTCCGTGAACCAGTGCAAGCCTAAGGAAAGCTTTGAGGTAATTTGACTCATGTAGGAGTTAAAGCTATAAGACTTATATAACCAAATGGAGGTTCATGATAGAGAACCTAATGAACATACGATAGATGCAGTTATGTAATAATTATAATATAATATTAACACTTCTATCAGTTTAGCTCTCAATGAGTAGAAAAATGAACTCTTAGCAAAAACAAAATAAATGGTTCAATATATTTCTTAATATAATAAAGATGATGTTGACAATTCACAAATATTGAAAATTTCAGGTAAAAACGCTGATAAGCGACAATCAAAACAACAAAAAGGAAAACAATCGAGGTATTATGACTCTGCTGCATTCAGTTCGCGAGCAGACTTTACCACTGTTCAAGAAACCCCTGTTGCCTTGGACCTGTCTTACTTGCTTTGTCCAGTTCGGGATTTTTGCCACGTAAGGACATTTTCTTCTACCAAACTAAGAGAAAAAACATCTTCAAGAATATACCATCACTAATTTTCGTTTTAGCTTCACAACCACGATCTCCAATACTGCAAGAGATAAAAGTTGTATTTTATGTTATCAAATTTTAAAAAGTTTCCTACACTTATTACGTATTTATATTTTTCTATTGATTACAGAACGAACGGTTTTTACGTGTGGTTTCCAACAGTACTGAATTCACTAGCTAATCATAATGGCGACGAATCTAGTATCTGCGCTATACTTGATGCCACTAAGGCACATGGCAATACTACTGTGGTAAGTCACTGTTAAAGACTATACTTTTATGCTGCTAATATCAAACTATTTATAGGCTAATGATCTCCATAGCCGAGAGATTCGCACGCCGGTTTCAATGTGTCGCCATCTCTGAGGTCCCGGGTTTGATTCCTGGTTAGAATAATGTAGAAAATGAACTTTTCTATATTGTCTCGGGTCTGGATGTAGTATTACCTTCGTTGTCTCAGTTAGTTAGGTTTAGCTACCCATCTTGGAAACTAAACAATATACGTGATGCTGTTTAATATTAATTTGTATGTATCATTCTTCGCAAGACATAAAAATAACTATTTGCACATTTGGCACACTGAATAATGCAAAGCTTTTTAAACGCATTTCATTGGTAGTCATATTTTCTATGTAGATTCACAAGTATTGTTCGAAATGGCTGAAAGGTCTTGTGTTATGCACACATTTATTGAAACTTATCGAACACGACGCATAATTTGAATGTCGAATGTTGTTTAGTACGACTTTGTCTATAATCAACAAAAGTAACTTTGAAACCATTTCAGATAGAATGCAACGACACCATTAACACCGAGACTTTCGAACGCTCCATCTACATAGGACTCCTGTTCTCCACTATGTACATTCTCGTGGGGTTCTTTGTAGACCTGATGGGAAAGAAGTTGATCTTGGTGGTAGTCCTCTTTGCGACCGGTTGCAGCGGTATCATCGCCCACCTCGTTACCAACTCCCAGATCGGTGTGATCATGTTCGCAATCTTCCAGATGTCGGGCGCTTGCATCGGTCTTATGAATTCTGTCGCTGTTGATCTTTTCCCTACTAAATACAGGTAAAATTTAGATGAAAATATTCTTTATTCAATCAATTCAATATTTTTTACCTTCCTTTTCGTCGTTCGTTCGTTAAGTTCCGTTGGACGTGTTTGGCTAATAAAAAGAACCTTATATTCCCGTATATATTATATTATATAGATCTGATTCGATTGATTGCTAACCCTGGTAAAAATCTTCATTTCACTTTTTTACCGACTGCGTGATGCAAAGGAAGTATGATGTATGTTTGTTTCTATGTGGCGTTCTAGACACCAAATGCGTGGACCGATATTGATGATTCTTAGGTCAATCGATTCGTCTTAACCTTGCGAGTGTCACTAAAGACATGACAGTAATCAAAATTCACCACAGCGACAACCAGGCGCCATATTGTCAAAATGAAAAAATAAAAATCGGTGAACTATGTCAAGTGGGGTGCCGTTGAATAGGTATTTTAAAATCATCTTTAGGTTCCTTTTATCAATTTTCATTTTAAATAATAGTTTAGGATATATAATGATTTTAAGTTGTTTAACAAAACATTCCAGCTAATTTTCTTACTTATTGATTTAAGTTTTTATTTAAAGTATAAACGATATACAAACAAAAAAACACAGTGAAAAAATATGAAGAACAAATATATTTGGTAAAAAAAATAAAGCATATGTAGCTTTGAGCCGAGTTAGGTCTCTAGAGGGACTAATCATCAGTAGTTTAGAACACTGCAAGTTACTTAATAATCCCCACGATATTAACTCCCTCAATGAAATAATTTGATTGCGAAATTTACCATCTTATAGTCAACGAATCGTAACTAAAAAGTATATTTAAAAAAAAACAATTTAAAGAAAACCAAAAAACCCGACTGCGAAAAAACGAATTTTAAAAAATACATGACAAATTATAATATAAATAAAAACTAAAAAGAAAGAAACAAGCCCAGTAGTTTAGAATTCTGTTGAGTAATACAGTACAGAACGAGTCATAGTCGGGGCCCCTTTGGAAGATTTGATTGATAAAATTTGATTGGGCCCCGACTGTGAGTCGTTCTGTTCTGATTACTCAACTCAACAGTTACTCAACAGAATTTCTTTAAATTATTTATTTTTATATTGTTGCAAATTTATTATTTTGATATCCTAAATAAGATTTCCCTTTTGGAAGTTATATAATGGTCATTTACGTTGACAGAGCAATGGCTGTGTGCCTATCCATGATGATGGGTCGCGTCGGTTCTATGGCAGGCTCCAATCTGATCGGTGTGTTCCTGCAGACCAACTGCGGCCTTAGCTTCTACCTATTCGGCGGAATCATTATAGGTAAGAAAAGACAGTGGGAGGACTGATGATCTGCGAAGCGAAATATCTTGTGACGGAATTTAATGAGACTGTCAATTTTTTTTGTTTTTTATTATAACATAATCACGCTTTAGGAATTAATATATTGTTTTTTTACAGTGAATTCTCTTTTCTGCCTAACTCTACCGGGCAAGAAAACCAATAAACCAACTAAGGAGATTCCAACAGAACCAACTCAGAACGAGACCCACGAACCTGTATGAAGGGCTCACATATCACCGCCGATGTCGCTACAATATCACAAACTAAATCGTGTTCGGGAAAGAAAAGTACAAGAAAAACATTGAGGAAACGAAACAAACATTTCAAATCCAAATCTTGAAGGAGTTTGGTTAATTTGTTTTAAGAAAAATAGGCACTAATTCAGTTAATTCATACAAAAAATATTTTGGTAGTGTGTAGTTACCTTAATTGTAATTGATATTGTGATGTCACATTAAAGCTTTAAATAACAAACTCAAATAAACAACTAAAAAGTAGTCGGCCATAAATTTTTTACCTTCTGTTACCTAACCCTAACCCCACATCTTATACACATTATTTCTTATTATTAAGTCTTAGATATCCCCACATAACTATTCGTTTACAAAGGGTATTTTTGAGTCCTATTAAATTATTTTCCTATTACAATTTCCATTGAATCTTTTTTTGATAACACAGAGCAAATGCACATTATATATATCACACCACCAGCCCTTTTACGTCCCCACTGCAGGGGCTCAGGCCTTCCTTATGGATGGTTAAGGAGGATGGGCCATGACCCTCTACGCTGGCCCAGTGCAGATTTGAGGGTATTAACGACTGCAAATGCAGCCGGGACCAACAGCTTAACGTGTCTTCCGAAGCACGGAGTAGCTCGAGATAATAATTTTTTGGTCACCCATCCCGTGACCGACCCTTGCGAAAGTTGCTTAACGACTACGATCGCGGGCCGCGGCGCTTATCCACTACGCCACCGAGCTACTCTAATGCACATTAGCCTTCAACTAAAAAAATTAATATAATAAATATTGGACAACATCACATATATTGCTAAGATTTCGAGCTGAAGCCTCCGTATTATGGAGTATCTGACACAACGATGGTACCACAATACTCAGACCGGAGAAAACATAAAAGAGTAGATATTCTACATCGACCCCGGAATCGATCCCGGGACCTCTGAGCTAACGACACTTTGTAATCGGCGTTTATATGTACATACAATACTGGACCACGCGGGCGAAGTTACAGGAGGAAAGTTAGTCTGGTGTAACCAATACAATACTTCTGACAGAGCATTTTTGCTGTGCGCAGAAAAGATGCGCGAGAAAATGCTAATGGCCTGCCTACATGTAAAATACCCACTTAATGTCAGCCAGAACTATATCACTCTTCTGCTACGAGTACTTCCGCCTGAAACAGAAACTCACTTCATGACCGCCCTAGAGACCGGAAACCGAAGGTTTTCACTTCCGGGAAACCTGGAGGAGGGCAGGAAAATTTCAGTTTTGTGGGCGGCGGTACCAGGCTACTACGAATGTTAAGGAGTTAGTTGTTATCTGCTCGCATCGCGCATGCGTGGATTATATATTGATTTTCTGAACCCCAACCTTACGCAAAATTTAACGTGAAGCTACGAAAACCAATGGCTTACTTTTATATATAAGAACTACGATAGTATTTAATATTATCTCATGCTAGATTTATTATTATTATTAACTAGAGTTCGGTTTGTAGTTTTTATGTCACAAGAACATGTCAACCCCATCGTACCATGTTATATTAAAATTAACCACAAAAAATCATAACTGATTCTATGGATCTACTTCTGTTAGACTAACTACTTTGCGAACAAAGCTTTGTTTTTTCAAAGTCGTCGACTTACTTACTTCAACGATTATGCCTATCGCCTGTGCCGTAGTTTGGTAGTAAGCAAGAAAATTCAATTCCAAATTCAAAATATTCATTTAAAGTATCTTTTTAATAATGTTTTACAAAAATAATGGCAGACAAAAATTTTACTATAAATATGTTAATTTGATTAATTTTGCATTTACAATACTATACTGGAAAATATACTTAATAAAAAATGCTTAAAAAATTCCATCTCAGAGTACCAGAGACAAAGTCGATTTATTAAGCATTTTTAATTAAGAATATAATAATGATTCATATTTTTTCCACTAAAGCCTCTTCTTTTATAAACTCAACTCATCAAAATATTCTGCGCATCCATTCACACATTTTTTCCTAGTTCCTCGTAAAATTCTTTGCATATTTCAGCATCTTTAGTTTCATATTCTCCTAGTAACTCAGATGTCGGGAAAACTTGTCTGCAAAGACCTCAAACGTTTGTTCGAGTGGAAAATGAGAAGGTAAGTATGGAAGTGGTTTATTGAGCAAGCAACTCCGCTAATTGCATCACCGCATGGAGTCAATTGGTCGTCTGCAGGATTACTGTACATTTGCGATTGTGTCAGAAAGTTAAAAATGCACTTGTTTTCTCATTGAAAGAAAACCATCGTTACCATCAAATGGTTGACGGATCCGCCATTTTAGGCTGAATTACTAGGAACGCATAGTTTGTTAGAAGTTCATCGATTTTCTTGAGTGTGAGCGAGTAGAATAGTTTATTCAGAAGGGGTGGCGTAATGGCGTCTTGCAATTTGCCAGCCGACTCAACCTTTGAGAATCTGAGCAACAGGTGGTTAGCATTTGTTATTGTTAAACTTTGACTTTGTTAAATTATAATAACGGCCCTCCCTATGACAGCACAGAATGGTGCTATAATCTAGCAGCTATAGAAACATTTTGTTGATCAGTGTTAATGAATATATTTATATTTTTATAATTTTCTTGTTATAACATAACCAACTTTTTGAATATTTTCAAAATGTGTCTTATAAAATTTTGTGTAATAAAATTTTCATAGCAATAGTTTGTATTACGATTTATCAAAATAGGAGTTCTTACGAAGGCACCTTTTAATTGTAAATATTATAAAGTGGAAAATTTAATTGTTTGTTTGTTTGCAACGTACAAGCTCCGTAACTATTGGATAGTTTTTAAAAATTCTTTCACCTTTGAGAAGCTACATCATATGCGTGAACATATGCTACATTTTAATAAATAATATTTACAAAAATAATGTCTGTCTCGGTCACGCGTACTGGTAATTATATGTCGTCTTATTCCTGTTATTTATATATAAAATAACAAAAGATAATATGATAGATAAAAGCAAAATCGTAAATCTGAATTTGAAAAAAATCACTGATGCGCGTTTAATCTTAGTCTTATCTTACAAATATCTTTCCCGTTCAGTAAAATATTTTTCATTTAGTAAGATTTATATTAATAAATCAATATAAAATAAAAAAAATAGTTTGATATTCTATGATTTGAACATCGATTTGAATGTTTTATTTCTATGAAATGAATCAATTATATTTAATTGAACTTTTAGTGAAAACAAATGAAACATTATTGTAGGATATATGAGGTAAATGTCTCTGCTATATATTATAAAATAAACATCTGTCAAAGTCTACGATCAAACTATTGTCATTCACTGTCAATGTCAATACTGTCATTCATTCATTTTGCTTGCAACTTTTCTGGAACCGCTGAAGAAATGTCTGATTCTGCCGGCGATAATTCAAAACCGCGAGTAGCAGTTCTTGGAGGTAAATACAATATTCAGTATATTGTATTTACGTGCTAAAACCTAAATAAACATACTGGGAAAGTTACAGAAGTTTATGAACTATATAAGTGTTTTTTGTCCACTTTTCGTAACGGTCTTTGTAGATTGTTAGTCATCGGATGACCGTGCTGTCTGTCTCGAAGTTTTGATCTGACCGAGATTATTTCAGGGTGCGGTTTCATCGGCCGGAACCTAGTCGATTATCTCGTGTCCAATGATCTGGTGAGTGGTGTCCGTGTGGTGGACAAAACACCGCCGCAACTTGCTTTCTTGAATCCTGCTCATACGAAAGTTTTCGAAGACCCCCGCGTGGAATACAAGAGCGCTAACCTCATTAATCCTAGTAAGTATCATACAAACATCACCTTTAATCTCTTTATTAGATTGTTTACTGAAACCTTACATATTTAATGTTGCAGTACTTGTCATTCAAGGTGTTAACAAAAAAACGACGAAAATTGAATGTCTCCTGTGTCTTTAGCAAACCATGAACATGTATTTTTATTTACTAACATAACTTTAAATTTCGTGTTTATTAAAGTTGTTCTAATTTTAATGGGCAGAATATTTTAGTGAACGTGTAAGCCTGTCTTATACCTAAATATAGTTATGTTGTTGTTTAGTCACCTGGGTCAGGTTTAAATGAAATCAAGGTCATTGATAACTAATTTTATACTTAATTAACACAACAATGAATAGGTTGTTTAAAAATATAATATTTTAATAAAGTTACAGCCGTGCCATGTTGTAATATTTATTGTTTATTACAAAAATTAAGGTCAGCAAGAGGAAATAAATAGCAGTAATAAACAGTGGAGTATCCTGTCGTTGTCTCCTCTAGTAGCAGAGATAGCTTATCATTTGTGATTCATTTCCTTGTGGAAATAACACAATTACCTATGTACTACTAAAGGACCCAATAAAATTTTATTTAATAAGCACTTACAACAATTATGCCAATTAGAAACATTTTGTTATTAAATTTAAAAAGTTTGATAAGCTTTTTTCTTATTTTTATATTCTTTAATTTACAATCTTTTATTAATGTACTAGTTCAAGTTTCAAACATGTTTGAAGAATAATCATAGTAATGGGCATAAAAATGTAGGGGGAACAGCCTGGCCAACCCAGACCTTTTAATAATAAAAAAAAAATCACCAATTGTTACTAGATTAAGCATTTATTTCTATTGAGCCTCTGAATTAATACAACCAAAAGACTTACTATCGTATTATCTTGATTCCCTTTAATCTGATGTCATAATGTTATAATCTCTGTTTACTATAATGTTATAATTTTAATATAGAATAAAAAGTGTGGTTGACGTAAACACAGTCAATGTCAACAGAATTACGAACTATCTATTTTGAATTGAACTAGTAACAACTCTTTGAATAGAGTGAAAACAAGTAAAATATATCACAAACTCTATATATTTGGCTTATTCAACCTAAAGACATGTGTCACAAAACATAAATACTTTAAAAGTGCACTAGACGTTACAAAACTTTAAAATTATTAAGTCATATAATCTGGCAACCCATAGTTACATGAAGATTGGCATTTTTGCTGTTTGTTCACAGCTATTTATTTTAAGAATATTGTATTTTAAGACTTGAACTATATTTCCAGACTATAAATAAAACTCTTATCACTTGAAGTTGTTGATAATTTTGCATGTTAACAACTCGTTTGTTACACCACTCCTACTGAAGTAACATTATTTCATAATTACAATTCGCTAGCATGAGGCATGCACCGTCTTGCATGACCTATAAACAATTACTATTGAATCTCAGTGCACGTATGGTCTTTTAAGTTATGCCAAATCTCGTAAACTTATGAAAGTCAACTTATACTTTTACAATGCATATACACCTGATACCAACCTGCTAAAATATCAGTATTACATACTAAAGGTTATACCAATTATGTCCTATTATCGCAGGTACAATTTGGCAGCTCTAATGTTTTGGAGATGGCTAAAAATATTTATAATGTCATTGATTTAGTTATTTATCTAATTTTTATCCAACTCTTAATACGTCCAGCTACCGAATTGCAACTTCGTTAAGAGGACTTAACTATAGTCTAACAATAAAACAAAAACTAACAATTTTGCGATTTTGTCTTGATTTAAAATAATATATTCCACAAAGGTTTCACTCACTAATCATAAACTTTGAGGAACCAGATACATTGAATATTTAGGAATCTCATTATTCTCATTTTACCCAGAAAACTATTTGATTGATTTCCTTTTTAAAAAAGTAAACTTATTTAAATCTCATGTCTATAGTCTAGACAAAAGTAATTACTTTGCAAATATTTTTGACAAATAAACAAGAATTTGATTGGAGTAAGAACTGTTAATAGTGAGAATGTAGATGAAACCTTTTTTCTATATTAATCAGATACTGGCATCTTTTCGTATACCTTTTTGAATTAGTATTTTATACACTGTTTATTGTTTTTATGTCACTCTCTTCTTTACTCTCGTGTGACTTTTATGTACTTACAACTTGAAATATATTAAATACTCCAATCCACTGTGACTATTAATTCCTACATTCTAAGAGAGAATTATTACTATTATTAAAATAAGACTAAAGTTATGCCATTTTTTTAAGTAATTACTTTTCTCAACTATAGATACGAGTGTAAGAGAGTCTGAAGCCCATTCTTTCAGCTAAATAATTATTATAATGGATGGAAAGTAGCAGCAGACAGAAAATGTTAGTTTATATCAAAATGCCTTAAATAAGTTAATTTCTTTTGATTTAACGGAATTCTGCAACATTGTATTTATAGGTTCAAGGAAAATGTATGTTTTATTAATTATGGATAGATATGGGTACATTCAATTCATTGGTATAATAATGTGATGTGAATGGCTCATAAGAAGGTATTGTTAAATAATGAAAACAGTAGACTCATTGTGTGCATGTCGATGTTACGTTACCGTGCGGCGCGCATATAAATTGCACTAATGCTAATCACTAATGCATTGTGCTATGCAAAAACTTAGAATTTCTATTGACATTATTGTTATACAAACCCAAACTAGATAATTATTGAGCTTGTATAGCACTCACATTATTAAATGTATTCAGATATATGTCCCGGCAAATTTACGCGCATACATTCGCCGTATCATCATTATACACCATAAAATATTATTTAAATAAGTTCTTATTCGAATATCAGCAATCGCGCGTACTTATCTGTTTATTTTATATCAATATAATCGTTTCTAAGTTAATCAAATACTTCAAATTTGTTGCAAACTGTAAACTGTACATCAAAATTTGTTGTTGTTTTGTTGGTTATCTCTGTTTGCCTTTTAGTTTAGGCCTCCCCAATCTTGCCCTTTTTTTTTATTTGATAGCAATCTAGGCCGTTTGCTCCCATCGTCTCCACTGCCTCCCCTCCTCCTCCTTTTTCTATCTCTAGATATCCAATTCAGTATTGTTTTACTCCACTTTTCTGCGCCTCTTATAACATTACCTACCCTTTTCAGTGACATCTATAATAATAATTTATTTGCTTTTAAATGAGGTACACTGTTGATTGAAATACAATTTGAATTCAGCGCATTAAGCCATCAGCAATAGCATGCAAATATTGATTAAATTACAAAGTCATATATCCAATGTCAAAATCATCAGTTTGGTTTTGGCTCTAATTGTTTTATGCCTTCATCTTTGCATTTTTGTAATACATACCTAACATGCTTCTTGCCATCGCTCTTTGGCAATTCCTTATTTTCAGCAGATGGGATCTATTAAGTGACCATCTTACGCATCCATAAATAAGAATGGGCAGTATACAAGTATTGAAGAGTGTTCCCCTTAAGCTAGCAGAGAACTTTTTTTTTCATGATTTCCTTTAGTGACCAATAGCTCTTCCAGGCTTCACTTATTCTTGTTTCGAAAGTGATAGTATTCGACAAACCCTCACAAGCAGTCTCGGAGCCACAGCACAAGGTGCAGGACTATATCCTGTAGCAGCAGAAATTTTAAAAAACGTTATAAGCGCCGTAACTCCTGTTATCCTGGAATTTATGTTTTTAACCACATCGATTTGAGTAAACCCTTGTTGATCCTATATTTTTTTAACACTAACTAGATAAAAAAAATCAAGATCGCAGTTTTGAAATATATCTAGGTCGCCAATTAAAAAGGCTAAAGAACTGCTGTCTGCTTACCAAACTAGATTAAAAAATATAATTTTGAATAGTGTGAAGATCAGTGTTCTGTCTGTCGTTTCAGCATCATGTGCGTCAGCCTTGGACCCTGGGGAGGGCGAGCCGTGGTCGTTGGTGGTGAACTGCGCGGGGGAGACGAGAGTCGGTCAGACGGAGGCAGTGTACGCTGAGGGCATCGTCACCCTCAGCACTAATGTCGCTAAGCGCTGCGCCGCTATTAAAGTGCCACACCTCGTAGAGATCTCTAGTGGTCATATGTACAGTAGTGACAAGGTTAGAATTTTGTATACACACACAAGTCGGGTAATCATAATATGGCTCAGTTTAGTTTGAACTCTAACGTCAATGTGTTAAGGTTTAAAATCTAGGGAAAAGTTCAATAGTACTAATATATAACTCTTATAGTACCTTCCATCGGGTGCATTGTCACATAATTATTATTATTATATTAAAGCAGTAAATAATTTTTCACTTCCTAATCAACATGGGAGACTTTGAAATAATGGATAAAATATATTTCATTGGTCAAAACTTAATTTATTTGTATTGAACAGCCCCATAAGGAAGATGACCCTATAGAGCCATGGACTGTTGAGGCGCGCATGAAGAGCAAGGTGGAGGAGGAGTTGAAGAAGTTAGAACCAGAACTGAACTACACCATCCTCAGACCTGCTATCGTCTATGGCATCGGGGACAGGAGGAGCTTAAGTGAGTTTATTATGATAATCTAAAATTGTGTAAAGGAGTTCAATTTATTTCACAATAGGGGATCGGACAACAATTAGATAATAATTAAATTATGTGTCATACAATAGTTCATAAAGCTTTAAGACTATACGTCGAATATTTTTGCCATTATTTTTTAACAATGATTTATATTTAAAAATCAATAAAGAAAAATATAAATGTTTCAAGTCAAACGAAACACCAATCAGAGCGCATAACTTCATTTGTGGGCAAGTGTTTTATTCATAAGTAAGTCTTTTGTTTATAGCCCACAAATGACGTCACTTCCCCGAGTTACTGTGTACGGGGTTTTTTAAACAGTCCAATTTTAAACATCGTTTTCAGTTCATAATAGGGCATATTTACCTACATAAAATAATATTTTTTGTGGGAATAAGCATCCAAATTTATCAATTAAAAACAGTTTTTTTTTTTATTGTCCGATCCCCTATTTCATTGTTGCAGTCAGATTCCCTATTTAGTCAAATTATGGTTTGATTAGAATCCTCATTTAATTTCACCTTATTTAAACTTTTAGCTTTGTTAGCGCCATTCCGATGTGACATTTAGTTTGAGTGAAAAAGATCAAATAAAAGACCAATTCGCAAAACTGTTAGTACTTTATTTTATCGTTAGACTATAATTAAGTCCTCATAACGAAGTTGCAATTCGGTAGCTGGACGTATTAAGAGTTGGATAAAAATTTTATAAATACGAGGGTCGTTTGAAAAGTCCGTGCAAAGTGAGAGATATGGCACTACTGGCGCATATCAAAGTTATGTTTAGTTAGTAGCATCTCTTGGAAGAACACACACCAAGTTTCAACCAGATCGGTCTATTTTTTTGCGTTTGGCATTCGTTTTAATCGAAGAAGTAGAGTGATTTTGAAAAATAGGCGAGAAAGAATTTCGTGTGTTAATTAAACATTACTTTATGAAAGGCAAAACGCCTCAGGAGTCTAAAGAGAAGCTTGATAAACATTATGGGGACTCTGCACCTTCAATTAGAACAGTTTTTAAGTGGTTTGTAAATTTTCGGAGTGGCCATATGGGCACAAGTGACGCTGAACGTTCTGGACGCCCTGTTGTGGTTACTACTCCAGAAATCATTGATAAAATCCATGATATGGTGATGGATGACAGAAGAATGAAGGTGCGTGAGATTGCTAGTGCTGTGGGCATCTCGAATGAACGGGTACATAACATTTTGCATCAACATTTGGACATGACAAAGCTATCCGCAAGATGGGTGCCGCGATTGCTCATGCTTTATCAAAAACGAAATCGTGTGAAGTGTTTGCAAGGACGGTTTTCATCTGTTCCAGAAAAATTTGCAGGACTTAAGGCGTCGTTTCGTTACTGTTTATGAAACATGGATACATCACTACACTCCTGAATTCAAAGACAGTCTAAACAATGGGTTATCAAGGGGGAATCTGCGCCAAAAAAGACGATGACCGTTCTTTCGACCGGAAAGATTATGGCGACTGTTTTTTGGGAATTTAAAGAAATGGCTGGCGGGAAAAAGATTTTATTCAAACGAGTAGGTGATTGCAGAAACGAATGACTATTTTCCAGACTTGGAAAAATTCTATTATTTGGAAGGGATCAACAAACTAGAGCAGCGTTGGACGAAGTATATAACCCTAAAAGGAGACTTATGTTGAAAAATAAAAAAGTTTACCCCAAACAAAAAGACCCTCGTAACTAAATCAGTGACATCATAAATATTTTTAGTCATCTCCAAAACGTTAGAGCTGCCGAACTACACCTGCGACAATGGGATATAATTGGTATAACCTTTAGTATTCCTGATATTGCATAATAGAAAGGCCTTATATTGTAGAATCCCGATTATCCGGATCAATTAAATCGATGTGTATTCCGTATAATCGAAAAACTGGGTATTCGATTTCAGTCTTTTTACAGTATTGGAAGGCTGATCTCTGATGGAACATATTATAAAAACAGTGGTGGACGGTGTTATTAGATTTTTCTATTTGCACAATCACTGTTGTCACCGTTCGAGTAATAAAATATTTGTAAATAAAGTCCCTTTAGTCAGGTTTTTTGCTATGATTCCATGATTTGGCCTTGTTGTGCCTTGTTCAAATACTTTTGCATAAACTGATATACATTTGTGCCAAAAAGAAAACCTATCACTTGAACGCTATCGAAAAAAAAAAAATACTATATCCTATTAATATTATAAATGTGAAAGTTTCTTTGTTTGGATGTTTGTCGGTCAATCACGCCGAAACTACTGTACGGATTTAGATGAAATTTAGTATACAGATAGGGTATTAGCTGACTTAGATAATAGGATACTTTTTATCCCACTAAACATTTCCCTAGGGTCCACGCGGGCGAAGCCGCTGGCGAAAGCTAGTCGATAATAAATGAGAGTAGGAGTACACGGTCGGAAAGGAGAGTAAACATTTCATAAACGTTTGGTCATCAAAAAGTTTTTAATTTAACAATTAAAGCTGTGATGATTAAGTCCGGATAATCAAGTTTCTACTGTATTATTGTGATTGTTTTGAACTTATAATATTATTAAGCTACCCTCCGTTGAATTAACAAAAATGCTCACATCCCAAGCGCCTCGCCTTCTATACGGCGGTATATACAAGCACCTCGGCGAGACCATGAAGCTTCTATGGACGGCGGACCTGAAGATGAACACGGTCCACGTGCTGGACGTGTGCCGCGCCGTATGGGCCGTGGCCCGGCCGCGGGGCGCCGCGCACAGGGTCTACAACGTGGTGGACGAGGCGGACTCCACGCAGGGCACACTAGCGCAACTGGTGGCTGATATGTTCAACATCAACCACGACTACTACGGCACGGCGATATCCACTCTAGCTAAGGTACATAGAGTTCATTATTAATTTTGTCTTAGTCGAATGGACAATTTAAATTCAATTTATATACTGTGACAAAATTGTTGGAATATGAATACATATCGGTGTCTAGCTCTGTGACGTAGTGGATAAGCGCCGCGGCCCGCGATCGTTGTGTTTAAGCAACTTTAGTAAGGGTCAGTCACGGGATGGGTGACCGAGAAAATGATTATCTCGAGCTACTCCGTGCTTCGAGAGGCACGATAAGCAGTTGGTCACGGCTGCATTTTCAGTCGTTAATACCCTCCAATCCGCTTTGAGCCAGTGTGGTGGGTCATGGCCCATCCTCCTTAACCATCCATAAGGAAAGCCCGGGTCCCTGCAGTGAGGACGTAAAAGAGCTGATAAGGAATACATATCTGACAATCACAGATAAATTTTTATAGGTTAAATGATTAAGGTTCACTTTAAAAGAAAATAAAAATAGTCTATCCCTAGATAGCCCAGTTTTTATCTAATTTATATCTTTTTATTTTGTAGCAAGATCATTAGATGGCTGCTTAACATTTGTTATCTATTAATAAATGACATAATATATGCGATGACGTCATGAAAATGGCAGACAGTATCCGTATTCAAACAAACAAACAGTATCCAATGTAAAACGTGTTTAAATGAATGTAATGTTTATTTGACAAATAGAAAATAAAATTAGAACAAAATTTCTCAGTTATACCGAATAGGCCTCCGCTCAACAAAGTGCCATGACAGTCTGCCGCTGGTATTCTGTGGTTACCTTGAGAGTGTTTGAATTTTCTATGTATAATTTTGTGGCTTATTTAAATATAAGAGAAACTTCATATAGTAATTAATATTTTATTTTTTACTATTTATAGCTTGTAATTTCCGTAGTAAACAAGGAACTTTTATAGTCTGTTCGTCCGTCCGGTTTAACACAAAAACTATTGATATTAAAGTTGTAATTTGACATGAATATACACGCTAATTAAGCCGACAAAGTGGTAAAGCAAAAAATAAAAAAATAAAATAACGATCCCCACATGTAAGGATGATATTTTTTTCATCTTCCTCATGGTGTAGGGCATCATTGGATAGGTATTTTAAAACATTTAAATTGAGTTTTTCAATTTAGTAAACCGTTTGTGACTTATTAAATTTTAAAGAGCTATTTTTCATTAGAGTTAAGTGTGGGGGATACTTTACTCTAACGAAAATCCCCCTCTACCAACTGCACAGACGTTGATAAGAATTCAAACTTTATGGCATTTATATAAATAAAGTTAAAAGGAAAACTATCACAGCTGCTTTCACAAGTTCACGAGTAATAGTCGACCGATTAAATTAAACTCTTCGAAAACAACAAACGTATTTTTTTTTCCTTGATGATGGTGCGGAACCCTTTGTACGCGAGTTTGCCTCGCACTCGGCCGGCTTTTAAGGTATGTTCCGATATACACTGCGACCACTGAACAGTATGACGTCAATTTAGTATACTGGAAGTCCGTTCCTTTATAGCTAGTTATACTGGTGACTTTTTAAAACGGAACGCAGTCCAGTATACTGTTAATCCTATTTTTTGGCGCCATTTTCAAATTTGTTAATGCAAGGTGAATATAAATATAAAGCTTCCCTCTTTTCAAAAGAAAATTGGAAAATTGTATAAAAAAATTATTTATCAATTAAATCCATGTTATAATAAACGTAAGTATTTTTTTTTGTTGATTTAGAAACTTATCATTTTCTGATTCTGTTTCGACTGATCACGTGATCAAAAGCACTGCGAGCACCTTACCTCGAAATCTCCAGTGCTCACAGTACAAATATGGCGGCAATTCATGACGTCATAAATTTCCCTAGGGTACTGTAGCAGTGTACTGGCAGTCCATAACGGAACGGATTTTTCAGCAGTAAGACCACTGCGCAGTGCTCGCAGTGTATATCGAAACATACCCTTAGTATGTCGTCGTTTCCGTATATAGAACGATATAGCGTCGGTAGCGGAGGAGGCCAACGACAAACACCTGACCGCGTGGGCGGAGGTGTGCCGCCGGTACAGCGTGCCGCACACGCCGCTGGAGCCCAGCGCGGGCGCCGAGTTGCTGCTCAACAAGCGGCTCTGTCTCGACGGCACAAGGCTCAGGGAACTGATCGCCCTCCACCACCCGCGACCCACCGGACGACTGTTGCGAGAGGTATTACCGCCTTGCCCAATGAGCGCTAACGCGTTTGAATTTGTCCTTTGCGCTAGTGTAGCGTGAGCTCTTCTAAATGTCAAATATCATATATGTAAACTACGCACGTTTATTTTCATATAAACGAATTTTGACGCTTATTTTGGTTCACCTGAGATTCATAAAAGCAATTATGAATTGCCGGTCAATGAATCAGTGATTTAAAGCCGGAACTAAGAAAAGTAATGCAAAATTAAGCGCAAGGAAAGAAGAACTAAATCAGAGGTTAGTTCGTGTTTATTCAGCGTATTCGATATTTTTAAAGAAATGTTTTATTTATGTATTATGGTGTGTGATTTAAGTTCAATCTAACATACTTTGACAAGACCTCTCACGATTGCCGCGCCATCTGGTGTGTGAAAAAATCGTAGCCCTCATTGCTAATGCGCGTGGCCGCCATTTTGACGACGTAATTGCGTTCGAATATCGGTGCAGTTAACAAATAAAGCACTTATTGAGTTGGATTGTTCGAACCTAATTTGTATGTTACTGGTTGACCAAAATGGCAACTGCTATTTATTATTTTCACAGTACGCAAAAAAAATAAATATATCTAAATAGCTCATTATTACTTTTGGTTATGTTTCAAAGAAATATTCATTCAATTTGTTATCGCGTTATTACAAAGTTAATGTTGTTTTTTATTATTTTCCATATACCTAAATAATAATAATAATAATAAATTATCATAGCAATATTTTGGGGATAATTTATAAATATTATAATTATTAATTATTTATCTCTCGCTTTTTGTGCTATTTATACTTTCTACTATCATATGACGTCACGCGGGTGTTATTTAGACAAAGACCCAGCGCGTTATCAATTTACGGGACTTGTACACGATCGACGCTTACAGTGCCCGGCACGAAAGTAAACCTAATATGGCGTCTGCGCAGGTAAAATCGGGATAAATAATAAAATCCCCTTCACAACAGCAATTAAAGATATGGTTTATGATAAATTTTATAATAACTGTCAAGCTGACTTTAATATGCCGTTGAATGCGTTGCACCGTACTCTCTTTCGACACAGTAAAACGAAATTTCTTTAATAGGCTTAAAGCGAATAATGTTGGAAAAAAATAGGCAGCATAATATGAAGTGTTCATAATTGCATGTAAAAAATTGTAAATTCTAATGTAATTTATTTCAATAAGTTTCTTACTGTTTTAAAGATCGATTGAAATGACTGTTTGAGCCAAAATAAAGAAAGAAAAAAAAACAATTACTAGTGAAGATTGGCAGATGACGTCATCGCACCATTACCAAATGGTACGACATCAGTTGCATTATTTGCTTAACCAGTCTTGAATTATACATTAAAACCTTCCTTTTGAAACACCCTATCTATGAAAAAAAAAACCACATCAAAATCCGTTGCGTAGTTTTAAAGATTTAAGCAGACATAGGATATAGGAACATAGGGACAGAGAAAGCGACTTTGTTTTATACTATGTAGTGAAGAATATTATTTGTAAACAAAAATAACCTTTATTAAAACTATTGATATCTACTATCCATACAGTCAGTTGCATAAACGTCCATTAACATTTTCATTAGTTTAAAGCGACATTACCGATACAAATTTGACATTCATTAGAGCTTAAAGACGTCATTAAACCTTAATGGACGTTTGTGCAACTGACCGATAGTAATATAAATAAATGATAAATCATTACAATGCTCATAATAATATTAGTGCTCGTTATAGTAGACAGGTAACAAATGTAGTGTGTGTTGCAGCCAAGTGGTATAATCAGCCAACTAATTGGGCGGCTAGCCCTTTAATTGAGTAACTTGTTATTACTCGTAAATTCACATTATTTTCGTGGAATAACGACTACTATTACTCATAGCCAGATTATTCGATTATATACTGATATATATCAACAGATGGCAATATGAAATTATACTATTTTATAACGACATAAACACAATATAAAATTGTAATCCTTTTCAATAAACCTTGTCAAGATAATTAATTCATACGCAATGCCACAATTATGAGAGCTTTAAAAGGTCGACTAGTGATGAGCGCATATGTCGCAGCCAACTGGTTGAATCAGCCGTCTAGTTGGACAGCTAACCTTTTAATTGAATAACGCCATTCAATTGCATGCCCAGTTTTATAATTGAATTATTATGACATTTGAACAAAAAAAAGTTTTGAATAAAAATTAATACTTCTTAATTTCTTTCAGGTGTTAGAAGACTACGCTTCCATGAATCTCTTCCCCAAGGAGCTCCTGCTATAACTTCATAATTAGGACATTACTGGCAAGTTATACAACACTTATATATACAGCATCTGATGATATACACTATGGACGCAGCCGTATTCATCTGTTTAGGAAGCATCGTGATTGGGGAATGAAAATACGATTAAGCGATGCGATTTCGTCGTGCGATGGTTTAAAGACAAACGAAGCTCTATTTTTTATTCACTCGTTAATAATTATCACGCCGTCGTATTATTGTCTTTTAATATCTAATTTTTACATTTCCCAGTACACAATAAAAAATTTAAACATATTCATAAATAACACTACCAATGCTGCATGTGACAGCTACGATTCGTGATGACACTGTTTTTCTTCTCGATTCTGTTACCTTTTTTTCGATGCGTTATCAATTCGTTTCATGCAGTAAAAATAAATAGCGATTAGCCATCGCAATAAAAACTATACAATTTTGATATGACATACATTTTTACCATGTATTACCATGTATTGAAAAGGAGAAAAAGTATACATTTATATATAGACTTTATTTAAACTGGCTGATGCGTGAGTGAGCACAATACTTAAACAAACTCATGATATAAAAGCAATTATTTCTATGAGCTTGAAAAAAATTAAGAGCGCTATCCATATAAGAAACAACTTTTGAACTTTTATTTAGTTTTGTTGTTTGTATTTTTTAGTTGTTCCGTGTTCACATAAAACTAAATACAAACGTGATGAAACCGTTTAAAAATTGTTTCATTTATAGAAATTTATATGTTTAATCTCATCGTACGATTAAATCGCATTGTGTGCAATTACGATCAAAACCCATTAAGACTATGATGAATGTCACTTTTTTCTTTTGTACTACGCTTTTGACAGTTGTTTGATTTTAAATTTTTACTTAGGAGCTCAGTTTTACGTGTATTTCTGTATGACACTGTGATAAAAAAAAATTTAATACATTGCGTCCCGAAAATTTTTGATCGGATATTTTTGTAATATAATATGACAATAAATTTTAATGAAAATACATTAGAGGGATATTAAGACTGTGTATACCAAAAAAGCAATTCACATTTTGCTTTTCACTAAATTTTCTAACTTTGGCAATATATTTCGTAAAACTATTCTTATTACTATATATTTGTATTAAATTTGTACAGCGAATTGAAATTTTTTTAAAATATGAGATTTTAAGATTTGAATTTATTAGTTTACGTTACATTCTAAAGTCAACTATGTTTAGTACTTAATCCTTTGTTTCTTATTATTTCTAAACGTTTAGGTTAAAGTGTAGAATATTACCTAATTGTCATTAATTACGTAACATTGTGTATCATTTTCGTAACATCACAATAATTTTAATAATAAAACTTACATAATTATGATAGTTTATTTGAAAAACAAATAGATTAAAAGACCTTATGTTGATAGTTCGATTTGTTTGTGTATATTTTTACAGTATCCTCGAGCTACCGAGTTTATTTTCAAGTATGATTAACCATTACCTTGATAAGATACTTATTGATCAAAAGGCACCGTGCATTTATTTCATACAATAATTTTCGGAGAGGTTTTCGATCATGTCTTATTTATTCTTACAGGAAAAAAGGTTGAGATTATTGAGAATCTCCAGTAAAAAACACAAAAAGAAACTTTTACATTTTAAATAGTAGAAGAGGGAATCGGTTGACGCTTACTTTTTCTTACATAAAAGAATTCTTAATGAAGTCCGAAAAATGGGAAAAATTGTCTTAGGTAATGACGGCAGAGCGCTTTTTTTATTGAAAAAGTATTAAAAATATTGACTGATTCGAGTATTTGAATTGTGCTTCAGGCCATGTTAGTATAGTTCAATAAAATTATATAGTATTTTTACAACATTTAAAAGGTTAATTTTAAATTTTCCAAACTTCTAACCATTTTATTTGTGCAGTCTGTCTGTGTTAATAAGAGTGTATACTGTATAACAGTAAATCCAATATCAAAATAAAAGGAAATTCAAACTATTAAGCAAATAAGCCTCATCTATACATTATAGACAATCGCTAGGGGATGTTAAAACCAGTAAATTTAATAAGTGGAATCAGTTTACAAAACAACATAAGGCAAATTTATTTTCCATTTCTTCAATTTCAGAAAAACTATGTTCTTGCTTAGTGTTTATAGTTTATTTTCTATTGTAACTTAATTCAATATCATTTTATAATTGAAGTTACTCTAGTTCATTCGTTTCTTCACGTATTATCTAAATTTTCTCGTAAGAAACAATGAACATTATCCCATTTAGGTTTACTTAAGATAAAGCTGTGTTAGGATAGTCAATTAAAACAATGATGATTTAATTTTGACCTTGAAAATATCTTTTGTAAAGTCACCGACTTAGTTATTAAGTGTGATAGTTAAAATAATGGAATTATGTACCCGATTATATACAACTTGATGATACTTGAATAAATCGTAATTTGTAATGTATTTTATATGAAATATTAATAGGTGTAATGAGATATTAATGTTTACATAAATGTGGTGATGTCACAAGTTTTTTTTTGCATAATTATATTTATAATGAAGTGTTATGAACGCTAATATCTAATTTTAACGGCCCAGCCGGTTATGAGCTTAAAAGAAAATCAAATTTTTGTACATCCTACTGTGTTTTCAGCGGCAATATGTATAATATTATGTAATAAAGAAATGGTTATATATACATGTGGTTTTTTTTTCTAAGAAGTTTCATACACCTTATATCACTAACTTTCAATTGGTATATCACAATTCTTTTTGCAACTCTATACAAATATAGCACCATAGATGATGAGGTCAGGATACAACAACAGCCATACAAATCGACATTAACACTTTTAACATAATTAAGTTTTGAAGCACTAGAATAGATGATAGATATAATTTCAATGGTATTTTTTCTTTACATAATAATAAAATCACAAATGTCAAAACAATATCACAAAAAAAATTGTCAGTAATAAAAAAAATATATATGTCAACATTTCATCTATATTACAAAAAAAAACACTATTAAATTATAAATCAACTAATAATGCAAAAAAATAACACAGACAAAAAGTGAATAACAAGATGAAATAAAACACCGGTACTTAGTTTTGGCAAACTTGTTTATTCAATACCCACTCTATATATTGATTATACGTAACTTCAAACAATCAACTAACAAATATTGCACATCTTTAATTATATATTCAATTACTTCTTTTACAGTCTTCAATAAAACAAATTTAAGGCAAATTCACACAATACGGTTTCATACATTTATACAAAGGCCCGTTGGCAAACACTCGCGAACCAGTAATATTAATTCCTATACAATCTATAGAACCGAGTGTATGTAACAACATAAAAAAAAAATATCCTGAACACAAGGTAAATATAAAGTAAATGCTACCATATACTTTATTTAAATGAAAATCTAAAGTTTTGTTATATATGAACAAAAAAAAAATGACATTTATTTGGAAGTAGTAATGCCACTTGCCGCAAAGACCAAACCTCATAAACGCGCAAACGTGAACGGATCCAAGCTCACGCGGAAAATTCCCTTTGCTTTATGATAAAAACATTCGATTGGATCAGCTACAAGCACTTGCAAACCAATTCAAACCCTATCAACAGGTTAGACAAGAGTGCGGATGCGACATAGAAAGTATCATTTTATTTGCGACAAGGAAGACGAAACCAATTAGTTTCGAACATATCGGAGCTCATATTTCTCCATTATTTTTATTTTTTAACCTTACAAATATTACTACATCTATTCTAGCGACGAAAAACAAAAGAAAACCGTTTTGTAACACTTCTGTGGCAATTTTATCACAATAAATTTCTTATTAATGTAAATATATTAAGAGTGCGCAAAAAGGTGACACGTATATGATACAGGCTGATGATCACCCACTGTAGTAAAGCAGCCAATATCATTATTTACCAGTCACTAGAGAAAATTACTACTATTATAATATCGCTGAATATTATAAGGGGCCGTCCATTAATCACGTGATGTTTTTCAACATTTTTTGCACCCCCCCTCCCCCTTGATGATACATGGTGAGGTTTAAGACTCCCTCCCTCCTTCAACCAAATCACGTGTATTTAAAAAAAAACAAAATCTTAATTTTTGACGTCGCTTTTCGGTTTAACAATCGCGCGTCGAGGAAAAAATAAATACACGTGAAATATTACTATACCCCCCACCCCCCTTGAGATATTTCGTGATTTTTGACGAATCCCTCCCCCCTTTCGAACCTCACGTGATTAATGGACGGCCCCTAAAGTGACTCACATGTTTAGATTTCAATTAGTTTCCTTTAAGTGGTTTACTCTATGTGCCCTCTTAGAACAAAACTACAACATACAGTGACAGTTTATAATTTTTTTCGCTAATTTAAAATCAAGTACAGCACCTTTCTTTTTGTAATAACGAATAGAAGAATAATAGAATGACAAACTAGTAAACATTTCTAAAAATCCAGACTCAGGTATAAATAAATATTATACAACTGCACATACATTAATCAGCTTCTAAACTAAGTAACTTAATCTAGGGTAATAAGCAAGGTACCAGAACACCCTGATCAGAGACTGGACATCGATCACGGAAGTCGCAAGATAAAAATAATCGGAATAGTTGAAGCGGACTAGTTTTGTAATGATAATTAATCAATTATTACCTTCAAATAACATTGAAAATAATTGGCTGCATAACAATTCATTTATTTTATATCTATAGGTATTATATATTTATCTCTATCTTTCTTCTACTATATTAAATCAGGTAAAAAAGAAATTTACTGTGTCCTTGATATTAAATATGAATAAATCTGTACCATTTACTTGTCAATCATTATAATACATTTGCAATACAACGTTTAAATTTCAATTAGTGTATTATAGCGCCCGCAATTGTACAATTCAAATTAGCCAACTGCCCAAATAACATTGCCTTTCCTCAAATAGATTTTGAAACATAATGCGCCCAAAGTATGCGCCTAAACCTGACGTTTTTTTATCATTATTAACTAGCGCTTTGGATAGTGAATTGTCATTTATACAGGGTTATTGATATTACAACAGCAACCTGCCTAAACTAGATAGCTAATATCATAAAAAAAAATGTTTGATATAACAGTTCTACTCAATATTATTACGGGCCGGCGCTGCCTGCTAGTAACAACGCAGTTCGATGTTTCGTCTGCTTACCACTAAATGGCGTTGTTACGTCGTTGAATCGCGCACACAAAAGAGTCTAGAAATACTATAACGGGAAAGAGACTTGCCTAGAACTTTTGAAATTCCGCAATTACACCGGTAGGACCGAAATCAGCCTGGTATATTCTAGATTCATTCAAATACGAGTTAACTGAATACGAGAGTGATAACAAGCGAGTTAATGCGGTGAATTGTCTACATGACCTAGTAGTAACGGAAATGGTGAAGTTAAATGTATATTTTGCTATTGATTATTTTTGCAATTGTCGTTAATTTTTATCCTGAACATCATCTCGTAACAATACCTTTGAACGAAAATCATTTTTCAATATTCTTGTGCTGTTGCGACATTTATATAACAATATTTTATAATTAAACGAAAGGACGACGATACACTACTAATGGTGTTACGTGTTTTGATGAACGTAAATCATCAAAACTCATAGAATGATTGTTGTTTTTACGTTATTTTATTTATTTATTTTTAGAAGAAACAATCAGAGATACAATTTATATTGATATTAAAAAGTTAAACAGATAACATTAACACCGACACAGTTCACCACATTATGATCAAAACAAACTAGCTACAAGTTCTTTGATTGTATGTACATAACTACAAAACTACTACAAAAGGAGTATTAACTAAAATTAGAATCTTTAAATTAGACAGAACGTTGATATTACTCTGCAACGCATTTAAGATATGACTTAAATTAAGTGCTTATAAGTTACAAAAAGTAGGAACCAAACAAACACTATTATATTTATTTGACATATCTTTTATTCACAGTGCTATATTGATCTATTTTTTGAAATTACTAGGGCTACTTAATGTTAGTTATTCTAGTCCTGCGAGGTTGTTGGTGTTCTACAAATAACCCTGTATATATATATTTTTATATCATCAACTTCTCATCTTTTCTTTTATAACTGCTACATTTGTGCTTCAACAGATTTAATCATTGACTCATTTTAAACTGCAGATCTACAGGAACTGATGCATTATTATTTTTACGGCTGCGCATTTCTACAGCAAACTCTAATGAGCAATAGCTATCTATGTACTTGGCATAAACGGGTTTTATATGTGACAGTGGGTCATCCGGTCGTCTCCACGTGGCAGTAGTCCGTTAAAGGTACTATTATCACTTGTATCTGCAGAGAAAAATAAAAAAATATTCTTAAGAAGAAAACTACGATGAATTATTATGATTACAAAAAAAAATATTTAAAAAATCCGACAGTTGTATGAGCTCGAAACCAGTGGCGGACTAAGGGGGTGAGGGTCTCCAAATGGGTTACATCCTTCCGCTAAAATTATAATAATATAAGACAGTTAAAATTTAAAGCGGTAGCTCGGTAGCGTAGTGGATAAGCGCCGCGGCCCACGATAGTTGTCGTTAAGCAACTTTCGCAAGGGTCGGTCACGGGATGGGTGACAAAAAAAAAATATTTGGAGCTACTTCGTGCTTCGGAAGGCACAATAAGTCGTTGGTCCCGGCTGCATTTGCAGTCGTTAATACCCTCCAATCCGCATTGGGCCAGCGTGGAGGGTCATGGCCCATCCTCCTTAACCATCCATAAGGAAGGCCTGAGCCCCTGCAGTGGGGACGTAAAAGGGCTGATGATGATGATGAAAAATTAAAGCGCGGGGGGGAGGTTTAGTAAACGTAGTATCAAGTTTCTGCCCTGTTTGGAAAAAGTTGTCGCCCCGGGCCTCCGATACGGTTTATCCGCCGCTGCTCGAGACCTCGAGACTGTATTTATGAACTCTTAACCTTTATCTAACTAAACGAATGCTCTAGCAAATGCTATCAGAGACTTTAACACTTGTCGAATTTCTCATGTAATTAAAACTTTTTCTGCTTACTCAAAAACTAATTTCAATGATATTTTATAGATCAAACATCTTTAATTCTTGTGACAGCGACGCTTCAATCGTCGTCAGAGTAACACGTGTTCTTATGGCTCTTTTGCACAAGTACAGTCGTTTTAAAAAATGTGTTATTCACTGAGACTTTTTTGACATGGGTTCGGATTTCATAATTAAACTTGGTTGAAAAAAGCGAAACTGAAAATTAAGTTTGATTTTTCTAGTAGCATTTCCCAGTAATAAGTTCAAGAAACATATATACAGGAATATTTTTTTTCCAGTGCAAAAATTTTTTTTGGTGGTTAAGTATCAGTAATAGAACACTTTTCCATAATTAGTTAAAAAAATTTTTTTTCATATTTTTATCCCTATCGAAACGGTAGAATATGGACACATTTTTTAAAATAAAACTTCAATGAAAACGTCTTCTCTTGCGTATGCCACCGTGCAACGCCGCCGCACCCGGTAGCCCCCCGCCACAGCCCCCACCGCCCCGCCGGGACCGAGCGACGCGCGCGACAGGGAGACTCATACGCACGCGCTGATGTGACGTGTCCTCGCGTTCCCGCGCACGCGACGCGCCCGCCGTCGTGAGTTTTACGAGATGTACGAGTTTATCTTTTGAGTGGTGAGAACCTACATAAGCGCAATTCGGAGAAAGTATGCGACGAAGAGCATACCTCGTATGCGGGCCTTTGGGATCCATAACCCCGCGGTCCCTAATGCTTCGAACCATTTTAACAGACGAAGTCCCAGAGTCAGTACCCACGATGCGGCATATCTCTTTGGTGTGAGCCAGCCTGCGGTATTGAAGCTGCTAAAAACAGCCGGACTCCATCCGTACCACTTTCAGCCGGTTCAGCAGTTCCATGACCTAGACCCAATACCACGTCGAGCCTTATGTGAGTGGCTTCTACATCACCGCGATGTAAACATCTTGTAGACGGATGAGGCATTGTTCACAAGTGAGGGACTGTTTCTTATGGGAATAAGTCAAACGCCGAGATGTAGAGGAGGCACAAAGTCTAGAAGACAACAATAAAAAATAATAACGCTTTCAGTGAAGTGAAAAGTGACACTAGTGTTTTAAACAAATTAAATGACAATTTAATGAAATGTGCACGTTTATGTCTGGACAGACGTGGACTTCATTTTGAACAAATATTAAAATACATGGTAAGTAATTAGTTAGGTATTTGTTTTGATTCAACATTATTGTAAATACGTAGTTGATTCTAATTTTTTTAAATACGCCTTAACGCAGAAGTACCTATGTAACTTCGGCATAACGTTAATATTTTTTTCTAGGTAACGAATTTGTTTCTCTTTTATTTTTTTGCATTTTGATGGCCTTAACCATAAAAGTATGAAGGGAAAATTGGAATTACTCTTAGAAAACACCTCAGATCATGGCATAAAATCTAGTTCGAATCTAACAAAATGAGCGTTCAGTGACCCGTGTAGATAGGTACCTACGAGTACATGCCTACGGCGGCGTCGAGCGAGCGCTCAGCTGACGCACGGCGCGCGGTGTCCATAAATGAAGTTTTAAAATCTCGATCTTTGATAAGCGATAACTTTATTTTTTAGTATTAGAACATATCAAAATAAAAAATACGTGTTTATTTAAATTACTTAAAGTTTATTTTCACAAAATCTTCGCAGTGGTTTTAAATTATTCCTGTATATACTTAACAATTATATCCATATTATCAATCATATTAAGTAGCTCGGAGGCGTAGTGGATTAGCGCCGCGGCCCGTGATCGTAGTCGTTAAGCAACTTTCACAAGGGTCGGTCACGGGATGGGTGACCAAAAATTTATTATCTCGAGCTACTCCATGCTTCGGAAGGCACGTTAAGCCGTTGGTCCCGGCTGCATTTGCAGTCGTTACTACCCTCCAATCCGCATTGGGCCAGCGTGGAGGGTCATGGCCCATCCTCCTTAACCATCCATAAGGAAGGCCTGAGCCCCTGCAGTGGGGACGTAAAAGGGCTGATGATGATGATGATGATATCAATCATAGCAGGTAACTATAATCTTGTTTTAAAAAAAATCTTATATAGCTCGTCACAGTAATTTATTTATATTTTCTTGAAATTACTGTCTTTGTCTTTGGCTATACTTCTAGGCACGCACGTAATGTCACTGTATGTGTACAAGGAATACGCACACATACCACCGCGCGCAGAGATGGATTGATCTTACTATATTTTCTATTAATGTGAATGTGTTCTTATTTTTTAATTAAAATAAAATATAATAACAACCGGACAATGGGCAATATTCACAAATCATGAGGTCGACTCACCCGCAACTGATCCATGTTAGGTCCGAGTAGATGTCTGGGCTCAGGGTTATCAGCGGCCTCCGAACATTTTGGACACCGGCTGTAAATGTGATCTTAATATTTTCATTCCATTCCATATTGCTAAGGCAAAAACGTTGAAGTGAATGTGCTTGTGATGCCGTGTAGCGTTCGTACGTGTAAAGTGTATGCGTAACTGTATAAAAAGTGTCTGTGTTACAGCGTATAGTGTGTTTATATGTTACTGTCTATAGTGCTTCGTGTTACTGTGTAAAATGTGTTTGTGTTACCGTGTAAAGTGTTTGTATGTTACCGTGTACAGTGTGCTTGTACGTTACTGTGTAGTGTGTTAATGTTACCGTGTAAATGTGTTTGTGTTACCGTGTAAAATGATTGTTTTACCGTGTAAAGTGTTTGTATGTTACCGTGTACAGTGTGCTTGTACGTTACTGTGTGGTGTCTTTATGTTACCGTGTAAAATGTGTTTATGTTACCGTGTAAAAAGTGTTTGTGTTACCGTATAATAAGAGTGTTATGTCTATAATGCATGAGTTACCTTGTGCGGCGGGCGGCGGGGGAGTGGCACTCGGGGGTGGTGGGGGGTGTGTATAGCGGAGTGTTCAACTCATCGAAGTCTAACGCCCCGTCTATGTTCAACACCCTACATAAAAAAACACCGTATTTACATAAAATATAAAAACATTAATCACGTTTAACCAAAGTAATATAAAAAAGCTTTTTTATATTTAGCTGATAGCTATCAGACTTCAATGTTAGGAACTCGAAAATTTAATATTACATAACAATAATGTCTTAAAGAACGAAATCGAAATGAAAACACGTAATATTCGTGTTGTGTTTTGAACTTATTTAATATTATCCCTTTCTCAATCGACACTATAAGGACTTTGTTAATATCACCACATATATATATTTGCTCCCGTACCATCTTATACACAAGAACGAGGGTGAAAGCCAGGCGGGTGAAACTCCCATACATTATCATTTTTCAAAAAGTTCACAGAAACTAGCGCCATCTTTTGCGCGGGGGACCCTAGTTATCCTAGCAATGTCGATGAATTAAACTGAGCAAACAATTTAATAAAAAATTGGTTTTCCTATAAGTAGATGGGTGTGTAGATATATATTTTAATTATTTATTAATTACTGAAAAAAAGAAACTAAGGACAAAATTATTTGTAATTCTCATTTAATTTTCTGTACGGCAACATTAAGGTAGGTACGAGGGAATTTTGCCATACCTACTGTTCCGCCATATTTGAATAACATACCAACTTTCTTCTTTTTGAGTTCGTTGTGCGTTTATTGTGTTTTATTGTGATATTTGCTACGACTAGGCTTGATTACGGACTTTGTGATTTCCTACGCTTTACGATAACTCCTGGCATGTAACTTGGACCCCGGACTGATTGCATAACTGTTAAATTGGCGCTTTTTATCACGGACTTCGTTTATGATTTTGTAAACTTTTGCAAAAATGCCGAAAGCAAATAAACTAAAATGTTACTTCGGCTGTGTTATCGATGGTAAGTTTTTCAATTACAAGTTTCTTTATTTCCATTTAGTTACATCTAAAAGAAACGGAAATTAACAGAAAACTTAAAACTGGAAACAACACCTTTGTGGTACAGGTGAATCAACTTATTAAATTATTGTACTGTTTAAAACTAATTATTGTACTGTTTAAAACTAATTATTCAATCAACACCAAAATATCTCAGTGAGCAGATGAAAGAGAGGGATGATTATGTTGACCTTGTGGGGTCAAAGTATTTTTTTTTTATTCTTTGTCTTTAATATTTTAATAGATGGTGACCTCGTAGTCTGGTGAGATCAGTTGTTACAGACATTAAATTAATTTAACATGATTTATATAAATTTCATTACTTCTTTAGAGCTAATCAGTTTCTTGCTCGTTCTTTTTATCATGCAAAACGTCTTGAACGAGCGGTAAGGTAAATATATTGAACGATTCAAAAGAACTTCAATAATGATCGTATTATAGCTTTGAATAAAAATTATTTTGATTCTGATGAAAAATTATATTGTAAGAAATCTTACGATACTTAATACGTAGAAATTCAAAACTAACCCACCTGTTCTGTGAGGAGAATCGGTGCACTCTCTCCACTACAGAAGATACGTGTTCGACTCCTTTCTGTACCCCCCACACAAGGATGCCGATCTGTAATACATTTTATCGATAACAAACAAGTAATCGATATGTGTTTTCATTTATATTTCCTTTGATTTTATGGTAAAGAAAAAAATTTTTTTTTTATTTTTCCATATATTATTTTATATCGTTGTATAACTGAAAAAAAATACCCGGCGCCGAAAAACTAGAATTTAGTAACAATAACAATTGATGGAAATAGTAACAAAGTACGAGCAGTTTAAACGCCGGAATGTTTGATGCGCTTGTCGTGACGTCAAAGTACACGATTAGAGATACGACATTTCAAATCAATATGAATGTTGAGTGATTAATTTATTATTCAATTACCTAAACCGATTAACAACTTATCAAACTATTAGATTTTTTTAATAATCATAGTTTACCAAATTGGTGAAACAAAATTGAAAGCCTAAAACATAATTTAAATTGTAATAATCTGTTGTTCATTTTGCGACATAAATAAGCAACATAACATTGATGTTATTGCATCGATAATAAGTTTTTGTAACAACCACATCCCTATACGTGTACATTTCCGTCACATCCGCTCTGACACCGCATTTTCAAGACGAAAACGAACTAATGTTCAAAAGTATTTACATAGACTTTAACCTAAAGCAATAATTATTGTAAAAAATCCCTATCTTTAAAGTTTCATATTGTAATTTTATTTTTCAATCTTACTAATATTATAAAAGCAAATGTTCGGATTAAGGATATTCTAAGCCTGCATTAACATAAAGACTACTTTTTATCTTGTCTTTCAGCACGTACATTAAAATTTGTTGCAATTGTAACAAAGCGTGAGCAGTTGTTTTGTAATGTATTTTTCTATGAATAATGGAGCGAAGAATTATGTTATTGAATTTCTTGAGCTTCTTCAAACAATACCATCATTAAATCCGAAAAATCCTTGTAAACGACACATGGTTCTGATTAAAAAAAAAACGAATAAAAAACAAATACAAATAAAAAAATTATGTGACGACAAATTAATGGAAAGCAAGTCAGACCCAAAAATCATTAAAACATATTGTATATGTTCACTCAAACTTTATAGACACGTCTGGCGCCTACATATGAATATCCTATTTTACATTACACCGCAAATTTCTAGTAACACTCTAATTTTGACTACATATATCTTACATTTTTTTTTTTATGGGATAGGGGGCAGACTAGCAGACGGATCACCTGATGGTAAGTGATTACCGTCGCCCATGGACACCTGCAACACCAGAGGGGCTACAAGCGCGCTGCCGGCCTTGGAGGGAAGGGTTGAGGGGTAGAGGGAAGGGAATAGGGAGGGGTTGGGCCTCCGGTACCCTCACTCACACGACGAAACATAACGCAAGCGTTGCTTCACGTCGGTTTTCTGTGAGGCCGTGGCATCACTCCGGTCGAGCCGGCCCATTCATGCCGAAGCGTGGCTCATATATGCGGATGCTATTAAACAAGTAATGAATTGAAAAGTGATTCTTGCGATGGAATATTTAATGTATAATTTACCTTAACCCTGACGTCTGGTTCGTCCATCTGTTCGTCGTCCGGTTCGGGACAGTTCTGGCACGTGATAGATATACGCACCGTACGTAACACCACCTCTGGTACCTGACGAATGAAACGCTTAATTTAATATACATTTTGTAGTGACAGTTTAGGAAAGCAATAGGGAATATGCGTGTGTTCAATAATGAAAAAAGCAGTTCTTGCTTCTTGCAGTTTTATTATTTACATTAAAAATATTACAAGTATCAATATGTCTTAATCCTTGTTCCCAATGTCGCCTTCTACAAATCAAAGTTTCCCGATTTGCCATCAGTTTCATGTGATGTGTGTGTGTCACTCAATATCACTGATGGATGTATGTGGCATGCAAAAGAGCGTGCTTAGCTCAGTCTTCAGAGAGGTAATAGACATTTTCAGCATCGACTATCATCAAGATATCGGTAAATAATTAAATTAAATTAATGTATTTCGCGGTCCGTTGTTATCTGCGCACAATCGATATTGCACATGCGCGTTATAGGACTATTAACATATAGAAATTTAAAAAAAAATTACTTAATTTTTACACATATTTTGAAATATTTGTCAAATAATATGATGTTTGCATGTAATCTGATTTGAACCTTTCGGCTTTGTCGGTCATTTTGTGGCTCCCGGTATATATTACTTAAGGATTCCGTTCTAGCCTAACTTAAGGAGAGTGGCCATTCCTATTACAATAAGTGAACATGAAGACTCACATCATAAGTGCCGGCCCACACGATGAGCAGACTCTTCCTGAACCAGACGCCCTTGGGGTAGAGGTCGACGGTCCACTCGTTGATGTCCTGCGCGTAGGGGTGAAACGATACGAGTAAATACTAGTACTTACTTTACACTTTCTTCCGATACCAAAAGTACTTTTGGCATCGATACTTTAGTACCTAGTAACAAGTAGTATCGTCACGTAAATACTCGTATTACTGGTACTTGGTCGTTCACTGACTGAGGAGAGTCAAAAAACTCGCGTCGAATAAATAAACTTTGCGGTAATGTTGTCTAAACCCTGTCTCATAGAAAAGTCTGTTAGGCGCGGCGTCCCTGTCGTATGACGAAGCATCGCTAATCCCTACTAATTTGATGTAATTAGAGATCTATCTACAAAAGGCACCGCCAACAAAAATTGGAAGCAATCCATATCTTTATCACGCATACAGAGTATTACTTTTGGCTATCGATAGTATCAAATCTGCTTCAAAAATCTATAAAAATAACACGACGGTGTGGCATATTAAAACTATTCGAGTAGCCATCGATACCGATACGGTATCGAGTAAAATTATCGATACCTCGGTGATATCGTTACATCCCTACCTGCGAGTGGTCGGCGATGGCGCGGCGCGTGGAGAATATGAAGGTGCGAGTGTGGTAGCTCGGCAGCGAGTGGAAGTTATCAACACCCACCACGGAGCCCCACGTGTCCTCCGTGTACAGTCGCGGTGTGAATAGCATGCGGCCCCCCTCGGTCGACTGTACCTCCGCCACGCGCTCGTACTGACCTGGGGGGTCACCTCTTATGGCTGGTTTACACTTGCTTAACTAGATAAGCAGTGACCATATTATTGGCTAGTTCATATATAAAGTTGATAATTAGTTAACTTCATTTTAAGCGATTAAGTACGTGTAAACACACATTAGCCACTTATAATTAAGATAATTACTTACCTATCAACTCCATGTAAACCGACGATAATTTAAGTAATTAACTACGTGTAAACACACAAGTAAGTAATAAGTAACTATAAATGAAAAACTTTTAAACTGGCCCTTCACAGGCTCCGTAAATCTGTAATGGGCCTGAAACGTCTAAAACTAAATACAAACGCTTGAAACCGTTTAAAAGTTGTTTCATTTATGGATAGTGCGCGTAAAAATATAAAAAATCAATAATAAGTAACAATTTAAAATTTAGTTAACTACTTATGAGCTTAATTAGAATTAAATCTGAACTTGCTATTTGTTACTTATTTGTGTGTTTACACCTATTTAATCACTTAAAATCAAGTTAAAAATCTATTTATCTATATCTTATATATAAAAATGAATCGCAAAATGTGTTGGTAAGCGCATAACTCAACAACGCCTCGACCAATTTGGCCAAATCTTTTTTTAAAATGTTCGTTGAAGTTCAAGGATGGTTTTTACGGCGAGAAAAATTAGAATTATTGCTGGAAAAACCCTAAAAATAGCCCTTTTCTTTTTCCCATACAAATGATTTGTAACTAAAAAGTAGTCAATTTGAGCTTTATTGCTATGGTATAAAGTTCATATTAAATTACAAGCACTCACTGTTGTCTAAGCAATGTAGGTGTGTTCCTAACGTCAAAGATCATATCTATCAAAACAATGTGCGTGTGTGCGTTGGAGCACAGAATACATAGTTGGAGGAGTTCACAACGCCCTATCACCAGGGTGACGGTTCTGTTCAGGAGAATTTTTTTAAATGCGTAGGCAAAAAAACTGCCACATTACAAATCTTTTTGACAGGACGAAGTCTGTCGGGTCAGCTAGTAATTACATATAAACCAACCATTACAAAAATGTTTAATCTGTGCAGCGAGTGGAACAGCAGTATACGGAACCGCTCGCTGCACGGTTTAAACAGTACCACGAGAGCTCACAGGTGGGCCCTTGGTCGATTCAAATTGCAGTCGATCGAGACCGATAGCCCGACCGCCTGACTCAAAACTAGAGGCGAAAATAAGCATAAGGTTCCCTTTTAAAATGACATTTTTTTTCTGCCACAAACCCACGTTGAGAACGACTTACTGAAGTAGCACGTCATAAGAATCAGTTCGCATAATAAGAAAAATTATTTATAGACGTTTTCTGTAATATATACAGGGTTATTTGTAAAAACCGGGACTCCCATTTTTTATTCACTCGTCTTCAAACTTCTTCGCGTTTACGAAATCAGTCATACTCGACGCGTTACATTATTTTTCTGCATTTTTTATTAAATAATTCAAAATGAAATAATTTTGTAGAAGGCGCTTAAGCTCTAGATTTGAATAAAGGTATTGCGGTACAGTACGGTGCTCATTCGTATGTCGATTTACATAAATAAAAAGATCCACTAAGCTCGATGTCCATATTTAGTCACAGAAAAAAATAAAAGAAAGAAACCTATACCCAATAGATATTATACAAATTGATTTTATTGCCTTTCGACGACTTCGTCCGCGTATGACGTATCTTCCAGTAGGTGAAAGAATTTTCATAGTCCCGTCTTAAAACCGATGTTAATAGATAATATAAGTGATAATAAACATTACCTGATTGGTAACTCATGGCGATGGCCATCCGTTCCATAAAGAACTCCTTATGTTCCTGCGTCAGCGGACACAGGAGCAACTTGGCCAGTTGCTTCGGACACATCATTGGAAACCTTCAAATATACATACACAAGGTTACACATACGAATTAACATGACACCCGGCTAGAACGACGTTTGTGCAAAGTACAACGTGCAAAAAAGTTGTCATTTCGAACTTAATAAAATAATTTATTTGTAAATAAAAAGCAAAGTGAAAGTAATAAACTCTTAATTAAAAAACGCCCCAACGTAACAAAAACTTAAGAAAAACCCAATCAAAATAAGTACTACCAGCAGAAAACAAATTGTGAAATTGCAAATACATACACGTAACAGTTATGCTATCCCTACTGAGCTGTCATGGCGACGCCAAGCGACGTGCGGGGAGTATGAAGTATCGAGCCAGGTATCATAATTCATACGAGTAGTAAGTTTGCAATAAATGCACAATTATTTTTCTAATATTTAAAAAAAATATCTAAATAGAACATATGAAGAAATTCCTGAATATTATCTATATAAAATTAAAAACAAGGAAAATATCTAATATATATCTAAAGATTTTCTCACTTAAAGAATTTCTCAGGGATATAGAAACCAAACAATACAAAATAGGCTGGAAAATATGTCGGAAACGGGAATGAAGGAACACAATCTATGGAATGCTCTTAAATCCACCAGAAAACCTAAAACAGCGGAGTACCCATTAAGGATTGAAAATAAATCAATGGGCCAAAACTGATGAGGAAAAAGCTGAGACATATGGGCAATATTTGTATGGCGTTTTCAAACCCAATGATAATGGCTGCAGAATTGAACCAAATATAAATGAATATCTGCTTAGTGATTACCAATTAAGTCTGCCCATAAAAAGCACATCACCTCGAGAGGTGTGGAAAACAATTAATAATTTGAATCTCAAAAAAGCACCAGGCTTTGACCAGATTACTGCTGAAGTACTTAGAAAACTACCTAAGAAAGCCATTGTTTTCCTGACATACCTTTTTAATGGAATACTGAGAACATCATATTATCCTTTGATATGGAAAGTCTCTTACATTAAAATGATGCTAAAACCAGGCAAGGACCATTTCTTGGTTTCATCGTATCGCCCTGTAAGCTTGCTGCCGGTGCTTTCGAAGGTATTTGAAAAGATATTGCTGGTTCGTATGTCGTCCATAGTTAAAGAACACTCACTTTTGCCTGATCACCAATTTGGATTTAGAGAAAAACACTCCACAATAGAACAGGTGCATAGAGTGGTCAATAATATACGGCAAACAATAGAACGTAAGCATTATTGTTCTGCAGCATTTTTAGATGTTCAACAGGCCTTTGATAAGGTATGGCACAAGGGGTTGCTGTTTAAGATAAAGAAGAGTTTACCGCACACATATTTCACATTGCTGGATTCGTACCTAAAGGAAAGAATCTTTCAAGTCGTTGTGAACGAAAGCCGATCTAAATTTTACAATATCAGAGCTGGGGTACCACAAGGATCTGTTCTGGGACCGGTGCTGTACACATTATTTACAGCAGACTTGCCAGTCAACCCTCGCATTTTATGTGCTACATTTGCGGATGATACAGCGGTCTTGAGTAGTGATTCAGATCCGGATAAAGCGTCCATCCAGCTACAGAAACAACTGAATAAAATATACAACTGGATGCAGAAATGTAGAATAAAGGCTAGTGCTTCAAAACCAGTCCATGTTACTTTCACATTGAAGACTGGAAACTGCACGCCTGTCAAACTTGGCTGTGAATTACTGCCACACAACGACGACGTAAGATATTTGGGCATGCATCTGGACAGACGGCAGACATGGCAGAAACATATAAAAAAGAAACGTGATGAACTAAACATACGATTCAGGTCTCTGCTCTGGTTGCTCGGTCGTCAATCCCGCCTCTCACTTAATAACAAAGTACTGATCTATAACAGTGTTCTCAAGCCAGTTTGGACTTACGGCATAAAACTGTGGGGTACAGCCAGTAACTCTAATCTTGAAATACTACAGCGCTTTCAAAATAACGTGTTTCGTACGATCCTTAACGCTTCCTGGCTCATAAAAGTCCAGGAAATGCACGAGTACTTGCAAATACCCACTGTTAAAGAGGAAATAAAACTATGTTCAAAACGTTACAGAAATAGACTGGTGCACCACACTAACACACTTGCAACTGCACTCACTGATACGACGCTAAATCTAAAGAGACTAAAACGATATGCCATTGAGGATCTGGAACAGAGAGATTAATCTCTAATAAATCTTTGGAAGTGTGTTCCAATGGGAGTGCCGCCTTACAAACCAAATATTCTTTAACAAAACTGTTTATAGTTTTTTTGTACTGATTACAGTTAGAAGTGGAAAAATAACAAAAAAAATAAATATCTAAAGGTCAATAATAAGATAAAACGTAAGAAATGGTCCTTCCCTACATAAGCAATAATTTTGATTCAATTTGGAAGTCATTGTAAATAAATTAGAAATCACTGTAACATTGATACATAATAGTTGACGGATCAAACTTATGGTGTTAAGTGTAATTCCTAACAAAAAAAAATGTTTTATATACTAACCGTACATGTGAGAAGACGTCGCTCACTAAAGTGTCCCAGTGTTGTTTAGTTTCAGCTTCGGAGAGTCCCGCGTCCGCTATACGCTCTCGCTGTTTGTTCAACCAACGTACCGCAAAACTATAACAACACTCATATCATACTACCTCACCCAGTCAACTTCGTACTGAATAAAGTAAAGCATGCTGCTCTCTGATAAATCAATTACAAGAGAAAGTAAATTGTATTGGGGTTGTTGATCTGAAACGTATACATTAACATGGACATACTCCAGAATTAATTGATTAGTTTTTTTTTTTTTTTTTGAAGTAATAAGAAAAATAAGAAAAGTATAAAAATTGAAGTTACGACTCCATAAAATTGTTCTAATTTGAAAGCATAGAACAATAGAAAAGACTTATCTGTGTTATTCTCTCAATAATCAAATTAGCTACTCTGGTCACTGTTGAATATTTATATTTTAAACTAGCGGACCCGACAGACTTCGTCCTGTCAAAAAGATTTGTAATGTGGCAGTTTTTTGTTCCTACTTATTTTATAGTCGGGGCAAAAAATAGGAGGCATATCAAATATAAATTATTGTGTCACATGCAATATTATTATTATAATAAATAGTGATCATAGGTAACTAAACACTCTGCACAAAACACGATATACGAATTTGTTTCGTCTATTAGACAGTATCAGTTGACAAAAGCAAACTCAGTAGAATAAGTAACAGAAAATCCAAGAAAATAATACTTCCACACCGGCAAATTGACATCGACAGTTTATTTTTCTTAGTTTTTTTTTAAACTAACTAAACATCGACAGTTTGTTGTTGTTTCAATTTTCAACTTTTTTTAAATTTGATATGACTTGGAATCAAATCCTTCAGGCCGTACCAATTTTTTATGTGTGTAAAATAATAAATAATAAAACACTTTTGGTAACGCGGTTTGTGTTTGACTGATGTCATGACGTGAAAACTGATGCATTTTATGTCGCGTGCTGAAAGTAAAACAAAAGAAATAATATCGCAAAGCCGACCAAATTGAAAATCAGTACTAATGATTTACTTTAATTGAGTTTCGGAACGCGGCATTAAATCCTCCAACGATGTATTCTGTGCTCCAACGCACACACGCACACTGTATTGATATGATTGAATTTCAACTTTGTATAGCGGAAATAAAGTGCAAATTGACTCTTTGACGTTAGGAACACACCTACATTGCTTAGATAACAGTGAGTGCTTGTAATTTAATATGAACTTTATACAATAGTAATAGAGCTCAAATTGACTCAACGATTCAGTTAGAAAACGTTTGTATGAGAAAAAGAAAATGGCTGTTTTTACGGTTTTTTCGGCATATATTCAAATTTTTCTCGCCGTAAAAACCATCCTTGAACTTCAACGAACATTTAAAAAAAAGAATTGGCCAAATTGGTCCAGGCGTTGTTGAGTTATGCGCTTACCAACACATTTTGCGATTCATTTTTATATTATAGAAGATTCTGTCTGCCATTTTCGAGTATATTCTCTACAAATAAAAATATGGAACGGAACAGAATAGATAATTTTCTAAGTCGGGAAACGTAACTCGGACCGAGATGTTGATGACGACCGTTGATGATTGATTATAGAGACGACCCACAGTAGGGAGGATATTCCTAATTTTTTTCATTCCTACATTATTCTGCTCTACGATAACGTTTTACATATAAAGAAAGAGTATTAAATATTAAAAAAGGATTACTAAATGTGCTACTTGCCATTAGGTTCGGTTCGAAGGGGAAGGCAGTAAGTGAGGGGGGGGGGGGACGACAAAGAAAGATTAAAGATCATACACATTATAGGGTACAATAGTACGAGCATGTTTTAAAAATAGTGAAATGAATGGTGGCCACTGACCGGTAGAGGGTCATCTCGTTGTGCAGCACGAGGTCGGAGTGGTGCAGCAGCGCCAGCAGCGTGTCGGCCTCCAGCTCGGACAGCTCGCACTCCGCCCACACCCACTCCAGGTTCCACTTCACGAAGTTCTGGCAAGCCTGACGACACACACAACATACCTATCGTTAACACACCTTACTTTCCAATCATCTATACTCTTAATGAAAAATGCTTAAAAAATCCTTTCGCAATCTGGGCGACTGCTGTATCCACTGAGCTACCCAGGACCTAACAGGACAGACGAATTCTTCAAGCACTTGTTGTTTATTCGCTACGACAGAACTTATTTTCATCAACGTTCAAGCAATCCACCCAAACAGCCGATAGAAATATTTAAGTGAATTTTTTAAGCATTTTTCATTAAATATATTTTCCAGTATATTTTTAATGATAGCATGTGAATGCAATATTGAGCAAATATCATATTTAATCAGTGACGAATTTTTGATATTAAACCAAACGAAAGGTGCTCAACATCAACTATTTTAAAATACAAGAAAAATCAAAGTAAACAGATTTATAGATATTCTAAGGTTGAAATTGATATTTAAAATATCACACTAGATAACATGCAAAATAACATATTGCGCAAAATTTAAAATAGTAATTTTAAATATAGGTAATTTGTGTAAACATCAATAGATTGACACTTGACAATTCCATATTTCAGTGTCGGTTACTTATGCTGTTTTGAGTTTCAAAATTGTGGATCCGGACGAGGCTTTAAATTATTTTTATGATATTGTCAATGATGTTTTTAATGAGTGTGTACCTACTACCAGTTCAGGAGCTTTGAATAATAGATATTGTTACCCCCCGTGGTATACGACGGACTTGATTCGTGATATACGTTTGAAGTATAAATTACATAGACGATATAAGCAAACTAAGTCGATTGTTGATTATACTGAATTCGCACGGTGCAGAACGCGAGTAAAGGAAGCTGTAGAACTGGCGCACAACCGTTACAGAGATAGGGTACAAAGCAGTCTAGAGAAAAACCCGAAATTATTTTGGCAGTTTGTGAAGGGTAAGAGAAATCCTTTAAATAAACAAAAGCTATTCAAGCAAGGTGGCATTCTGACAGATCAGGAGGCTACACAGGAATTTGCACATTATTTTTCCTCTGTATACAGTCCGAGGCCAGCGGTATTAGACGTATCGACGGCGAGTACAACAGCGCCGGCTAGTGCGTCACGAGTACAATGTCATGAGCTGCAGTTGGCTGATGTGGAACGGGCACTGAAAAAACTCAAACCCAAACACTCCACGGGGTCTGATGGTATACCGCCATTTATTTTTAAAGATTGTTACAGGGTGCTAGCGGATCCACTTCTACATATTTTTAACACTTGTCTCGATAAAGGAATATTTCCAGATAGGTGGAAGTTGACAAGAGTTGTGCCTGTACCTAAGGTGCGTGGAAGTGTGGAAATCAGTGATTTTAGGCCGGTGGCAGTCCTGTGTACCCCGGCTAAAGTATTTGAGGCAGCGCTTCACCATTCTATATACTCGCAGGTAAATGCTCAGTTAACGGAAGCGCAACACGGTTTTCGACCGGGTCGTGGTACTTCTAGCAATCTGCTTCAATTGATGACACAACTTGCGCCGGCTGTAGACTCCGGAGCTCAGGTGGATGTGGCGTATTTTGATTTCCGGAAAGCTTTCGATGTAGTTGATAACGATATATTACTCACGAAATTAGCACAAGCAGGATGTACGCCGCAAACACTTTCACTCTTTGCAAGTCGCATGAGAGATAGACGGCAGTTCGTCGACTGGGCCGGTCAGTGGTCAGACCCGTACTTTACTAGATCGGGAGTCAGCCAGGGGAGTAATTTGGGGCCATTGGAATTTATTTTGATGGTAAACGATCTACCTGAAGTAGTTAGGAATGCCACTTGCCTTCTCTTTGCTGACGATCTGAAATTGGTGCGGAAAATAGACGATATTTTGGACTGCGACAAATTACAAGCAGATATTAATAGGGTAGTACAATGGAGTCATAGAAACAAATTATACTTTAACAACTCAAAATGCTCAGTAGTTTCATACACCCTATCGCATAAACCTTGCCAGTTTCGGTATCAGATAGAAGGAGTAGCTATACAACGCGTAACTGAAGTGAGAGATCTTGGAGTTTATTTTACAGCTAACCTAACTTTCAAAGATCATGTAATAAAAATTTGCAAAAAAGCTTATCGTAATTTGGGATTCGTACTGCGTCAATCGCATGGGTTTACAAATTTAAATGCAGTAAGGATGTTGTATGAAGCACTAGTAAGAAGTCATCTAGAATGCAATGCATCCGTTTGGAGTCCATATGAAGAAAAGTACAAATTAATGCTAGAACGGATACAGAACAAATTCGTGAGATTTCTATATTTCAAGCTTTATGGCGTGTACCCGTTTTACCCCTTAATGTATCCAACGTTATTTGTGCTTGGCATGGTTGGATATAATAAGTTAGAGGTTAGAAGGCAGTTGAGTTTAGCTACGTACATGTTTAAAATATTGCGTGGTCGAATTTTTAACCATATAGTGTTAGAGTCAGTAGGGTTGTGCGTTCCAAACCGATATGTGTGGCGGCGTCGACAGCCGCCTCTGTTCGCATTACCATATGCACGCACAAACATATTAAGAGAGGCACCTATACAACGAACGTTACGTTGTCTAAACGAGGCGGCAAAGTCTATAGATTTATTTTGTTGTTCATTGAATGAATTCGTACCGGCAGTATTATATGTTTTATGTTATAATAAGTGTAAGTCTATGTCTACGCTATCGCATTAGGGAAACCTGTAATGATAGTAGTATGTTGTAAATAAATAAATAAATAAAATATGCAATAATTTTTTTTCTTAATTAGATAAAATAAAACTATTGAATGCCATTAAATAATAATTATTTTACACTATTATTATGCAGTCGTGAACTTAGGCGGTAGCTAAAAGAAGATATTTAGATCATTGTCAGTTTATGAAAATACGGTTAATTATATATGTAACGTTATTTTTCGGATATGCATTTTTTACGGAAATGGGCAACCTCCTTTGTACAGATAGAAAAATTGATCCCCATCCAAGTTAGGTCAAGTGGATACTACTAATTTATTCTTTCTCTACCTTCTATTCAAAGCAAGTTTTTTTTTACTTTAGCGACATCGTTGTGTCCGCATGCCATGGTGTACTGCATCCAGGTAATGAGATGTCCACGCTTAGCCGCCTGCGCTATATGCTGCGACATGTACTCCAGACATAATGTCACCAGATCCTGAAACATACACTATGTGATTGATTCAGGATATAACCACCCTGGACCTAAATTCTGCTAATAATCGCATATATTATTAGTAGTATGTCTTCACAAATCAATAGTGACAAATATATTTATAATTTTGTGATGTAGTAACAAGAACTGTGTCATAAAGAGTTGTAGTTGAAGTGCTATTGGCTTAACATAATTACACTAACGTTAGCAGAATTACCTACTGAAATCAAACTCACTCTAGAACTAGACTGCAGCCCTACGTTTCTGTAAAAGCTAGACCCAAATTCGAATTCATACATGTGTGTATATGAGTGTAGAAATTCTATTGATTCCATTTTTTGTACGAAAATACAAAACAAAGTTGATTGAACATACGTGTCTCAGATATTCTATTCCTATTTAATTTCGAAACTCACTTCACTTATGCCACGAAACGTTATTGCCAATTCAAGGTTGAGCGGATGCCGCCTTTTGAAGGGAATTTGAATACCTGAGTGAATATAGTGAAATAAACTTTAAAAAGTTTGATATGACGCGACGAAACAGTAGATACTTATTTGTTGCATATATGAGTGGCATGCTAGTCCAGCCAGAGCGTTATCAGTTTGCTATTATCTAATGGTGCTGTAAAGAAAATATATTAAAATCCCATTTTGGAGTAACAAGTCCAACGCTTTGTTTGTTTTGAAGCAACCAGGGTTGTTGGTGATGCGGCTGATGTTTTTCCTAAATCAGCGGATGATGATGCTGATATTAATAAATTATTTAAATAAAATATATACCACAAAATTGTTAGCTAATGTGGTACGTATTTGGAATAAAGCACAAATGCAATTGTACTGCAGAAGAGGGCAATATGAACTCGCAGGGAACATGTTAGAGACCTTAATATACTAACTCTCCCTAGTCTTTATATATTGGCTGTCGTAATGGATATTTTGAAGCATAATTACAAACACGAAACGGAAATATCTATACATTACAGTTTTTGATCAAGATTGTAACAAAATATTTATCGGCGCCAGGAAGTAATGTTTCTGAAGCTGGGCTAGTTCACAAGAAAAAAAAAGTAATTTATTCCCTAAAAAAAATGCAGAAAATTTTATATTTCTACACCATAACCTTCCGCTTCTAAACTTTGATAAGGACAACAATTCAAACGAAAAATAATTAAATTTTGTTATACAGAAGATAATTGTGTATTATCTGTTCTAATGACTACCCCAATTATAAGAAATAATATTATTATAAAATCAATCAATAATTTCTTTTATTTTACCAAATATTTGATAACAACAAATTATATTAAGTACTTAAGTATTTGATATTCAGCTGAGTATGGACATGTGTGGTATTCAGCCGAATATAAAAAAAAGTAGCCTAATAGGCTGAATACTATCGGAATGTTTATAGTAAGTCTATATTAAGCACATATGATTAAGTATTTCTCAAATTTAATTACCTTGACATTATACTTGTCAGCCAATGACAATACAGGGAGTACAGTCTCATGAGAAATCTTTATTAGACCTGTGTAAAAGTATCTGAAAAAGAAATGGATTTGTTGAGATAATTATGAGGTATTAGTCTCTTTGTCTTTTTAAAACATTTATACACAATTATAAAACAAGGAAAAGTTAATACCTACTTTTTAACCATTGGCGTCTAAAGCAAACTGACAATGTCAGAAGAGAAAACATCATGGTATGATAATAGATTGCAACTACTACTAAAATTATGTTAGATAATATGTATACATACTTCAAAAAATGTGGGAATACCGCAGCAGCTGTTGGTGTCTCCTGAAGTACAATGCGACTTTCACGCCACTCACTCCACTCACGGTTCATAAGCATCACCTAAACATAACCATAATGTTTTATATATATATGTATATATATAAACCCAGTGAGCTGCACCATACCAGAGAAATTTTTGATGACTAATAAAAAATCTAAATGCATTAACAGTTTATTTACAGACTATTTAAATCTGAACATCTCAGTAAAATCAGAATATCTGGCAATTCTGCATATAAGTGAAAATAATCAACACCCCCACTGTAACAACTGATTTACAAACACTGATAATAATAAAGAGCTATCTGCCATTAAGTATAGTTAACTTATATTTTTCTATAGTGACAATGTCGTTTTTGAATTAAATAAATAAAAGCACCTGAAAAACTTCACTGCTGGCACAAAGTATGAGTCTATGTGCTGGATACCCAACTCCTGCTACTTCTAAAGTAAGGTCACTCATCAACTGCTCAGCATAGAGGGTAGCTATTTTCAATAAAACACTTTTGGAATTATCCACCTGTAATTAATAAACCTCATTTAATTTAATTAAATGGCCAATTTAATAAGAAATTTCAATCAAATAATCCTCTATTTATAAGGAATAAGTATATACCTCGAGATCTTCATTATTTTCTTTTATATCTTCGGAACTTCCTTTCATTGCCGATGATGCATGGCGATCAACTGTGAGATAACTCATTTTGAAACAATTTATTTTCTCATTCCCTTTATTATACTGTTCTAACCTTATAATAGCCAAGGTAAATTTGTTGTAAATTATACTTCGACTGTTACATATTAAGCTTCAATATTTTCAGTCAATCAGAAAAAATGAAAATATGTTATAAAAATAATTATTATTTAGATCACACAGCAAAATAAAACTATTTTTAATGACAGTGACAGATTTTTTTATATTAATAGTTTTACGGCTTAGGAAGTATCCATACAGCCACTTCTTTATTTAAATATATTTTTTCCTTATGAATATTCAAATATTTTTCATTCTATCACAAATATATACAGAGTTAGCTTCTTATGTTACATCAAAAGTTGAAATTATATACTTTCAAATTAATTCATATGTTTCTGCGTTTTGTAGTAAAGATGACAGTGGCAGATATATATACTAGTGATAGCCCCTCAGTCGCGAGGTACCTACCTCGTTTGAGGTCCTCATTTCAACAAAATGAGAGAGTACTCGTTTTTCAATTTTAAACCACCTCATTTAGCTCCTCACTTTTAAGGCTTCATGCACAAGGCGCGAGCACGATATTACACCTCACAAAAGAATATTGAGTTGTTTAGAATGAAAAGGCGACTCGATACTCAATATATTCAAGATTAAGAGAACGGGTTAAGTTTTACGAGTTTGATGAAATGGTTCAGGTTTGTTTATGTGTTTCTTCGCAAATACCTATTTATTTTTTTATAGATAAATGATATTAATGAGTCTAAGTAAAAGCTAAAGTGAATGAAAATTTTACAGTTTTATTTAGAAATATATTCATATTTCGTTGTACCTTTTTTTAAATCAATTAATGAATAATTATTTTATCGATACGAATTATTAATTATTAATAGTTTTAAAAAATGGAACATTTGACACTATTAAAAATAAGTTGCGTTAGAATCTAAAGACAAAATATGTTTTGTTTAGTATTAGTAAAATATCGTAAAGAAAATACATTTTTGAACGACAAAAACGCCCTGTAATCGGTTGTATCGCAACCAATCAGAGGTTCTGTTTACCGGCGGCTAGCTCTTTAATGGAATTGTATGGCGCCAATCAATTAAAGAGCTAGTCTTCCAATTGGTCGGCTAATTATGTATGAAGAGAATTTACTCTTAGCATATACTTTGGCAGTATGAAGACCTGTCGTAAGTTTACCTTTTGCCAATCTAGGTCTCTCTCCGTAAAGCATTTGATGGAAATCGACGAAATGCAATATGTATTTTATTTTGTTTAGTGTAAGAGATAAACTATATAATCGTTATTCACATTAGAGCTATTTTATCCAATCCTTTTTTTATTTAAGTTAATTTATAGTCAGATAACCTTGGTTATATATTTAATTATTACATCTCATAGCAAGTTATAATATCTATACCAAAATGACATAAGAAAGAAAACCAATAAGTATTTTATTCTTATCATTATTTTGTATGAACCACATCCCTACTCAGTATTTGATTTTTGCTTGCCTTTGTCCAAATAGTGGTACAGAATTAGTGATGTTCCGAATATCCGTACGCGTATCCGTATCCGCGGATATCCGACGGAAAAGAAAGATTCGTATCCGTATCCGTATCCGTTACTTTTCTCGCGGATCTTTTACGGACCTTTTAACTTATTAATTTTCAATTGATAGGATGAAATGCTATATATAAGTGATTAGGTAGATTTAAAAAACTATTAAATTCAATTCAAGTATTTTTTATTTCTTAAAATCAAATTATGGCACCTTTATATTTCAAACTTTTAGTGTAGTAAGTTACTATACCAATAGTACATAACTCAAAGGTACTTATCAACTATCTAATATCACTTTTATAAATATAAGAAATAGAGAAAACCAAAACTTAAATCTTTTTTATAATTATAATGAGATAAATATAATAGAAAGTTATATATAAGTTATAAGATCACTTTTAAAACTATGAGATGAGAAAACCAAAAATAAATTCTAATTGAATGATTATTCTAATAAAGTAAATTAATACTGCGTACCTAGTAGGTACTACCTACCATATAAAGTGTAAACATTAGATTAAATGAGCAATAGCGAAAATTAGAGGAACTTGAAAAAAATATTAATTATAATTAAAATTAAGTAATGGTAAATTGTATTTCAAAAAGAGTAACTTGGCAGCTTTGTCCCCCAAAAGTCTGTTACGTTGAGGATCATAAACAATACCTGCTGCACTGAAAAATTGCTCACTTGGAACGCTCGTTGCTGGTGATGATAAATATGTGCGAGCAATGTGACTGAGATCTTTAAACTTTTTACTGTTAATCTGCCAAAATTTTAACTGGTCTTGATCTCTTGGTAATCTTTTTTCTGACATATATTCTATGATCAAATTAGATTTCGTATCTGATAAATGATTTTCAGATTGCTCATCGTCATCATCACTATCTAAAATATTAGCAATAGACTCTTCTAAATTCTGGCAATGTCCTTTTCTAACAGTAATTGGTTTGACTCCAGTACTTATAGCTGCTGTGGGATTTTCTTCAGTTTCTAAAGCTGTAAGATATTTCTCTTTTATTTCTTTTATAAGAATATCACTGAAGAATTTTCCTTTGTACCGTGGGTCTAAAAATGTAGCTACATGAAACAAATCATTTTTATCAATTTCAGAAAAATGATAATCTAATTCATTCTTCAAAATAGATACAAAATTCAGAACAGCGGATACACTGATATTGAGACTTTCCTGTATCTCCTCTTTATCGTAGATTTTATTCAATGCTCGTACTAGAGGAATAACGTCAGATATACATGTGTTCTGTAAGCTCAATTTTTTTGTAATATCTTCCAGCGGCTTCAGCACTTTCACTAATTCTTGAATGAAAGTCCAATCATCAGCATTAAATTGTTCTATTTTATTATTAGAAGCATTAAGCGACAGCGAATCCTAGATGCAATCAAGTCTTTCCAACATATGATAGCTAGAATTCCAGTGTGTCGGTGAGTCTTGCAAAACATTTAAAACTTTTTGATTGAGTCGAACTTGTATTTTTTCTAGTTCTTGCTTTGCCATTGTGGAATGGTTGAAATGTCCTGCAATTTTCCTACATTTTGCGAGTAACACGGAGATTACATCAACTTTTTTAATAGCTTCTTTAACCACCAAATGTAACTGATGTGCTGTACAGTCGATATTATGTATCTCGTACCATACAGTGCACATTTTGTTTCTCAAGTCCCCATTCTTCTAACATACTTAGAAATATTTGCGAAATATAATCTCCCGTATGACGTTCTTCAAGAACTTCCGCTTTCAAAACAATATTTTTTCGTTGAAAGTCTTTGGTAATACCATGACATGTTAAAGATAACAATGAAACTCCAGATAATGAGTCTGACCAGATATCTGATGTGAAGGAAACTTTCTCAAAATCTTGTAACATGCTTTTTATTTTTGATGACACTTTATCGTAAAGCTCGCTGCAAACAAGTTCCGTAAAATATTTTCTGCCTTTTAGAACATAGTTTGGAACTATATGGTCCATCAATCGTCGGAACCCTAATTGTTCTACGTGTTGAAACGGTAAATCGACAACAAGATAAAGCCAACATTTCAGCAAATAGTCAATTTTATTAATTTGGGGTTTGTATTATCCCACGTTCTAGCTTTTTCCATATATTCTGTAAAAAAAGTTTGTTTAAATTCTCTTTTTACCGTTTGCAAAGATGTCCCCGGCCGTGATATTTCATCGGTACTCTTCTTAGCCGAGTCTTCTTTTAAGAATAAATCATATTCTTCACGATGCTTTCTCTGTAAATGATTTTTTAAAGAAGTTGTGCCTTTTCCCTTACGGGAATACTTTCCGTCACAAATTTTACACCTCGCACATTCATCACTACTATCTCAAAATATTTCCAAATTACACTAGAAAACTTCTTAGTAGACATTATTTTAACTCTTGTACTAAAGGTTATCTACGCGGCTCATTGACACACTAAACAATAAATAAAACAAACTGTTGTTTTTGTGGAAATATACAATGTAGCAAATAAAGGATTGTGGAGTAAACGTATAAAGTATTTTATTAATAAAAATAATATAATCCTTAATGACAGAGAAAATTTTAAAACAAAGATAATAAACAAAACAATAACATAGCAACCAAAATCATTTCTCTATGACTGGACGTATCGGTATTCAACCTTCATTTTTAACACGCCCCCTGAATACCCATACGTCTTAAACAGTACTCAAACTTTGGTCTTGGCAGACCTTTTGTGAGAGCATCAGCTGGCATGGAATTAGTTTCCAAATAAGTGATGAAAATCTCTTTAGATTCCGCTAGTTCTCTCACATAATGGTATTTGATGTTAATGTGTTTCGATCTTCTACCTACAGCATTAGAATAAATCAATTTTGCAGCACTTTGACTATCACTAAACAATTCTACTGACACTTTAACACCAGTTAATTCTTCATATAAACCTTTCACAGATATAATATGTTTAGCAGCCTCGCAAGCAGCGATATACTCAGCTTCTGCTGAGCTTAATGCAACGCATCGCTGTTTACGTGCCTGCCATGCTATTACAGCGCCACCTAAAACAAGCATATATCCCGTAAACGAATGACCATCTTCATTTTTACCCCAATCTGCATCACAAAAAGCACATAACGGTTTTCCAGTTTTCTTATATATTAAAACATTATTCATTGTGCCTTTGACGTACCGTAAAACACGTTTTAATGCTGACATATGAGTTGTGTTCCAGAAGTTGTTGAATTGACTGAGATAACTTACAACAAAAGCAATATCTGGTCTTGTACCCAAAGCAAGATACATCAAGGACCCAATGATTTCTTGATAGCTGGGATCATGATTTATGTCACCCTTTTCTAACTTCAAATTCATTGCCAATGGTGTCGCAACAGGTTTGCAATCTTCCATACCAAATCGTTCTAATATCTTTTTAGCAAAATTAGTCTGATTCAAATGAATTTCTTTCAAGTTTTCTGATTTCGTGATTTGCATACCCAGACATTCTTTAGCCTCACCCAAATCCTTAATCTTGAAACCTAATCTTATGTGATCCTTAACTTGATCAACAACTTGTTGTGAACTGCCAAAAATATAAAAATCGTCTACGTACAGAGCAATAGCTGTAAAATTATTCTTACTTCTTTTAATATATACACAAGAATCATAATTTGACCTCTTGAAGCCGAACTTAACAATGTGAGCATCTACTTTGACATTCCAGCATCGAGCTGCTTGTTTCAATCCATATATGGCTTTCTTGAGCTTACATACCTTTTGCTCATTTCCCTTCTTTACAAAGGTTTCTGGTTGCTCCATGTAAAGATCTTCCTCGAGGTCACCATTTAAGAAGGCTGTAGTAACATCAATATGATGTACCTTGAGGTCTTTCTCAACAGATAAAGCAAACAACATCCTGATTGACGAAAGCTTGACTACTGGTGCAAAGGTTTCGAAATAATCTTCTCCCCATTTTTGGGAATAACCCTTGGCAACTAATCTCGCCTTATGTCGCTGAACTACACCATCCGCTCCTATTTTGAGTTTAAATAACCACTTACATTTAACCACATTAGTCCCACAAGGACGGTCAACTAAATTCCAAGTGCCATTCTCTATAAGGGAATTATATTCTTCTTCCATTGCTTTCCTCCACAGCGTCTTATCTGAGCGCTTCATTGCATCCTTTACAGAAACAGGATCTCCATTAGTTGAGACTAGAAAATTGTATTCCATATCATCATATCTCTTTGGAGTACGTATTCGTAAGGGATATCTTCTATTTGGCGAAACTTCACTAGTTTCTTCTATTTCAGAATCTTGTTGACTACTCATTTCGTCTTGAGCTTCAAAAGTATCGGACCGTATATTACTTACGCCTTGACTTTCTGTTTCTGATCTTATTACCTCTCCGACTTCATCATCACAGACGTTGGTAGCAGAAGACACTCTGTCCTCTTCGCGATAATCCCAATAAAGTCCTCCTTGGGCAACTTCTTTCTCGGCTTGAGAAACTTCTTTTGTACATTTATCAGATGTAGGCTGCTTGATAACTTCCTCAGGTTTGAGATCACTGACCGAGGGATTTTGTAACTTTTCATTAAAGACTGCATCTCGACCGATGATAATCCTTTTTGGATTATTTAAATCAATAAATCTGTAGGCTTTCTGTGCTTCACTGTATCCCGTAAAAATTAATTTGCGAGTCTTGGCATCAAACTTCTTTCTACTGCCATCCTTCACTAGGACTTGTGCAATAGATCCAAAAACTTTCAGATACGATAAATCTACTTGTTGACCTAACCACACCTCTTCAGGAACCTTGTCTTTTAAAGCCATTGTTGGGGATCGATTTTTCAAATAAACGGCTGTGTTGACAGCTTCACCCCAGAACTTTTTATTTAGACCACTGTCATGAAGCATACAACGTGCTTTCTCTGTGATCGTCCTAATAGTCCTCTCAGCTACTCCGTTTTGAGCTGGAGTATGTGGAACAGATGTCTGATGCTGAATTCCATATTTCTTTAAAAAAGATTGAAATTCCTTATTGGTATACTCTGTACCATTATCAGATCTAAATTTTTTAATTTTCTTTGAAGTTTGATTTTCCACAAAAGCTTTAAAATCACGAAAACATTTGAATACTTCTTTCTTCGATGTCAACATATAACAGAAAACTTTTCTACTGTAGTCGTCAACAAAGATCAGAAAATATTTTGCACCTCCCCATGACTCTGTTTCAATTGGACCGGCAACATCACTATGTACTAGTTCAAGCAAATCGTTTGCTCGCTTACATTTCTTTCGATGTGGAAATTTCTTTGCACACTGCTTTCCCTGGCTGCAGGCCACACAATGAACTTTGTTATCAACCTTCCCAAAATTAATATCCTTAATCATACCTTTTAGTTTGTTCATCTGAGGATAAGATAAATGACCTAACCTCCTGTGCCACAACTCATAGTCATCCTGACTACGACTGCTATCACCTAAAAGAACTGTCGCAAACTTGTTATTATCCGGACCTAATACATATAACCCGTTTTTGCGTGGTGCTGTAAAAAGAGGTTTACCTATAACATTAACAGTATCATTAAAAACTTTACAACACTTTTTATCAAAAATAATAACCTTACCACTTTCAGCAATCTTGCTTACTGAAATCAAATTAGTTAATAACTCAGGGATAAGCAATACATTACTCATTTTCACATCTGTGGTACGTCCCTCGTGATTAATCTTCAAATCAACAGTTCCTTGTTTGTTTGAAACAATTTTGTCTTTATTTGCACAGGTAATAAATTTTGCACAAGATTTTTCTGGTTTCAAAATGTGTTCATTTGATGTCATGTGGGACGTAGCACCAGAATCTATAACCCATCTATCATTACTTTCATAATTACTAGTTAAAAAGGTTACAAACTCCTCAGAGTTGTCATTCGCAAGACAAGATTTCGGCTGAACATCAATATTATTTTTCAATTTTTTACATTGAGACTTATAATGCCCTTTCTTTTTACAACAATAACAAATTATAGGTTTTTGTATTTTCTTTTTGTCATTAGAACTCGACACTAGTACCGATTCGTCCTTGTTTTCATTCATCCCACTATACGTTGGTTGACTTTGTCGCTGCCCTTCTTTAAGTATTGCGGCGATTACGGTCTCAGACGAAATTTTTGTTCCTGAATGTTCCAAAGCCATCACTAGCGGATTATACGAATCTGTCAAACCAGCTAACATTATTATACTTAGAAATTCATCATCCAAACCAGCTTTAATCGTTACGAGTGCTTGATGTGTCGCTTGGATATCTGTAACGTACGCTTCCATACTAGGGTAGCTCTCTAGTTTCACGCTGAACAATTTTCTAAGTAATGTTAATCGACGCACCAAACCTGCATCCGCATATGCTCTCTTTAATGCTAACCAAGTTTCTTTAGCATTTTTTGCTTCAGCAATTAGTGGGTAAATTTTCTCCTCAACGCTCAGGCATATTTTGGCCCGTGCTTTAGCATCACGCTTCTGATTGTCTGCTGTCAAAACAATATTTTCTTCCTCTACGCAATTCCATAAATCATGTTCCACTAGGATCATTTGCATAGCGAATGACCATGTTCCATAGTTGGAATGACCTTTTAGTTTTGTTATGACTGACTCTTTCTGCATGATTCTAACGTTTTATTCACTCCACTTTCCTGAAAAACTACATAGGGCCTGGGCCCATAACCTGTTGTTTTTGTGGAAATATACAATGTAGCAAATAAAGGATTGTGGAGTAAACGTATAAAGTATTTTATTAATAAAAATAATATAATCCTTAATGACAGAGAAAATTTTAAAACAAAGATGATAAACAAAACAATAACATAGCAACCAAAATCATTTCTCTATGACTGGACGTATCGGTATTCAACCTTCATTTTTAACACAAACAAAAGTAATACCCGCGCAATGCAAGTCGAAACATGTCCTGCCTGTCGCTGCGGGCGTGACGTCAACTATCGTTTCAAGATCTCAGCGCGCTGATACCGATTGAGTAAGGAAATAAAGATCTGTATCCGTATCCGCGGATCTTGACACCAAATATCCGTATTCGGATACGTATCCGCGGATATACATTTTTAACGATCCAGCACATCACTATTCAGAATTAAACGCGCTTAGCTCGGCAAGTAGAAAATAATTCTCCCAAAGAGTAGTATAATATCTTTCTTTCACAGATCACTATAAACTAGCCAGGGACACTGCTTTGACAGATAAGAGAGTACGATATTGATATTAAATTAGTCTGTGATATTAAGTATTGAACTGTAAATAAAGGAATCGATATTGCATTGATTGCATTTATACATGGATAAAATAAATATACCCTATAAAAGATACTATATTAACAATGGGTTTAAAGAAGAAGAAAAATGTAATAATTCTTACATGTTGCATGATTGTAAGTTTTACACTTTACCAACTCTACTTTTTCCTCACTATTACATCTGAAGTAGCAAATGGAAACAAAATAATATCGGTAGTGGACCATTCACAAATAAGAGAACCGAAAAACGCACTTAAACGGTCGGAGCAAGATAAATATATAAACGATAATGGTATCATAAGAGGAATTCAGTACTCATCAGTATTGAAATACCGGGCTGATTCTAATAACGAATTTAAGTGCTTATATTCCGAGCAGCGGATACCCTTTGACTATGTGAACGATGATTATTGTGATTGTGAAGACTCTACAGATGAACCAAGTACCAGTGCTTGTGTTAATGGTACTTTTTATTGTGATACCCAGTATCCCGGGAAAAACATTGTTTTAAATACAGTCCCATCAAATAGAGTTAATGATGGAATATGTGATTGTTGTGATGGCTCTGATGAATGGCTGCATAGCCACAATGAATTGATATTATCTCAGAGCTCACAGAAACATTATAGACATTATGTTAATAAATGTTCTAGTAATTGTTACAAATAAAATTATATCATAATAATTTATCAGTCTTACATTTAAATGTTGCTCTAAAGATTTTTATGTTTATAAGTTTCTGAGCTATAAATAATTTTTAACTGTTTTCTAATAGTCTCATATGAAAATTTCTTGTAAATATTTTTGAAATATAGAGAATCTTAATAATTTAAAAGAGTTCATATCGCACCCCGGTGCGACACTGTCACTTTTGCAAAAAATACAAAAATTAGTTAAATATGTAATAATTGTCCTAAAGCCCCCTTTACTTGGTGCTATAATGTCTTCTAAAGACATCGTTTTGTGAGGTTACAGAGTTTAAAACTCTTCTCCTGAAAAACTAAATTTTTGCATAAGTGACAGTGTCGCACCGGGAGTGCGATATGTTATCAACATTCAAACTGACTACGAGTATTTGGTGTCCCAAATGTCTAATGATTTTATGTTATCAAATAAATAACAGTCCTGCTTATTGTAAATAGTTAAAAATAATTGCTTTCAATACATACACCCAATTGCACAAGCATCCATTAAATATGTTCAAAGCAACACTATCAATACACATTTTCAAATTTAAAACATACCTTATTTAGAGCTTAAAGTCATCCTTATACCAGAACGGATGTTTGTGCAACTGGGTGTAAGCCTTGAAAAGACTGATGTTTTTTGTAATTGTTATTAATTAAGCAATAATTAAAATTATTGATGAAAAAATATTGATTTTGATTAATAAAACTCATTTATAAAAAGGTCATCAATTTTTTACATCTTGGAATCGTCGTTCGTTGCCTACTGTGGAGTTAAGCTAAATTTTATTTTATCATTTTGAAGAACGGTATACTAACAAAAGTATATTTGGCATAATTAATTTAAGGTTGTTTTTCATTCATGTTCTACATACAATATAATGTTGTTATTGTGACACTCGTCTTTTTGTTGTAGCTTAAAGCAAAAGTAAATACATACTTTTCCCTAATATCAATACTAATATTATAAAGCTGAAGAGTTTGTTTGTTTGAACGAGCTAATCTCAGGAACTACTGGTTCGAATTAAAAAAATATTTTTGTTTTGAATAGACCATTAATCGAAGAAGGTTTTAGGCTATATAACATCACGCTGCAACTATTAGGAGCGAAGAAATAATGGAAAACGCGGACAAAGTCGCTGGCGGCCACTAGTATACTATATTAGAGAAAAGTATCTATTTACTTTTATATATAGTAAGACATACTTTTCCTTAACATATTACGGAAGAAATACTTTTTCCTAATATATTAGGGAAAAGTATGTCTTAAAGTCATCAGTCCACACGGTAGGTCCGGCGTTATAAACCCTGTGGAAAGTGATAAAAAAGCCTAAAATACTCATTGGATTCTTTATATTTTATCTTATTAATTATTCTTAAATACTATTCATGAACTATGTTTCTTATTATCAAGCATATTTTTTTATATTCGTGCAAAATATTACGAAAACACTTGACACTGGCTTAAGAAAAAATAAATTCCCCGGCTGATGTTTGTGTCGCCTCACCAATTTATTATTCTGTAGGCACATTTTTTGTACTAAAGCCATCTAGTATCGATGTTTAGGTCTGTTCAAGTTACCACAGATAAAAACTTGAGCGAGGCTGCTATAGTCGCCTTTACACTTTTGGCCAAAAATTTTTAGACGGCTATGGTCGCTCGGATGCTTGATTGTGTTGAGGACTTGAAATAAGAACTATCTTCGTGATAACAACTGATTTTAATACAATATACTTCTTGTAATAACCATAGACATCGACCATCCGTCGATGCTTACAAAAACCAACTGAACATGTGCACCTCTTTGATGTGCACATCCGTCATTTAGCTTTTATAGTCTCAATGCAAGATGACGGATGTGCTTCCGATTTACAAATGTTACCATTATAGAAAAAAAAACTTAGAGATAATGACATATGTTAAAATTATTTTAAAAAAGTTTTAACATATTATCGTATATTATTTATTTGTATTAATGAGTTTAATATAATAATTATAATATTTAAATCGCAAAGTATAGTCATTTCATTACTTTTACCTAAAACAAGTTTACAATTGGTTATATCTCTAACTACAAATTTAATTACTGACGGTAGACACATCATAAGACAAATTATCTCAAAGTAAATAGACTTAAGCTATACACTTGGTTGGTTACTCACACTCCTCAATGAGTAGCCGATCAAGTACAGATACAAATACTTGACGATACTACTAGTTATCGTTGCCAAAAGTACTCGGTATCGAAAAGAAAAAAAATTGAAACAGATTAGGTATTGTACTTCTATTTTACTTGTATCATCATCCCTATGATGTGAACTCCTTGAGTTTATAATCATCCTCTTTGCTAAAAGTTTTATACTTTATATTTCAATGATGACATATGTTATAAATTAAAATTGATATTGTCATACTCTCTTATGTTAAATAATTTGCTCTGTTTTAAAGCATAATAAAACCAAGTATCTAAATTGGTTTTGTCTTTTCTTGTATCACCCTATTTGATAGTTTATTAGAGATGCGAGGATCACAAATATATATATATAGAACTATTGAGTTCTATACTTATATATCGTTTACAGTCGATATCGATATATCGTTTCACACAGCCGATAGATCGATATTTATACTTTTTATTAATAAATTTTGTTTTATGATAAAGGGTTTAGCCGGATACGTATGACGAGTCGGCCCCCAAATGGGAATCGATATTGAAACTTATGTTTTAATATCGACTTGATGTTCAAACACGATTTATGTACTTTTCGCGACCGACTTCCGCTTTGACCTTGAAATAGAGAGCAAAATATCCGTATGCTTGACTATTACTAATTGTGATATATCTCTAAAGCTAATTAAGATAAAGAAGTGAAACTAACGCGAGGTGTTAGGTTACATTACAGAGTATATCACATATATTTTTTTATAATTTTTAGAATAAAAAAATACATTAAAAAAATAAAAAATAAAAAAATCATGTTTTTTTTTCTGAGTTCTCTGTGACTTACAATCACGAAATTAATATATGTTATGCTCCTTTGTGTGCTCTATTACCCATAAAAATTGCGTGAAAAAAAAGTTGGTGCAACACAACGAAAAAAAATTATATGTGATTTCTGTCTTATGGTATACCCCTGTATTATAAGGTTTTCACATTACATCATTGTTTTTTTTTCGAAATTTCACATCAGCTTGTTTTAAAACATAAGTAACTAGTCTTAAGAGATGGGATAATAGTTAAAAAAGAAATGAAAAAAAAAACAGCCAGTGTTCAATACTTATTATTATTACTTTTTCGTGTCTATCAAAATACAAGAAACAAAATATTAATCATCGTCACTGTTGTAATTAATTACAATCGGAACACTTTGAGTCGCAAATAACTTAGTTAGGACCTCAGTAGGACGTACGATTTTGGACAAATATCATCCATATGATAGATAATAAATAATAGCTGCTACATGAGAACAGCATCCCACTGTACGTTTGCCATTGGGGCAATCACAGCAATAACGAAGAATACTATTGTAGTCATTACCTTCGGAAATATAGTGAATGTAAATTAGATAGACTTTTCTATTTATATGTCTTGATTTTACTTCTGCTTTGATGATATTAGGTGCTGATTTCACATATTGTACTGAGAGATTATTTTGATCGTCCATTATTTCGGCCAAGTTAAATGCTGCACATTTAGAAGTAGAAGCTTTTTTGTTAATATATGGGATAAGTCGACACTTCTTACAAAAAATATCATTAACTATTACGATTTTATTCAAACAGTCACTAAACACTTTAGCTTCTTCTTCATTCTTTATAATTTTTTTATAACCTCCTGGTTATCTTGGTTATCCTGGTCTCCTGGAATCTTACACAGGTACTTGTTACAATTTTTACACTTTCTCGACATTATTACTTAATAATGATTTGGTTCGATAGTTAATAATTTCAAAATGCTGATACAAAATACCTATGACAGAATTTGAGTCCCAAACTGCCTTCTTGTGTAATACAAATGACTGCTACTTTAGCTAAACAAACGATGCAGTAAACAGCTCGATAACAAGTTCGAACTTGTTTGTTTATACACTCACACTACAAGGCGCGAATCACATATAATTTTTTTTCGTTGTGTTGCACCAACTTTTTTTTCACGCAATTTTTATGGGTGATAGAGCACACAAAGGAGCATAACATATATTAATTTCGTGATTGTAAGTCACAGAGAACTCAGAAAAAAAAACATGATATTTTTTATTTTTATTTTTTTAATGTAATTTTTTATTCTAAAAATTATAAAAAAATATATGTGATATACTCTGTAATGTAACCTAACACCTCGCGTTAGTTTCACTTCTTTATCTTAATTAGCTTCAGAGATATATCACATTCAGTAATAGTCAAGCATACGGATATTTTGCTCTCTATCTCAAGATCAAAGCGGAAGTCGGTCGCGAAAAGTACATAAATCATGTTTGAACATCAAGTCTATATTAAAACATAAGTTTCAATATCGATTCCCATTTGGGGGCCGACTCGTCATACGTATCCGGCTAAACCCTTTATTTAAAAAAATACTGTAATTATTTGTTGGTGGATACTAAAGCAGCTTGGTCAGCCTCCTTCAATAAAGTCTACTCCTACTTCGTATCGGAAAGTACCTCCTGTTTTGAAAACCGGCGATCTGGGCCTCAATTCTCCTGTTTACGTAATAATCACATTTATTATTTTGTGATCTAGTAACAACAAGTGTGCAGTTGAAGTACTGACTTTCTATAATTATTCCAATATTAGGAGAACTACCGTACAAAAGGCATGCATGTAAATAGATTGAAATCGGATTAGAAATAGCATATTGTTATGATATTAATAAACTATAAATTTCAAAGCACAAAATCAGATACAATATTTACAAAATAATATCAAACATTTTAGTAAAGTCAAATGTGAAGATCAGCTGTTGGATGTTAAAATTTGGACAACTGATATAAATTTATTCTATGGATTTCATTTGATATAAAGTATCGAAACCTCACTAATGTTGTCTTTTTCGATATCGATATTTTTGGGTGTCGATATGTATCAGATTTTCCAATATATCGTTTCCTCACTATTATTATTTAAATAAAATAGTCACTCTTATTGGTCTGAGTTTCCGTATTATTACTGTTCTATTTGGTCTGAGTTCAAAATTGAAATTCTCTTTGCGGTGTGCTCATGTGTTGTGAAGTGACTAGTGTTTAGCGAACAATCTAGAGACTTAAAAATTAATCATATTGTTAAATTTTGAGAACTTCAACTTTCATTTTCAAAATGACCGTAAATGAAGGTGTGGATATCACTAAAACCGGGGATCGCGGCGTGCTGAAACGCATCATCAAGGAGGGCGAAGGAACCGACACTCCCAATGCTGGTTGTCAGGTCACCGTCCACTATACAGGCACACTGCTGGATGGCTCTAAGTTTGATTCCAGCCGCGATAGAAATGAACCTTTTGAATTCAATCTAGGAAAAGGTACATATGTTATGCTTATAGGTTATATTTTGCTTTAAAAAAAATATTTTGAAATAATTGATGCATTCATCATCTCTCAATAATTTTCGATTACAATTTATCTCGTACTTGACATTTAGTAAGTGAACTCGCTGTTGGTATAACTAATAAATAAAGCTTAATGTTATTTACATAAGATCGTAGAAAAGAAGATTTAATTTTCATAGTCCCGTTAAAATTACTCTTTATATTTCCCAGGTTCTGTGATTAAAGCATGGGATATTGGAGTGGCTACGATGAAGAAGGGCGAAGTCTGCGTGCTGACGTGCGCGCCAGAATACGCTTACGGCGCCGCGGGCAGCCCGCCCAAGATTCCACCGAATGCTACATTGCAATTTGAGGTAAGAATTTAATAATATAGATTTCAGGGAAGTCACATTAAGCAAGAAATTAACTAAAACTTATTTAAATGTGGGTTGGGTAATTCCTCATAACATAACAAACTTATGAGACTCTAAACATCATTTTTCTTGGTTGAGAGTGAGAAATTGTATGGAAAAGTAATATATGGTTCTCAATTTCATGCTATGTTTGCAGAAGTCTCTTTACCGGTTTTAAGAAAATGTGCCTTAATTCGAATACTTTTTTAAGTTATCCTCTTGCTCTTAGTGTTGTTGCTATTGGAATTTTGACATTGGGCTATTTTTTCAGATATATATTATCTTATTAGATATTAATAAATTCTAAATGACTACTTTCTTGTATGCTGTATTTTGCACAAACATTCTACCCAAGTGTGTTAATGTATTCAACATGTACTTATGATTTCACTTACATTTTATATTACCTTACCTTTGTACAGAAATTCTTATGAATTCCATATAGATTTTAAAATTTTTTGGTCTACATTAAATAATGTAGACAAAAATTTTTTTTTCACTGTAACTGAAAGAACTCCCTTTTATTTAGTTTATGAAATTCAATATTATCTTACAGTCTTAGAGCATAGTGACAGATAGTGTTATCTGTGGTTACCATTAGATAGTGCTAACCAACTGACCAGTGAAATAGTATGATTTATAGTTGTTTTAAATAATTTATAGTTATAAGTAGGTACCAAATGTAGTTATGCACTACCAAAGCTTTAATAAAGATAAATTTAAAATGTCTAGTTTACAATGGTGGTATTGCAGTCATTTGCGCATTTGATTTGAGAAGTGGAAATTGATCAACTTTTGCAAAGTCCGGTCATAAGATAGGAGAATAAAAAATTTATAATTTCTAGCTCATTCATGCTTCATAAAGCATATTAAGCCATTGGTCCTGGCTGCATCTGCACTCATTAACACCCACTTATTATCATTTCATCCAGTTTTGCAAGACTGGTTATGATTAATAGCTGCTTTATGAATTGAGAAAAGTACAAAATCTCAAGTAATTATTCTGAATAACTTAAGTTTTTTATTTTTCACATGGCATAGTCATCAGTTTTGTCATACTGATATCAACTGATAATAAAAAAATTAAATCAGAAATAAAAACCTGTTTAAGATGGTTTAAATACTGTTTGACACAAGCTTAACTTTAAATTCTCTATTCACAAAATGGTACTCAAATATCATTGTTTTATTATCATTTCTTTTCTTTCTATTTATAATGTATTGATCTGGTAATGTCATGGTTTTTGTGAATGTCCTATTAGAACTGGTGAGTTTCTTGCTCATTCTTCTTATCAGCCAAAAGACTTCCTGAATGAGTGGTAGGGATAAAAATGTTGGACGTTTCAAAAGTACTTTTAAGGAGTCTATTTGAATAAATATTATTTTTTACTTTGACTTGACTTCGCTATAAAGTCGTGGAGAACCCGGTGGTATAGCGGAATTCTCTTAGGATTGACTCGTTGGTGCAATCTGCCAATTTTTTCAATCTGCAATTGGTGCGGAGTCCACGTCTCCGCACCAAATAGCACAACTTATTGGCTGTTCAATTAGAGAGTTCAGTAGAGAAATTAGGTGTTGTGGTAGGCAGGCTAGGCTTTATTAAATTGTCCACAAAATCCGGGTGGTCCTGCTGATTATATAAAAATAATAACCATAAAAATATCGATTAATTTTACACAAATTATACTTTTTAATTCCGATATAACATATATAAAACTACATAATTGATTTAGTTTTATTGACGTTTCGGGCCTTTACAGGTTCCGTGTTCACATAACACTAAGATGTTGATTTTCTTTATAGTTAAGAGTATAGCTACCTTCAAATCAATACTATTGGACACATTCACAATATAAAAAAGTATATTTTTATGGAAACATTTATAAATACATTTATTAAATTTAATTATTTTAAAAATACATATGACTTGTTTATTTACCCCTGGCTACCGTAATCTACCACCAGTTCCAAATTTTTTAGTCTTAGTCAGTATGTCAGTATGGAGTCAGTATGAGAAGAACTGGCGAAATAAACTCTGACAAGAAAAGTGAATTACTCCCTTTGATTTAATATTTACAGAATGCGCTTACAATGTGTGATCTGGATTGAGATTTTATTTGACTAATTGCTGGCTCCGAAACCGACAGTAAATGCCAACTTTCATCTCTATTAAACTTCGGATGGTTTTTAATTGAAACAACTATAAAAAAATAAAATAAAACAATATAATACAAATGCGGTGAAATCCTTAAAATTTGTTTCATTTATGGATAGTGCGCTTGAAAATATTGGAAATTAATATACATTAGATGGATTTTTAAGTTTGTTAATTTTATGCAATATATTTGGTATTCCGTATAGATCGAGATGATTGACTGGAAGGTCGAAGACTTGAGTCCCACCAAAAACAAAGGAATACTCCGTCACATTATTGAGCAAGGATCGGGCTTTGAAAGCCCCAATGATGGAGCTCTTGTCACAGGTAATGTACGCCTCTAAACTTTAATAGATGAGAAAGCTTTAAATCGTAAAATAGAAAAAAAAAACGTATATCAATTCAATATTATATCGATAACTTCATCGGTATTATTTGATCGTGATACTTCAGAACGTAAATATTCAATGAAATAAATAAAAAATAAAGTACGGTGGGGTACAGGATGATTTAAAACATATAGGTAGGATATTTGTACCATGTTTGTCATTGTCATTTGGTAATAGGTACATAGTATATTTTTTTCCATTTGTTACTAGTGGGAATGACGCTACATGACTGGGAATAATTGAAAACGAAACCGGGTATGCTTCTTTTAACTCTTCTATCATTACAGTTTATGTATGACATACTTTAGCTATCGTGTTAAAGTACTACGGTAAAGCCTCTGGGAACGTAATGTAGTTGATATCCAACCTTTTATTCTATTGTTTATTCGTACTTTTGTTTACGTTGAAAGGGGACAGTTGAAAAAATATGACACCTGTTTTGCTCTGTTTGATTTAGATATACTTAGCGTCAGCGTAAAAAAAGGCGCTGCTTGTTTTTAGGGTACCTCGAAAGGAATAAATAAACGGAACTCTTATATCTCTCTGTCCATTAGTTTCGCAATTGCTTAAACATATAGGAGAAAATTAAATTGAACTTCTGATCTAAAAGAAAATACAGGAAAACCCATACAAAGTTTATTACTTTCTGTAAATAAACTTCTGTGCAAGAGTACAATAGATCAAAACAAAAATCGAAAAGAAAGTTACTTAACATAATTTTAATGCCTTTACTCATAATAGTATTCATTAATATCCCTACTTATATACAGCTTTTTGTTTTACAGTCGATCTTGAAGGTAAATTACTGGCAGACGGCAAAGTATTCGACACCAGAACTGTTACATTCAACCTCGGCGAAGGCAGCGAAAGTAACGTCTGTGAAGGCATAGAGAGGGCTCTAGAGAAATTCCTGAAGGACGAAAAGTCTAGGATAACCATCCAACCGAAATATGCATTCAAATCCGAGGGCAATGCGGCATTAGGTGTACCTCCTAATTCAGCCGTGGAATACATAGTCACCTTGAAGAGTTTCGAAAAGGCGAAGGAGTCGTGGTCTATGGACGGTTCGGAGAAGTTGGAGCAGGCCAAGATGTTCAAGGAGAAAGGCACTAATTACTTTAAGGCAAGCAAATTCCAATTGGCGATCAAAATGTACAAAAGAGTCATCACATTGGTTGAAGGTGAGTTTTGTTCAAGCATATTTTTTGTGCGTCAATCAGTATTATAAGAATGTTACTGCAACTTAACCCTATCATAAAACGATCAGGGTTATTTGTCTGCAATGGGCCCATGACAGTGAAGTGCCACGTTCCTATCTTACCTCTCGAATATTCTACTTCTTTCCTAACTTTGTACTCGGTTAAAGCATGTCGAGGCTTTCAGAGGAGATGTTATGTTCCTCCACCTCACTGGTCCGTAAAATAATGTTGAAAGATATCTTTAATGACAAATTGTTTAAAAAAAGCACCAGTCCCAGGCACCCTGATTGCCATCGAACCCACAACATTCGTAATTTGAGCGACTTCTCTAGTCATAGAGCTCCCCGAGACAAAAGGATATAGTCATAATGGACTACTTTAGTCTTACCAATTTAGTTATTATAATAAAATTACCATTATATTAATTTAGCAGTGTATTAAATGAAAGTTATATTATTTGAGTAATATATGGAATGTTATTTAAATTAAGTGTTATGTTTTTAGGCATTTTGAATATTATGTTAATTGATATTAAACAAAATTAATATTAATTACAACAAGTGTTATTTTAAACGAAAGTAAAATATAAACTATTATGAAATAGTCATACCCTACCCAATATGAGAAAGTTAACCTAAACTAGAAAGGTAAAACATTGCGATTGTCTTTCAGATATGCCTGAAGACAATAGCGAGACTGAAGAAAACAAGGCACAAGCAAAAGATCTACTGATATCAGCACACTTGAACTTGGCACTGGTGTACCTGAAAGTGACACCAGTCCATCACTTTGAAGCAAAGGATCACGCGACTAAGGCACTCAAATTTGACCCGAATAACGTGAAAGGTCTGTTTAGAAGAGGACAGGCGTTGTTAGGCCTCGGTGAAGCAGATGTTGCCATGAAGGATTTCCAGAAAGTTGTTGAAGCTGAACCTCAAAATAAGGTAAAGCGACAGTTTTCTCTGTTTTTTATTATTATAACAATAATCACTATTGTATGATAACTACTTTTTTTAGTCATATATAAATTTTTTTAGAAATATCTTTTATATAACTAGTTAACATTAATTTCGAAGAGAGACATTCAATATCATTAATTCAGACTAGGCAGTTACAATTACATGTGAATTTTGGAAATAACACTATTAGTTCGCAAATATACGGCGGAGACTTTGTACTCAGAAGAACCAACAAGTAACTTAACAAGGGCTGCTTTTTTCTCCCTGTGTTATTTCATACAGAGAAGTCATATTAGAAAGTTATTTTATTAGACTATGAAGTCACTTTCCGTTACAATTTGAAGAGCTACTAATGTTCAAAAGAATGATGCTGGATGAAAATGTAGGCCTGAGACCCCGTAGTGGGCACGTAAAAAGGCTGATGATGATGATGATGTGTCAGTTATAAAAATGACATCAACATTTTCTTTTTTCAGGCTGCTGCCAATCAGGTCCTCGTGTGTAAAGCGACCCTGCAGAAGCAGAAGCAGAAGGAGAAACAGCTGTACGCGAACATGTTCGACAAGTTTGCGAAGCACGACTCGGAGGTAACAGGTTGGCGTGATCTCTACAACAATACGCGCATCTCATTATAATTATATGCAATCGGGTCTTGTTCGTGCATTTTTTAAAACAATTAATTTACCTCGACGTTTCGGCTACGTTACAGCAGCCGTGGTCACGAGGCACGTGGATACGCGCATCTCATTACTATAATCATCAAACTAATTCATCTTGTTGACTAGAGAAATCAATTTTGCTAATCTGAGCCAGTGGTTCTCAAACTTTTTGGTCGTTGTAACTCTTTGTAGTAGTGTCAGATATTTAGTTGAAGCCCCAAAATAAAAGCAACTAATTTCTTGTAAAAAATAAAAGCAATTTAATTTCTTGTTTATTAATATTGTACTTTTGCATTTATTATTAAACTTCAATCGTTTACCGAAAAATGACCAATATTTTTATGGACCTCCATCATAAAAATTCATAGATAATTTAGTTTATTTCCATTGAAATTTAATGATTTAGGGAAATATTTAAATCTCTTATGGTCCACGAGAATTACTAGTTAGTACAATACTAATTAAAATTCAAAAATTACCAATGCTAATTTATAAAAGTCAATTGATCAACCTCGACCCAGTGACTTCAAGGACAAGTGTTTGCTTCTCATTGTAAAATTTTGTTTTAGATGAAAAAATACAGAGGTTACCTACAAAAGCAAAACTGGTTTCCGAGGTTTTTACATTTTTATATCGCTCCATAAATGTATAAATATGTTATAATAACATCAAGTTGAGTAAATCACGGATTTTTAGTAAATCTATTATTTTACTATCAGATAAAAAGTCAAGGACCCGGTCTTCAAATCTATTTATATTTTTAGCCGCAAGCGAAAAAGGTTAAGAATCGCTGGACTACAACATTTATTGATTTTCTTTTCTCTTTCTAACAGTTGGAGAAGATAAGAGCTAAAGAAGAAGTGGATGTGATAGGCGAGAAAGTAGGGGAGTGGGGCACGGGTGAAGGCGAGTGGACAGACGAGCAGAGAGATAGAAAACCTACAGAGTTTGAGAAGGAAAACCCCAACATTCTAATGCTAGACAAAGACGGACAGTTTGAGAACATGTGAGCAAGACACCGACAAGACAAGAAGAAAAGAAAAGACAGCACTTAGCGTGATGCAATTGCAATGGTTGAAGTGGCTTCTATAATGGCGTTTGCATCACAATAACAGTTTATGGTAAGGTTTTTGGTCATATTGATAAGATGTTAACTGGTAAATGGTGTGTTTGTAATATGTATATTAGGTGATACCGATGAGCGTTACACTAGCAATAATAGGATGGTGCCTGAGTAATAAAAAAAATTCCATTTAGTCTGTCTGCCAGATAATAGAAAAATATTATATACTTTTTTTTACATAAATTTAACAAAAAATAGCTTAGATAATAGGCATCAAAGTGCTACGTCACAACTATGTAAAAATGTACAAAGGTGTGACGACATGCGACAACTCTATATGTTTAACGTATATCAATAAAAAACTTATATAGTAATTTATTGATTACGCAAAAAATACGTGTGTTTATAATCTTTAATAATCTACCTGACGGACAAACAAATAAAAATTAACCATCATACCTATTCTAAACGGCAATTTTGCGTTATTAAGATTAAAATTTAATTCAAGAAACTTATTAGACTTTGAAAAGTTCAATCGAAACTTTAAACAGTTATATCTATTTGTACCCAAAGTGATATAAAAATAAAGTTCACTTTCAATTCAATTACATCAACAATAAGGTGTAAACTCCGCAAATGAAAACTATGAAATGGCTACCGGTTAATAGACTGTCGATTTGACCATATCCCAAGGTTTTACAAGATTTTCATGTTACTACTTAAACAAGTGTTCAAATATTTAGTGTTATAACCCGAGCCATAGTTGTTAAGTTTATTATATTGATATGTAGTCACAGTTTCTTAAACTTCTCATAATCTTTATCAAGAAAATATTTTATAGAACAACTATAAGATAGTGTTCAGATACTATACTTGATGCACGATTTTTTAGTACGAAGTTGCTTAACTATTTTTATCCTGTAATGTCCATAATAATCCATAATAGAATTGTACATACAGCACTACATATTATTACTATAGTAACATATTATTATCAGCATTTTTTTTAAAGTGACCAATCATAATACTTATTTATTATGCAGAAAAAATTATATTACACAAAAGTGCTGTGTTTCGTACAAAAATATAGTTATTTTTAAAGTAGCCTTGCTCAGTATTGGCTCACTGGTAAAATTATTTTAATAACATTGGATCTCCAAACCAAATCACTTTTAATTCTAATAATTAGGATATATTGTTCTACGATTTGTATTGTTACAGAATATTGCTTTCCTAATATTAATGTTGTTGATTAATTGATTTATCAATCTTGTAGCTTGTAACTAAAGTAAATGTTGAGGAAGTTTAAACGGCTCTTGATTTGTTGCCTGGATTGATTGCTCTATAAAATAAGTATCAGTTTCCGATAAATCAGAAGCTGTTTTATAAGAATGTGATGGATGAGTCTCAATTTGAGTAGGCAGCATAGCATAACAAACTCGAGAGGCTCTAGAAACGCTCGAGAAACTCTAGAAAAGGGTTGATGCTCTCTCTGAATGCGATTGATTGATTTAGAAAACGAATCTGGATGAAATTATTTTATTATGTAATAATAAAATGATTGCAAATCTCTACATTATTGATAATCGACTTTTCAACAACTTTACTATGAACTATATTCTACATATTATAATAAAAAAATTTAGACATTGTTCCAATAAGATCATTCCTATATATAAAATGTGAATTTGTTAGCAGTAATAAAGCTCGAATATAATCCGCTCGTCTTCTAAATGTTTTAATACATATGTTTACTGTTTGTTTGTTCATCCGGGAATAAAGTTATACAATATCTCGTGTCCGGGAACTTTTGTGGAATATGTAAAATAAAAACTGTTTATCACTTATTAATAAGCATATTACGTATTTTACGAATTTTATCTCCAGTCCCCAAAATGGTGAACCTCAGGGGTCTTATTTAGATTTTATGTTCATATTTTAATACTGGGAAATTATGGCATATGGTCAGTGAGGTCCTATACCAATAATAGATTCAAAGACTAATTACATAAATACTTACGTTAGGCATTGCGTTATAAAGAAAAACACTAAGCATATATATAGTTAGAAAAATTTTGGTTGGACTTGTTAATATATACACATACCAAATAAGAATATTCATATTGTAAACCCAAGAGTTCTCGGATATCTTTCTAACGTTTTTAAACTCACACGATTTGTATACATTATAATTATATGCAATCGGGTCTTGTTCGTGCATTTTTTAAAACAATTAATTAACCTCGACGTTTCGACTACGTTACAGCAGCCGTGGTCACGAGGAGACTGCTGTAACGTAGCCGAAACGTCGAGGTTAATTAATTGTTTTAAAAAATGCACGAACAAGACCCGATTGCATATAATTATAATCTTTCTAACGTATCTTAGTTTCTTTCAGAGACGAAAGTTGTAAAATAGTTTAAGCTTTTTTATATATATATAAATATTGCGGGTTTATTTTTTAACTTTTGAATGCAATGTGATGTATTTTTAATTCGAACTAAGAGTTATTCAATAAAGTTGATGAAATTATTACGTTGTTTATTATTTCACTAGAGAAGAAAACACGATTTCATTAAAAATATATTTTTATTTAAAAAGTAAAGAGCAACGTGACACATTACATTTTATTTTAATGAGATCATTAAAATTGTAAATATAGTGTTTTATACAAAACAATGTTTTCGGCAAAACATTTAGTATATTGCTTTAGATTTCCATTATCATTTACATAAAGAGTAATATTTAGTTATTTATGGGATAGCTACTTTCCTAGATTATACCATATTTTTATAAATATCGAGGACTTTATAAAAATAAGGTATCTGCTACACTGTATTAGTCCCATAAGTAATTTACATAGATTTTGTGGTTCTATTTTTATTTAGCAAGTGACGTTCTTTATAAACATAATTTCATATTAAAATACGAAGATTGTATCACTATTTACACTGTACATAATATGGTGTCCGTCACATCAAAATAATACAATTTTATGTCCATTTATGTCAATAATACAACATTAACAAAGAAGTTATGTAATAGAGAATATGCTCATATTTAAATAAGGTTTTAAGATAATTTATATCGCTATATAACTGTAAAAAAATTGCCAGCACCAAAAAAAAATATTTTGGTAACAAAAATAAATTATTAATTTAAGTAACAACTACATACAAGCACTTTAAACGCCTGATTTTTTGGCGCGCTTGTTGTGACGTCAAAGTACGCGACTAGAGATGTGACGTTTTAAATCAATATGGATTTTGAGTAATTATTATTCCATTCCATTACTCAAATCGATTAACAATTAATCGACTTTTTGGATAATCATATAGTTTATCAAATAAATAAAACTTTTAAAACATAATTTAAATTGTAATAACCTGTTTGTTTATTTTGCGACATAATACATTAATGTTATTGCATCGATGATAACTTTTTGTAACAACGACATACGTGTACATTTTCGTCACATCCGCCCTGACAAATAGCATTGTGTTTGAGTATTTTGAATTTAAGACAAAAACGAAATAATATTGAAAAATATTTACATAAACTTAAACCCTTTTTAATCAGACGCATATTCCCTTTAACATTAAATGTATTTTGACGTCATAATTAATTTTGACTCTAATGGTTTAGATGTGTAATACAGGACCTGGCGATGGCAGAAAGCTAGTCTAAAGAATAAATGACGATGTAACCTTTGAATGAAATCAAATTATTATATTTTGAAAGCTATTAAAAAAAATGCGCAATGTTGAATGTGGTTGCGCCACTTTTTGGGATTTTGAAATTAATTATTGACCCATCAAGTCCGTTATTCATCAATCGGACGGACGGACACTTTATATAACTTTGTAAGTGATAATCATTATACTAGTGTATAAATCAATAAAAAAAATTAGTCAGTATTCATTAATAAATTATGATTTCATATAAGAATTACAGGGAAAGAACAAATGTATGAACTCCACATCTTATCAAAATAATTCGAACTTTCACAATGGATTCTGAACCTTACTGACAACAGATAAAGGTCAAATCTAATTGCATAAATTTTACAGTTAATACTGTACACAATCATATTTTCGATATAACGATAAAACATTTAAAAGAGAATGTCAATTCACATATCTTTAACATTATCTAGTATAAGGGTCAATTCATGCTAGCTAACTTTGGTGCTCCGAATTCTTTACAGGTAGACATTTTTCGAGAATTTGTGTAATTCGCACGCTAAATCTTAATGCAAAAAAATTAACGCTAACATTTCTTCTAAGACAAAAATCCAACACTAATCTTTTTTGTCTTAGAGGAAAATATGAACCTTAACATTCTTAAGATAAGGTTATATTTGCTTAATTCAGAGTGACGCTTATGTTCTGTGCGAGTATGAATTGACCCTAAATTGTCAGAATCATATATTTGGACACAGAAGAGATGACCAAGGTACAATTAGCTAAGTTTTTGAAATCAATAACGATCTGTAGAAGCATTTTAAAAGGCCGACAAGATAATGGAGGGTGCCAGCTGCACCATATACTCTTGTAGTACACACGCATTCGCATGCGAAAGTGAAACTATATTCGAAACTTCTGCATAACGGTTAGTACACTGCACTACATTTTTTAAAAACAAAGAAATGTTACTAACTTTCGTGAGTTGAGTCGTATTATTGAGATTCTTTTTTTATAGACGTACTTTACTAATGCAAACGTAACTAGCGAAACGTGCGTGCGTGTGTGCGTGCGTGTGTGTGTGTGTGTGTGTGTGTGTGTGCGCGTGTGTGTGTGTGTGCGTGTGTGTGTGTGTGTGTGTGTGTGCGTGCGTGCGTGCGTGCGTGTGCGTGTGTGTACTGTTTCGCAAGGAACGACCTTTCACGCAGGTCCTTGCGCTTGCGCAAACAGTATTGACATGGACGCAGCTTTTTCATCTAGACAAAGCAGGCGGAATACTGCCATACGAGTATATGTTATTTTGTATGTGCTTTCTCATGCGACTGCGTTAGTGTACTAAAGGTGACCCATGACATCTATTTAGTGTTACTGCAATGCATTAGCAATTCCTTTCTATCAGGAGAATTATTGTACTTAGGTAATCTCGGTTGTGCTCAAATACTTGATAGTGACTACAGCAGTGTTGTGATTCCATCATCTATCAATAATATCGATATTATCATTATCCGATAAGCGATATAATTAAATTGTCGACGGATATTCCCGTATTATCGATAGTTTGAGTGAATTGCACGACACTACTGGATAACCTGCAATGGGCTATCTGAAACACCGTACAGATTGTAATATTTTCGTATCTTACGTACATTATATAATGTCAACTACAATAATATTTTATATCTATTATAATTTCACATTAGGCCTATTTGTACATGTATTCTCTTCACAACACATGAATGAATCAATCTACGATTGTCAATGTTATAAATTATTCTAAACGTGGCACTTTTTATTTTAGGCAACTCAAGTCAAAGCGTGTGTAAGCATTATATAATATGGTTCTGTCCATTTTACTCGAACTAAACATTATATAAAAATTATAAAAACAGAACTTTGTGTGATTGAAAGACAGTTGGAAATTACTAATTTAATATTATTAAAAAAATAGGTTTTTCAAGTATTAGCGACATCTATTCACAGTATAAAAACAATGAAAACTGTGATGTTCCATTTCATCATTTAACATCTAAAGCGGAAGAATTTATAAAGTAATAAAGTATTTCATTGATTTGTTTATATATAATACAACTTATTAAATAAATAGGAATGTTACGTGTTAAACGATAATTACGAATAACACAACAAGGTGTACAATATACAGGAAGCAATTAAAACCACTCTCCGAATTTGAGTATGTTAATCTTTACGACAAATAATGAAATACGTGTTTTTTCTTTTTATGTCGTTTAGAACAAAAATGTTGAGTTATATCGTCACCAAGTTATTTTCAAAAAACCTACATTTGTGGACGCTCTCGCTGCACAGTACGTGCGCTTTACACACTACGTTACACTTACCCCTCCCTCCCTTGCCGCAATTCATTGATAATAATAAAAATAGTAAGTAGGTAAGTAAATATCGAGTTACCTAAAATTCTGTTTAGTTAAACCAATTCAAAGTAGGTACTTAACTCGCTATTCTTTTGCAATCAGGCGTATTTAAAAAATCATCAACTTTATGTACATAATCAACTAATCAATATACCCTACCTACTTTAACTATTTACCTACGTATACTTTAATAATTGTTCAAAGTGCATACCGTTCCTCTCCAAACAGAGTCTTGCACCTTTTCTGCACATTGTCTTTTAATTTTGCAAGCACTGCAGTGTCATTTTTCACTTGGTTAAATGCCGCTCTAATTTTGCACTTTTAAGTCCTCGAGGCTTTGTGCTTTCTCAACATACACACGACTTTTAATTTCGCCCCACAAATTATAATTTCATATATGTGATCTATTAACGATACCTAATGCCTAGAAAAAATTTGGAGAGTCATTTTAATTGCATCCGGTATATTTTTAACTAACACCCAGTTACGCAAACTTCCATGGAGGTTAATGACAACTTTAAGCTCTAATGAATATTCAAAATTTGTACCTGTAATGTAATGTCACTTTAAATTATTGAAAATTTTATTGGACCTTTGTGCAACTGGGTGTTAATAAGTAAGATATGTTAATGACAACATTTAGTTCAAATAGCACACATTTTTAAACATAAATGTTTAAACACAACCATTTAAACTCTTCACAAGTCTCGTTGCATCACCGATGTAAAAATTTCAATCAAGTTTAATTCATTTTCGTAACCTATATTTTACATTGACGAGGATTGAAATTTTTATTAAAAATTGTTGGAAGATTCAAAGGCGCCTTCATTATGATAATTTAATTGAAAAAAAACTTGAGTTGAATTTCAAATTAATAGTTAAACATAGAATTTGATTTCGATTTGTTTTGAACATTACGAATTCCAATACTTATTAGATACAAAAAGTGAAGTAGCCCAAAACAATCATTATCAATTATTATTATACATACCAAAATCAAGATGGATGTTTATTATAAAATTGAAATGAAATTCACATTTTAATATTTCGGCTGCCCCATTTCAAATGTACCAGCTTCGGAACCTCACATATAAACATATATATCAAAACATCGATACTTGGTAATTGCCTCGTCCCTATTTTAAAACCTGGCAAGTCACTTTGACCGTTTGAAAACCTAGCAAGTCTTTAAAATTTTTATTATTATAATAATTTAACACTTCAAATGATTATTGTTATAAAAAACTATTTTTATATAACACTTTATTTAAAACCATCTATAACGTGAATTAAGATTTTTTTTTATTCATAAAAAAGTGATCGTTTTATTTCACAAACAACTTTTAGGTACTTACTAGGTTTTGAGATGAGACAGTTGAAGCCGTTACCGATAAGTTTTGCATAGTGAGCGTTAATTGTATCAAAATAGGGATTAAAATAACTTAACTATAGAGGTGAAATGTGATGTCGATTAAAAATAATATCCCTGATAACTACTGATCATCGTCAGATGTATCTGCGGTTTGTGTAGCGGGTGGTGTGGAATCTTGTACTCGTTTGAAGTTGGCGAGCACCTCGAAGTGAGTCTGAAGCGAGTTGGGCGTAGCCGGCGAGGAGGATTCGTGCAAATACCGACTTATCTAAAGCGAGGTATATGGATAATGATTATAAATGGTAAGTTTTTCTCTTCTAGTTTCATTTTCGTTATTAGGATTTATAGTTATCGCTGTAATGTCATTTATAAATATATATTTTCAAGCGCCCTATCCGTAAATGAAAAAACTTTTAAACGTTTTCTTCGCGTTTGTATTTAGTTAGTAGAACTATCAACAAAACGTATTGTTTTTGGACATATTCACAAAACAATATTTTTTTTTAAATATTTTATGGATTTTTTTTATTCTATTTTACAAATTTTGATATATCAAGGAGTTCACAATTCAATTTCTTTATAGCTGTAAATATAGTATGATGTAGACTCAGGAGTTTTGAGTGACATTGACAACTGACACATTGTGATGACGGCACGTGTTTAAGATTTTTGTTTGGGGTCACGTGACATAGTTTAAAAAAAGCACATTTATTTTGCATTTTTTTTAATAGAATCTAATTGAATAGCAGTTTTTGATTAGTACAATACTGCCGTTCTAAACTTTGAAGTCGGTTTTGTTAAAAAAAACTTATTTGATGCTTTTTAATAATAATGATGATTTTATATAACGGGTAACACTGAAAATATTAAATATCTAATAAGAATATGTCAACATAACGAAAGTCTTAGTTAAGGAGATTTTATAAATTGTTATACATATTTTTTTTCAATAATATTTTTATTGCTTATTTGTTTGTATTGCATCTCCGAAACTATTGAACCGATTATAATATGAATTCAATTAAACATTACCGATTCAAGAGTATAAAATAAAATAACGGATAGGGGTCGTCCACTAATAACGTGTTGCTTTTTCAAAATTTTTCAACCTCCCCCTGCCCTCGGTGATATATGGTGAGGTTTAGGACTAACCTCCCCTCCACCCACCTACAAAACCAACCTACAAAAAAACTTAATTTTAGCCGCCGCGTTTCGGTTTAGTAATCGCACGTTTGAGAACAAATAAATACACGTGATACATTACTACATCCCCCCTCCCCCTGTGATATTTCGTGGTTTTTGTCAAACCCCCCTCCCCCTTCGAGTCACATATCGTTAATTAAATATAAGTTTCCTATTCAATATGATCTGTGATCAGTGTCAATAGCCCCAGTGCTCCATGTATATCTCACCTCGGCGCCGAGTTTGTGCAGCAGCGTGGTGAAGGCGCGCTCCTCCCGCCCGATCCAGGGCCGGCCCTCGTCCTGCACCTGGTACGGGCTCACGTGCACGTACACCTTCACCTCTGCCAGATTGTATAAGACGGGTATAGTAATCGTTTTTTTTATATTAAATGAGATGCAATAAAAGATGGAAAAACAATTATAGTTCAGCTCACTTAGCTATTACACTAGCAAATATCATATTAATTTAATTATTAAATTTAAATACAAACAATTAAAATCATTATTATTTAGGACTACATCATTATTATAACCATTGAAAAATTTCAGAAAAATTAAAACTATGTCATTATCATTGTAACAAATTCAATTCAATTAGTATTACAGCAAAAAAAAATGTTATGAAACAGTTATTATTATAGTGTTTTGTTAGACAAATATTCATGGACTGAGTAGTAACATTTATGCAGTAAGAGTTTTATCAGGTTCTTTTTATATAGGTTGAGTGGAGGATCTTTCACATAGTTTAGTAATTTATTATAAATTCTAACAGCCATAGGATAGCAGCTACTGCTTTGCTTTGTTGTAAGTATACTGCTTTGCATTGTTGTAAGGATAGATTTCGATAGTTAGGTTTTTCACCTACCTATATTTCCCTACGTTTCGACCAGGTTACACCGGCCGTCACGGGCTGACTGCTTATGTGATCGCATTAATATCCGTCTTATACAAACAAATTAAATGCAACGTGAAAGTTTCAAAGTTTACCTCTGTCACATATAGTATTCATAAAGTCACCTTCCTATTGGGGGCGTAGACAACTTATTTTTATATTTTTAATTTATATATATATATATATGAAATATACAACGTGTCCCAAAATTCAACGATAAGCGGGCGCCAAGAGGTACCCTTGCTCATGTGTACTTATGGAAAAATAAGAAAAAAATTATATCTTATCTTTTTTATTATAAAATTAAATTCGAAAATCTTCAAAAATTTACACATTTTATGATATTTTCAACTACCACGACCACAACTTCTCAATTATGTTCAATCTTTTTTTGGTATCGGATACCTAAGTAGCACTACTATTCGCTACAACTCTTTCGAAAATTTTCGAATTTAATTTTATAATAAAAAAATTAATAAGATATAATTTTTTTCTTATTTTTCCATAAGTACACATGAGCAGGTCTACCTCTTGGCGCCCGCTTATCGTTGAATTTTGGGACAAGTTGTATATAGATATATTTATACATAAAAAAATCATTCATATAATAATTTAAAGGCTGAAAATAAATTTAATTTCCAAAAGTTATGGTGTCGCTATGACGTCACGCCCCTCTTAAACTAATATCGTTCTATGAAGTACTGATATGAGTAGAGAGGCTCTCTGTCTGCTTTCATTAATATATTCCAGATAGTATATGCCAATCCGATTTATCGTGGAACACCAGTTCCGGAATTGAGAGAGCCCGAATGGTCAATTTTCAAATATTTTCTAAACAAATTAAAAATTACATGACTATTAATCTTTACGAGTCACACAATAGTTTGTGAATCGATTTAAATTTACCATTAAAGTAACGTATAACTTTCATAATAAAAAATGATTAAAAAATCCATTAGCCCCAGAGTACCTACTCTGAGATGGGATTTGAACCTGGGTTTGATTAATAATATTTTCCAGAACTGCATTGCGAATTTAAAATTGATGAAATACATACATGAAATAATTATCAATCCAACAAAACCTCTTTAAAGTAATTTTATTTAATGCACATGAAAATATGAGGGACAAGTAGGTATATTAGTCCAAGATCCCAGAGCCCCCAGACCTACGTCATTTTAGCAAAGCTGAAATTTTGAGGATTGTTAGTACAATGTGTTGTAAGGAGCTATGCGTACCCACTACCTTGAAAGCGGGGCCGTTTCTCAGGTAGCGCGAAATACAGGTGCGTAAAAAACTTACTTACCTACGTTAAAGTAGCAAAGTTCGTTTTCACATATGTTTTTGAGAATATTATGTAGAATTCAAATTCACTATTGCCAGACACTTTCCGTGGGCCATTACTTCTACCAGACGTCTTTAATATTATTTAAAAATTAGGTAAATTATTGAATATTAAAAGTACTTGGAGTGTTTAGGAAGATGAGGAACATTATTTTGGATATTATTTCAAGAATAGAATTACAAAATATTATAAGGTTTTCTCTATAAAAAATTATTTAAATGTTAAGATATTCACACATTATTATGAAAAAAAAAATTATTACATCCGTAGCTATGCATTTTCATTATCATCATCATCATTGTCCGAGCCCTTACTTCCCTCAACAAATTCATATTAAAATTGAATATTTAAATCATCTTCACCTTGATCTTCATTGTTACTTGAATTCTCTGTAAAAATAAATAATTTAATGATGTTGAAAATAGTTACAAGTATATTGAAATCATTTAAAGTTAAAATAAAATACCTAATTCGTTTTCAAATGACTCGCTCACAAAACTTGGTAATTGGTCACCATCAAACCAGTTAAAATTATATTGGCTATCTTTTAAAACCCACCCATTATTCTCTGGGCTCAAAATGCTAGGATTCTTCATATGAGCATTGCTCCAGATACTTGCAATATAATTTGCTCGTCGAAACTGTTGAAGCAATTCGGATTTGCATGGTGGTAAATTGCTTGCGTCAAAATTTCTTACATTTTGCCGCTGGAATTTCTCATTCACATTGTCAACTGTATATGTATTAATAAAAAGTTGTAGCCGTGCAGCATCTACATCAATTATTCCGGAAACATTGTATAACTCGCAGATAAATTTTTGAATTACATCGAATAATAATATTAAAGACGTCTGGTAGAAGTAATGGCCCACGGAAAGTGTCTGGCAATAGTGAATTTGAATTCTACATAATATTCTCAAAAACATATGTGAAAACGAACTTTGCTACTTTAACGTAGGTAAGTAAGTTTTTTACGCACCTGTATTTCGCGCTACCTGAGAAACGGCCCCGCTTTCAAGGTAGTGGGTACGCATAGCTCCTAACAACACATTGTACTAACAATCCTCAAAATTTCAGCTTTGCTAAAATGACGTAGGTCTGGGGGCTCTGGGATCTTACTCTATATAATTTAATTGTATTATATAGTATGTAATGAATAGATATTAAATTAAATTTATTCATTATTTTAACAAAAATGAATCTTTTTTGTCTTAACAAAAAAAATCTTTCTGAATGAATGAGTACATGAAGAATGAATGAATGAGCGAGTGTATTACCGAGCCTGGTGAGTGTTTCGAGTAGACTGCGCGATGTGATCCACGTGTTCTTGCCGCCCGCATGTCCTCCGTCCAACCAGTACATGCCCTCTATGCGCTCCATAAACCTATACACACAGGAGCGGATTTACCCTGAGGCCACAGTAGGCCCGGGCCTAGGGTGACCAGATAATATAACAAATAATAGGGATAATGGAAAATCTTCTTTAACACGTATTTTTTCATTTTCTCAATCAATAAATTACGCCGCTACATTGAGTCGAAATGGCGCATGACATCACGCCTTTGGAAGTGTTCTACAAAGTTGTGACGTAGCGAGCCTCCTCTCCTCAGCTTTAATGCTTTTTTTTGTTAAATTGAAGTAAGCTATTTCTTGTTAAATTGAAGTAAACAAAAATACGTATCCAATATTTTTCTTTATTTTCTACCCAGTCATCATCCCTTTTGTTGATTTGCTTTAACCTGACTTATAAGTAGCATCGGTAAAATTCGTCTGTTCAGAAGATAGCATACTAAAGCTAGTGAAAGATGAATCCATGAATATTTAGATTTTAATGAGTTACGTTGCAATTTCGAGTCAACATATGTAAAAAAAAAATACGTGTATTCAATTTTTTTACAAACTACTTGACGGACAAATAAAAAACAATTAGTATTCATCCGTATTTACCTCATCATGTGCGCGTCTCCCGGCGTGAGTGTCTTGGTGTAGTGGAACTCGTATATGACCTGGTTGAGCACAACGCAGCCCTTACTGAACCCCACCAGTGTCAGTCTCGTCTCATCTAGAGCTAGCTTCTCTCGCCACCAAAGCGGATCCGATGATTCACTACAAAACAGATCACGAATGAAAATATAAATAGACAAGGCATATTATTAGATTGACGAAGGAATTACCAGAAAATATCTTTATTCAAGTAGGCTATTACAAGCACTTTAGAATCGTCCAAATCTCTTATTGTGATCTTTTGTTGTAATGGAAAGTGTCTTAGTCTAATGAAATAATTTTTTATTAGTGGATTTGAAAAAAGTAGCTCTTGGTGAGTTTATTTGCGAGCCGATGGCGTAGCTTTCTATTTTCAAAAGTGCCTAGACTGAATAGATCATAATAAATTTGGACCTACGTATATCGAGATTGTTGATTCTAATACAAACGATAATGTGCTGATTGTTCTACAGACAGACAAACATGATAATAATTTCTTCTCTATTATATTACGACATTATTTTGTTTTTTTTTTATCCATAAATAATTATTTTCGAGCCCAGTAAATACGATCATGTCTCCCAATTTCGCCAACAACTCCAATGTCTCTCTATTCGGCAACGTAGAGATTTACATATCCTGTCCCTTCTTTACTCTGTGTTGTTCAATCCAAAATGCCCCTTTTATGTAAAACAATGTTTCAAGTTTTTATCGTCCACTCATGACCTATCTCTTCGTTCATCAGACAGTCTTCGCCTCTCGGTTCCTCAAAACCGTTCAAAATTCTACAGTCAATCGTTTACGTTACACGCGACTCGATTGTGGAATTCTTTGCCCGAAGATATCAGACGCTCACAGTCGCTCTACTCATTTAAATCTAAAGTAAAAGCGCATTTTCTGTCTGGTGGGCATAATTCTTAAAATCTTAATCCTTTATCCTTCCTTCTTATAGCTTGCGATATCTTCTGCTCATGTTGGCTACTTCGTATTTTACCCATGTATATTTATTTTATTATTAGTATTATTTTTATGTATATGTGTATATATATTATTATTATTATTTGTTTTTTTTTTTCATTTTATATATTTAGTTGATGTTTTCCCTAACTTTGTGCACGACCCACAATCACCTGCCACCAGTATCAATCAAAAGGTTGCCTGGAAGAAATCGCTGTTCAGCGATAAGGCCGCCCATGGCACAACTGTAATTAATTTATTTTTTTGTTCCTTGCAATGTCTTTATTTATTTTTACTTTTTTTGTGCAATAAAGTGTTACATAATAATAATAAAACTAAAAACAATTTAGGCTAGTTGTCAACTTTTTTATTTTATAAATAAATAGTCCATTGATATGTGAGAAATAATGTAGAAGCAATAGTGTGTCTGCAATTAATAATTTCGAAGATACGGTGCTATGTTTGTGGAACCGCTGCTAGTTGACCGAAAACGCTCCCTACAAATTTAAGACACTAAGTGACGTCAGACAGTGCTACAAAAGCGAAAAACGTATGGGCAAACTTAGTTATTTGTGCGTTTGTGTTTATAGCTGTTATAATCAATGTTGTAATATTTTATATAACTAATTTATTGCCATATGTATTTTAGTAAATTTCCCTACTTTTTCCAAGTTTTCAAAGCGTAATATTATCAAAATTAGTATCAGAAAATTTATTTTGTTAAATATTTCTAAGTTGAAATAGTCCATATTTTTCAAACATATAACAGACACCTGTATTTTCATTAGCAGGACACAAGCCTATTATATTATATGTATTTTATGTTATAATTTTGTCTTATATTTATTCGCAGACTATATACCAGGAAATATTTATAGTTTATTTGCCATTGAGTCTGCAAAGGATTTGAAACGTCTATTATAATAAAACGAATAAAATACATGCACCTAAAACATAATATTATATTTGATTAATTTTGCATTCACAATATGAATGCTATTCTGAAAAATATTCTAGTGAAAAACGGTTCAAAAATCCTCTTTTTCCCCGATACTCCGAGATGGGACTCGAACCTACGACCTTTTACAATCCGGCGAGTGCACCAACCACTGCTGCTAACCAGGACCTAACAGCATTGACGAATATTTCCAAGCCCTTGTTACTTTTTCGTTACAGAGCGTATTCTCATCAATGTTCAGGCAATCCACACAAACACCCGAAAGAAATATTTTTACTAATATTTAAACTTTCGATAAAGATGACAATTTGTTATAATTATTATATTAGACCAATGTTGCAAAATGCTATACTAAAAAATGCTTAAAATACACTTTGTCTCTGGCACTCGACGATGGGACTCGAACCCATGAACTCATTATAATAATGAATGAATAAATAAATAACAATGATAACTATTTCTACTGTGATAACATTCTACAGAAACATACAAAATTATCAATCAAAAACTGTCTACAAAAGAAGTCATTCAAGTTTTCAATGGCTGTCCCCTCGACGTTCGATCTCCCCTCGCTACGCGGCGCTAGTGTGATTGGAAAATCATAGTATAAGATACTGCGTGATTTTGTTTCGATGAAAAACACACACGGAGACACTATTTTTTTTCAATTTTTATTCACATATCAAATAACTTTAAACAATTAATTAAACAAATGACATATTTTTTATTCGTTTCCGACTCGCTGTCGGCCTTTTATTTATTTATTTATATTTCGGATAATATCAACTTTTTATAATAATATACTTTTTATATAACTTGTGATCACTACTTAAAATTCCTACATTTAGGTCAATTACAATTATCCACAAAAAGAAAACATCTAGTACTTATATGAATATGAATTTATTAAATAGTTATACTGTAGGTGCTTGCAAAAAAACAATAAAAAATGTGGGTACTTTAACATTCAGTCTGTAAAAACATAATAAAAGTATATATAAAGATAAAATGTGCTGGTCTACAATTATTAAACTATCATGTAACCATATTTTCGCAAATAAAGATTATTATTATTATTTTATATCACAACATCCATTGGAACTAAACCTACTCACGGCTTGTGCTCGGGCTGCGGATCGGCCTTCGCCCCGTTGGAGCGCCCTTCCGACGTTTGATGGATCGACGCGTTCTGGACATCATTATTTATCAGATGAGACGAAATTTTTCGATCAACCTACTTGATAGTTTTATTTGTAATTTAAAAAAATGAAAATTGTTAAAAAGAAAGGCTCTAGTCTGGTCTACCAAACCTATCGCTGCATAAAATTTCAACACAATTGGTCCAGCAGGTCAACTTTACTAATTTTTACCTAATAGTCGCATCTCAATAGACTTGCATTTTGCCATTGTACACACCGAAGCCCGAAAGGTTACCACAACATGTCAAAATTTTGCAATTGATTTGCAACTTTATACGGAATTCGTTAAGGTTTAAAATAAAGTCGATAACTTGACACATTTGAAAAGAAAAAGAATATATTAATTTAACAAAAAAACAATTAAATTATTATTCTTTCAGTTTATTCATATGACGCATAATATTGAACTTCAGATAGATATTACAATGGTAAAACGTAAGAAATTGAGATTCCATTGAGATGCAATTTGTAAACATTAGCAGACTTGGCCTGCTGTGCTTAGACTGCTAGGGTTACAGACATAATGCGCAGACAATTACTTTTACATTAATGTACACTAAAATCTGTGCCTGTTCGCCTAGCAAAAATGTTGGACGCAGGACGATATATATCGTTAGTTTTTCGACACTCACATAATAGGTATTTGTGTTATTATCCGTTATTTCGCCCGCCTTAGGATCAGACTCATAATCATCATCATTATCATCATCAGCCCTTTTACATCCCCCACTGCAGAAGCTCAGGCCTCCCTTGTGGCTGGTTAAGGAGAGTGGGCCATGACCCTCCACGCTAGCCCAATGCGGATTGGAGATTATCAAAGACTGAAAATGTAGCCGGGACCAACGGCTTTACGTACCTTCCGAGGCATTGAGTAGCTCGAGATAATAATTTTTGGTCACCCATCCCGTGAGCGACCTTTGAGAAAGATGCTTAACAACAAAGATCGTGGGTTGTGGCGCTTGTCCACTACGCCATCGAGCTACTTAGGACCAGACTATAATACGTTTATTACATAAAAAACTGGAATCTATTTAAAAGGATAATGAACAAATTTAGCTAAGATTTTTCAAGCTAGTTTTTTTATATAACTCCACTTACATGTAAATCTTCTATATCTATTTCTTCTGGTAAAGATACTGCCGACACTGCATCTATGAGTTCTGTAGTGGGCAATGCTTTAAGTCTACTGCTCACCGACTGTAGTAACCTGCATACAGATTATAATAAAAATAAACCCGTTTCATTTCTTCGTCACAATTTATATGAGTTTATAAAATATTTATTTATTTATTCTTTTGGGAAACAACAGCATTGAGATACACATAGAATAAACATAATTTAATTAAATAGTACAGTTGCCTAGTCAGTTTCCACTGCTAAACATGGGAATGCTATTTCTTTTTTTATTAAGTTTTTTTAATAAACGACCAACTAGGGATAAGATAACATGAAAATACGATTAGAAATCTCAACATCAAAAATATTCACAGCAATCTGTAACCGTAAAAGGTAATATAATATAATTTAAAGTATTGTCATCTGCGCGATTTTCTTCTATTATCAAATTATTAAAATTCATGTTTCTGTTTTTAATAAGCAATCGATCATACTTTTAATTATCATAAAATGATTTATATTTGTCAATTAGTATAGTCTTATAATAAAACTGGTTTGAAAAGTGTTATTCCGTACAACCTCGCCTTAAGTCCTTATACTTGAATGTGCCATGTTTACCTTTCTAGATGGTGTAGTGCACTGTGTGTGGGCGTGTGGTCGGGTACACCCGCGTTATTGCTCGGTACGAAGTTATCGTAACAACTGAAGCTTTTGTACTCTATCCTGTACACAATAAGGGCGAACTTTAATCAAACTTCTGTACTCTATCCTGTTCACCATAAGGGCGAACTTGAATCAAAATTTTTAAAACAGTAATTTTTAAAGTGTGGGAATCCTCGCACGCGTACTACTTTTTGATTATTTTAGCTTCAAAATCGGATATATATCAAATATTAACCCTGGCAACCCTGCTTTTTTACATATAATAAACCCTTCGTGCGCTAATCCGTCTCGCACTTAGCCGGTTGTTATGAAGGCACTATACCCACCTAGACGGTCTAACGACAAGTATATGTTTGTTTGGGAAATTGTGTCCGAGCATGCGCGCCGTATTCTCCAAGTTCCATTTTACGTAGTTTCTGTTATCCCGATGTGCTTGCATTACTTCTGGGTAATCCTGTTAATCAACAAGTATATTAATACAATAAATTAATTGATCTCATGTGATTTTTATAAAAAAATAGTAATACTCTCAGATAACCCTCTTACATGATACCCATATGACAGTGCAGAAATCTATCGTATGTCGCCATCTTGGGCCGTACGCCATATTAGATTCAAAATGATGTCATTTAGCTAACTGTGCATTGTCAACTTATAGTTAAACCTGTTTATAAAATTCAGACTTATCTGTTAGGTACCTATTTTAAAAATCAAATAAAAGTTCCATACCCAAAGAATAAAATGAGACCCTATTACTATATTATATATACTAAGACTTCGCTGTCCGTCCATCCATCTGTCTGTTACGAAGCTCTAAACTAAACTTTCAACTGATTTAAGGTTTATCCTATGTATCTCCGGTAAGCCCCTCCACCTGGGTCTAGTTTGATAATCCGGAAAAGTGTCCTCGGTGGGATTCTAATTTCTCTGGAAAGGATTTTCTGCTTCCTTATGGGATTTCGACGAATTCTGACCTTGACTGCATTAACGCCCTGGTTTGTTTGAATAGACCACTGTCGGGCGCACAGAACATAGAGAGAGAATAGAAGTAGTAAGTGGGCGGGGCAAGCGTCGCTGGCATATGCGCTTTTACTCATATGACGCCCTTTCCTCGGTTTTATATTTGTCAGTCGTTCGTCAATCGTCGAGTGGTGATTTTACTGATTTTTTCTATAAAAAATACCGTTTTGTGCTATTATCACTTGCAAAAAGCAAAACAAAGTATACAATCTAACTAATGCAAACATTTCCTTTCACTGGTAAGTACAATTTTAGTGCTAAAATATAAAAAACGTAATAATTTGACACAATTTCAAATAAAATATACATTGTTTGCTCAAACCAACATTAATGTTTCTAACCCCGTTTCTAGACAGCAATGTAAATCATATTGTGCACTTTTGCAAAAAATAGTGCTGTGCCTCCTGAAAATAAAAGATGAATTGATACTGAACAGATGAAATAATGAACTATTCAGGCACTTTTTTACGAAGATTCGGTTAATTATTTACACGCAGATAAATATTAAAAAATACTGATGTGCTATAAATATCTAAGTTACGAAGTATATCAACGTTTTATGAACAATATATAAATCAAACGAAACTTCGTGAAAAGCTACGAGTGTTGGCCTAATAGGTCTTATTAGAAACTGGTGAAACTGGATTTCACTTATTTTGCATTACTTATATTTCAGTTTCCCTAATAACTTTACAACGGATTGCCCTGTTTACATAATTTATTTTGTCCTATCCGTTTTAGACCTAAACCTATCAAATGAATTTCAAAACAACATATTATCTATACAAACAAAAAATCATGTTTTCAACTAACGTAATATTGTTGGTGGTGTGAATTTAATTTACAAAATTAATTTATAGGCGTCAATTTAATTTACTTTATTATGCTGATTCATAATCGGAAACCATTATTATAGAAATCGAGTTAAGATAGCCACTTTAAAGAACCGCCCACAGAACAGCTTTTATCAGTTTTTTTGTTGCTTCATATTTGCACATAAGTTTATAAACGCATGTCTCAAACGGATGTGACTTTATATGTAGATTGACGTTTGTACGTACTTATCGCTTTTGTGTCTGTCTTCAAACTTTTTTGTCACGGCTTTCAAACTCATACTTGACCAGCGATTCCTTATTGTCCAGTCGTTGCAATTAAAAATGTAGGTACTATTATTATTACAGTTAGAATAATAAACTTAGAATAATAAAGTAAAACAAACATGGCTATGATCAATTTATTATTGTAATGATCATATTAGTTATTATGAAATGAAATATATCTTTATTCAAGTAGGCTATTACAAGCACTTTTGAATCGTCCAAAAATTTTTTTCCCCCTACCACTTGTTCAGGACGTCTTTTAGCTGACAAGAAGAACAAGCGAAAGAAACTTACCAGCCCTATGATATTTACATAAATCATGTCATTTCATATCTTATCACAATAATAAATACAACTTTCAAAGTCTGTAGGACATAGGTTGAACATATAATTAGTCTTTATAGAACAAAGCGATGGCTATTCATTCCATGCATTGCGATTCTTAAAATAATCATCAACTTTATAATAGCCTTTACTCATAAGTATGTTCATTACATGAATTTTAAATTTATTTATGGGTAGGTCAACTACATTTTGTGGAACTTTATTGAACATAGCAATGTAAATGCATTGATCCTCTGGTTTTCTGAAGTCTGAAGCTTGGAACGGCAAGTTTATTTTTATTTCTTGTGTTATGATTATGAACACTACTTTTTTTTGTGAAGGAATCGTAATGTTTTCTTGCGTAGATAATATTTTCATTGATGTATTGAGAGGCAACAGTCAAAATATTTATTTCTTTAAATATTTCTCTGAGAGATTCTCTAGACCGTAAATTATATATAGCATGGACAGCTCTCTTTTGTAGAATAAAAATATCTTGAATGCTAGCCGCAGAACCCCACAACAAAGATTATACGTCATTACACTATGAAAATAACTAAAATATACCAATCCTGCCGTTTCAACATTTGTCAAGAGTCTAATTTGCTTAACAGCAAATGCTGCAGAACTCAGTCTACTTGACAAATTATTAATATGAGGATCCCATTGCAGTCGGGAATCTAGTGTAATACCAAGGAACTTTGTCGATTTCACCAACTCAACTTTTTCACTATTTACATTTATAAGTGTATTAATATGCCTCACATTAGGTAATGCAAACTTTATGTATTTCATTTTATTTGAATTAAGCTTTAAATAATTACTATCAAACCACTGTAGAACATTGTCGAACTGAATTACATTTTACTGTTTCATAACAAAATTTAAACCTCTTATTTCATCAACTACTATTATGTCACATCACTAATATGCACAATCGGAATGATACCAGTAAGAAAAAATTACAAATTAGGCTTAATGTAATTAATACAAAAATTCTGTTGGTTTCTTAATTTTTGTTTTTTTTTACACTTTCCCTCGCTTAATTATATTACTCCACAGACATATGATAGAGTTTATCATTAAGTTTTCTTAGTTTTTGTACTGCGTTTTTTAAAAGAAGTTATATAGGGAAAAGCGTTATTTTTTAATATTCACTTGGTTACAGCAAAATCTAATCTTAATAGTTCGCACATAAAATGATGTCCCCAATTTTTTAAAATGTGCATAATCTTAAAATATTTTTTCCCTTCTGGTATCCCCGTATACAGCCACGTGACAGTTCAACATTCATGTTAAAGTAAATTATTTATTATCACGTTGAATTAGAGTTTGTTTTTAATCGTGTGATTTCTTAGCTTAGTATCTTTTTGGGATTCTGTTTATGTTATCACGAACGTATCGCGTGGCGGTTTTTCATGTAGTGAACAAAATGATCATTTCATCTAATCTGTATTTGTGTGCGGAGAGGCGACATTCGGTTCCCATACTAAATCAATATCATTATACTTCTATTCTCTCTCTATGTTCTGTGGTCGGGCGGATCTCTCACGGTCATCAACAGACATGGTTTCAGTGTACCTTTGGATGGTACGAGACACAAATTTTCGGCTGACTCCTAGCTTTTCCAATGTTTCAAAAATGTCGGCTGGCTCCTTCCCTACTTTGTACGTTGCAATTACTGCAATCCTATTCTCTTTAGTACCCCACTCCATTTTCAAAACAAATAATTTCTACACAAAAAACACAATAATGGCGGGAAAGAAGTCTAATTTTTATCGTAGAAGCTAATGTTCGAAATTCAAATTAAAGGTTTTTCTTTAATGTATGTAAACAACCAGTAACAGAATTTATGGCTAGACTAGGTATTATGTTTATTTTTTTGGCTTGCACCTGTACATCACCACCGAAGTACACGAGGGTCTGTTGCTTATCTGGCGGCTGTCGCACGGCCGCCGGCTGGAACAAGGTGTCATTTAGGCGACCGTCGTGACCCACCACGCGCCGCAGACGCAGCGGCAGCATCCTACTTACAACATCTTGCGACGCATCACTGTAAACATTAATTCGTTCCATAAATCCTAGAAGCCTACTTTATCCCAATTAAACAAATGTAATCCATACGTTTCAAGAGGCGTACATAGGAAATTACAACTTTTAGGCAAAATTAAGCACTCTTATATTTGAATTTTTAATGGGTATATAAGATAGGACTATTCATTTATAATACAGTTTTTATCAAAGGAAACAGCAATCAAGCAGAACTATTTTTAAATTTAAAAATTACCTTTTCAGAAAAATTTTGAAAATGTCTTTGCCACCCCATAAATTAAAGGAAAAACAAAAATCTTGTTTATAAATAAAATTCAATACAGTTGCAGTTGTCTTTTATTAACAAATAATTGAATAGAAAAGTTGACACACTTTCGTATTTTGATATAATATACGAAGAGCTTGTGACAAAAATGTGCATCTTCCTAAAGCTTGATAGTTCCATATGATGAAGTTCTAAGGGTGTATATTACTAAGTAGTGTTAGTTAGTAAGTGTGGAGGTCAGACGGATAAACAGAGATGCAAAACAAACTACTAGCGATTGCCGAATATGTTTGTTCAGAGAAATGAAACATTGGATTCTCATGAAATCTGCAATGGCAACACCAATAATTAAAAAGAGGAATAAGATCAATCAATCATGACATTTCTGTATTTCAGGCTCAATTTTGTCATATCAATTAACAGTTAAGCTATAATGCCACTGAGGAGGGTTCAATTTAATATTAAAAAATTTAAATACATAATAACTTGATATTTATTTGGTAACTTAAAATATTCAACAAGTTCACATATTATCTTAATACTAAAATACAATATGAATAAAAATATAATACAGGTACACAATTATCTATAAAATATGACAAACATTACTGCTGCTTGAATCATTAGCTGGAATCATCAAAGGACGAGACACTAAGACCAAACATTAAAAATTCTTCAGTATATATTCTGTTTAGTAGTGTCAATAAACCATACTTAATCAAATATTTCATTTAATATGACGTGTTTGTTTATGATGATAGTACTTAGTATCATTCATACACACAGTTATTTTAAGTGTGATATCATCCAAACAATTCTTGAGATCTTCTCTCAACTCTCTTACTTTAACTCTCACATCCTCACACATCAAGTTGTAACACATAGCGACCAGACCCATACCAAGAAGTACATATATAAAATTGATAACCAGCTTCAGATGAGAACCACCAGCAGAGTCTGCTATATTTGCACCAGGAACAAAGTCCCCGAAGCCTATCTTACATAAACTGATAACACAAAAATAAGTAGAATCCAAATAATTCCATTTCTCCCATGCCCCAAACATAATAGTACCCGTTAGAATGTAAAACGATATGACCCAAAGGCATGCTGTTGACGGAACTGTTATCTTCCTTTTCTGTGGTATCTCTCCATTTTCAAATTGTGCATCATCTCTGCGACTGCACTCGTGTGCTGTGATGTACAACCATTTAAAGGTTTGAGCTAGCACTTTTCCCATATTGCAGAAATATAGTATATATATTGGTATACCAAAACATGCATATGCAATGGTAACAATTTTTCCCCACACTGTTTTGGGTATAATATTGCCATAGCCTATCATAGTGAATACTGATAATGAATACATGAGAGCTGCAGGGAAAGACCAAATGTCATCAGCTGATCTACCAGTGTAACCTGTGTGTATGGCCGCAGTTATATTGCTCTGGAAAACTTTCAGCACTTCATTAGCTTTTTGTACAAATGCAGTTTCATTGAATACGTTTATAGACAGTGTTATATTCCATAAAGTTTCAGCACAATTTTGCCTCCAAAGTTTGACATCATGAAGTTGCTGATCAGGACTGTACTTCTCCAGGTGAATGAAACAAACTGCACCTAATATCGCGTAACATACGACCAGAGCGCCAACACCCACTTGTGTAAACATAAACGCGATAAATTTTCTAAAACAATCTTTGATTTTTTCTCTTGGATCACTGCCCACTGTTGATGATGATCCTCTGCTCCTCATAGAACCATGAAAACTTGAGTGCAAAGGATGATGACGGTCCATTTTGATATTGTTACTAACGTTTCAACTACGTAAACTACTAGATAATTGTAGACATGTATGCCGTGTACTATTTTCGGAATCAAGTTGGCTCGTTGCCAATAAAAATTTGATTACAAAACAGTAGATTATTTCCATTAGACAAATAGATATCAACATTTAAAAGATTTTGTGTAGAACTTAATTTACGGTTTGTAAATATTATGATAAAAAAAAAACAAAATCATATTTTGAGTGAAATTATTAATTACACTTACCAAACGAATCTTCGTATCATAAATTACGAGAGTATAATTAAATAGTAATGATTTGTTTATATCCTTTCTGTATATTTGAAGTATATTTTTAAATCCTCATTGATAATTTACTTCTGTTTCCTATTTGATAATAAAAATAGCAAAAACAACAAATTTTATTTATTTTGTTTTCCTTTTTTTAAACAACCATTTTTTTATTGGGCTTAACGGCTCTGGATTCAAGTCTTTTTGAGCCATACATTATTATGAGAATGAAATTGAAAAATATCGAGAATGAAATTAAATCTTGACTATAGTATTGAGAATGAACTTTTAAAGTGGTTTGTAGTCCTTGAATTCTTTTAATAAGTCTTCGAGTTTACTGGGTATCGTTATTTTCTTGTGTATTGTACTAGTCGTTGTACGGTCGTTGTATGCCAAATCGTTAGTGTTGCCGCTAGTCAAATATTAATTTGCCCTATATAAAAGAGAAAAATACCGTACTTCAACTGAAATCGTCGTACTTTTTTAATTTTATACGACTTTAAAAAGGAGGTTATCAATTTGATGAAGTATAATGTATTTCGTTAGAATGATGCAATATTCACATACTCTTAGTATAACGTTAAGTGTATAACGTTATACCAAAATCAAATCCTTCAGGCAGAAAATAATACTATTTGTTTCACTCATTTTAAAACATGTGAAATATTCAGTGGCTGAATTATAACATTTTTTACGTAATTGCGATTGAAATATTAACATTTTTTACGTAATTGCAATTGAAATAGTATTATTTTCTGCCTGAAGGATTTGATTTTGGTGTGTAAATCAGGGAGAAGCTGATTGTCTCCTTGCAATCTCAAATTTAGTTCGTTCATATAATTTGTCAAATCGACATAGAATGCTAACTTCCACATCAATATTTGACACATCCGTTGACTCATCCAATGCTAGAGAAAACCACTCATGCCACGGTGTTTGCTGACAAACTGACACTTTTAAATACCTTTCTGGGGCATATTTCTTCGGCTACTGCAATCAAGCATTTTTTTATCATTTCTCCACCGGTGAATGGTTTGCCACGTTTTCCGATTTCAAAAGTCACACGAAAGCTGGCGCGAGTTGCAGACTCTTGTTTAGTATTCGCTTTAGTAACCAAAGATTACTGCGATTTGAGTCCGCGCTTCAAAGCTTCAAATTTTTCCATCCGCAAACTTCCTGTATACTTGGAGTAATTTTGAAGATGTTTATTTTTTATTTATTTATGTTACACAAAACAGATTACAATTGATAATCTAATCACAATAACAAATCGAACTAATATTATCGCCTGAATTGCAATCTACGAACTTGTGTACACTACATACATTAAACTGAATCTCTCCATTTGTGGCGACTGTTACATAGCGACATCTAATTCATCGCAGTAACATCGCCACAACAATTGATAGCGAGAAGACTAGCATCGTCACACCAATCGATATCAAGACGAACTGCAAGAAGTTTCAACACCAAGTAACGAGATGGCGCTGTACCAATATAAACAGCATAAATTAATAACTACAAGACATTTAGAACAAAGAAACCTACATCACACAGAATAAGTTTAATTACCAATTAACATAAATAGAACGTCCAACCTACATCGGTTGGACCGCGGTCCCCGGGCTAACAACACCTAGCTCGGAGGGAGACAATTATCCTTTAGTCTCCCTGACCAGTTGTCTCCATCACCACAGTAGGGGCCCCAACCTCCAACCACATGGTTCCTAAACATAAAAAAACAATCAAATAACATATATTAAGTGATTTAAAGTTAAGTAGCTAACGTTAGATGAATATTAGATTACATTATACTAAAATCAGATTCAACTGAATGAAAAAACGGAATCGACCCAAAGATAAGTGAAATATGTCGACGTCCCCGTCAGTTGTAATAATTTCATTGTATAGGCGACACATGCGCACTATTGGGTTGTAGTATGAAATATTATTAGTGCAAACATGTAAAGAAAAAATTGCCTGACTGGCGTCACGAGCCCTGAACCTCGTTTTGAAATTCAGAAGTGCAAGAAAAGCTGAGGAATCTATTTCAACATTTATCAGCTTATGTAAAAAAGAAACTTCAATATATTTGCGTCGAAATTCAAGACTAGGGAGATTAAACCTTTCAAGTATACTATACTCCGTTTTAAACCCAAACGAAAACAGAGCAAATTGATATTTTTTTTTGTACTTCCTCAATGCGTTGGCAATGAACCTTGTAAAAAGGATTCCAAACTACAGATCCATATTCAAGAGTACTTCTAACGAGCATAATGTAAAGATAGACTAGACTCTGCGGCCTTGTGAAATCTTTCGTAAGTCGTAAGACGAATCCGAGCATTTGGGATGACTACAAATAATGTCTTAATGTGCACGAAATGTAAGTTGATCATCGAAGGTAACTCCCAGATCTCTAACACTAGTTTCGCTTTTCAGAATAGAACCCATGATATTATAAGTAAATTTAACTTTGCTGCGCACAAGACTGAACGAAATAACAAAGCACTTATCAATATTAATAAATATACGATTACGACCACACCAAGCTGCAACAACCTCGAGGTCAAGCTGTAGTGATTGAGCATCATCTATAGATGTTATCACTTTATAAAGTTTTAAATCGTCAGCATAGAGCAAACAGTGGTTGGATACCTTATCAACAAGGTCAATAATAAATATGACAAATAAAAGAGGACCAAGATGTGGTCCCTGTGGCACTCCCGAAGCGACAATACAAGGACTGGACAGATAACCGATTATTGCTACAAGTTGGCTACGTTTACTTAGGTACGTCTCGAACCATCGAAGAAGGTCGCCGTGAATCCCGTAGGCAGGTAGTTTATGTAAAATTGATCCACAACTACAAACTATTGTCGGTGGAAAATCACAATTACATAAATCTCATTAGACTTTTTGTTTTACTGTGATTAGTGGGATTCATTCCAATTATTTGTTAGTTATTAATATGCTTAAACTTAGATACTTAAGTTTTCTGCGTCATCGTTTCTGTCGTTGTTTTACTTTGCGAATAAATAAAGCCATTAACTTATCACAGCAATAGTAACAACAATAAATCATTGGCTGTCGCAGGCCAGATTGATAACACTGGCGGGCCGGATTTGGCCCGCGGGCCGTAGTTTGGAGACCAAGAATACCTATAATTTTTGATCAATTTTGAATTCACAATGTTATACTGAAAAATTTTCTTAATGAAAAATGCTTAAAAAATCCACTTTGCCCATCTTTGAGTGCCAGGGACAAAATAGATTTATAAGTATTTTTTATTAAACAATAGTGTATATAGTAACACCTTCATTTCGGGCAACTTGCCTTGCCATGTTCAACAATCTATTGTAGTCGATTTTAACGTTTTTTGACCCGAATCAAAGGTAGAGTTGCCAACCTGTAAACAGTAAAGAAAATCATAGAATTCTTTAGATGTCTGCTGATAATCGTGCACACTTGTATTTTAGATGTGTGTTTCATTCAACTGTAAGCGACTTTCTGTCCCAAGTTAATTTTATACACCAAAAGCCCGTTCATCGGCTGTGTTTGATATAGGATAAATGTAATCAGATTTTTTGTACGATTCCCTTTTGTTTTATTTTTCAAATAAAATTAACGCTACTTCACGAACTTCTTACAATAAACAGTAATCATCATATAATTAACACTTATTTCTTCGTAGATTCAGAGAATCTATTCAGCTTTTAAAATATATATACAACGTGTCCCAAAATTCAACGATAAGCGGGCGCCAAGAGGTAGACCTGCTCATGTGTACTTATGGAAAAATAAGAAAAAAATTATATCTTATTAATCTTTTTTATTATAAAATTAAATTCGAAAATCTTCGAAAATTTACACCTTTTATGATATTTTCAACTACCACGATCACAACTTCTCAATTATGTTCAATCTTTTTTTGGTATCGGATACCTAAGTAGCACTACTATTCGCTACAACTCTTAAAAACACCAAAATGCCCCACAGTTTTTACACAAAAAACAATGAAAATGTATTTTTTCCTTAAATTTTCACAGATTTTTACGTTCCGTAATCTTTGACTTATCGTCTTGTAAAAAAAAAGTATGGACACCACTGTGGCAAGTTGTTTTTAAAATTGACTGAACTCATCAAGATTCCAAAATGGTATAATAATCGAAGATAACTAGTCACAGTAAAAAAATATGCACACCATTTGTAAATAAACGAACCAAATTATAAATATTCATTAGATATTTATTTATTGGGTAATGCTCTATTTCTGCTTTTTTTAAATGCAGGTACATAGAGAAATCCTGTTCTCAGCAAATCTGAAGTCGGATCAGTACGTTCTGCTCCTTTGTTTACTGCGCACCTTTCTGTATTCACGTGGCTCTCGTACTAACGACATTTGGCTTTCTATTTTGGACTGGAATTAAGTGATCTGCAAACTGAACTAACCTGGCATTAATTTGGACTGTGATAGTGTTTTGTGAATTGGACTTTCGTCGTATTTTGGATTGTTTAGCGTTATCATGCCGCTACCATACACGCCGATGGAATACGCTAATATGCACCTCATTTATGGAGAATGTTGTTGCAATGCTAACGCTGCTAGCAGATTGTATCGGGAAAGGTACCCGAACGCCCAAAGATACCCAGATTACCGAGTATTTATGAATGTGCATCGAGCGTTCGCGGAGGGTCGTTTGCCATCAGCCAGAAGCAACGCTCGAAGACCTAGATCGGAATACGATGAAGAAGTTCTCAATGAAATAAACATTGACTCAACTACTTCAGTACGCGCCATAGAAGCAGCTACGGGAATCCCAAAAAGTACGGCTCATCGAATTTTAAAACGTCACAGGCTTTACCCATACCACTACAGACGTGTGCAAACATTGCTACCACGGGACTATCCACTACGGATCACATTTTGCCGTATTATGCTTCAAAAGCACCGGGAGGATCATCAATTCTTGGACAAAGTACTATGGTCGGACGAAACAACATGCAAGAAAGATGGATATTTAAACCTCCACAACCTACACAGCTGGAGCAATGAAAATCCACACCTAATGAGACAGGAAAAATCCCAATATCAGTTTAAGGTTAACCTATGGACGGGCATATTAAATGGAAAAGTGATCGGGCCTTTTGAACTACAAGGAAACTTGGATGGTGACAGTTATTTGAACTTTTTACAAAATGATTTGCCAGAATTGCTTGAAGACGTCCCCTTAAGAGATCTACAAAATATGTGGTTTCAAAATGATGGTTGCCCAGCTCACTACGCTCGTCCTGTGAGACAATACTTGGACCAAGAGTATTCCGGGCGTTGGATTGGGCGACTTGGTCCTATCTTATGGCCACCCCGATCACCCGACCTAAACCCCCTGGACTTTTTCTATTGGGGTTGTCTCAAAGACAAAATCTATGAAAAACCCATTACGACATTGGACGAGCTTCGGCAAAAAATTAGTCAGGCTGCGTCACATATCAATGCTAAAAGGTATGCACGAAAAATAAAACGCTCTTTTTTAAGGCGATGTCGTGCATGTATTAATGCCGGTGGAAAACAATTTGAACATTTACTGTAATGTTAATTATTAATAAATGAATGAGACTAAAACTCACTATTGTTTTATATCAATTTTTTTTTTTAATATTAAAACATTTCGGAACAGTACAATTTATTACTCACAACTTTGGTTCTTGATTCTAAATGGTATGATTTTTAGTTTGTTGCTAGTTATCATGAAGTATTATACCATTATGGAATCTTCATGAGCTGCGTCAATTTTAAAAACAACTTGCCGCAGTGGTGTCCATACTTTTTTTTTACAAGACGATAAGTCAAAGATTACGGAACGTAAAAATCTGTGAAAATTTAAGGAAAAAATACATTTTCATTGTTTTTTGTGTAAAAACTGTGGGGCATTTTGGTGTTTTTAAGAGTTGTAGCGAATAGTAGTGCTACTTAGGTATCCGATACCAAAAAAAGATTGAACATAATTGAGAAGTTGTGATCGTGGTAGTTGAAAATATCATAAAAGGTGTAAATTTTCGAAGATTTTCGAATTTAATTTTATAATAAAAAAGATTAATAAGATATAATTTTTTTCTTATTTTTCCATAAGTACACATGAGCAGGTCTACCTCTTGGCGCCCGCTTATCGTTGGATTTTGGGACACGTTGTATATGATTTTATTTATAAGCTTCTCGATGTCAACTTATCCGAGTGTTACATCGTCGAGGAGCTTCGCTACTGCTGGAGCCAATACGATTATGTTATCGATATGACAGTATAAATTTTATACGTATGGCAATTAATATATCGATTACTATTATTAGCTGTCAAAATCAAATTCACACGTTTTCTTGGCGTTGTTTGTTATCCGGTTTTGCATTTTTAGTGAAGTTCTCATTTTATTTCATGAAATATGATGTAAAACAAATAAACATGTTTGTACAGTGTGCTGTTACAGGTTTGCGCCCGGTTTTGTAAGTATGCAAAGTTTTATTTTCATACTGAGTTCCCCTACATTCGAGTTCGATTGTGATAATGGCTGAACAACCTGCGAATTTATCAATGGCAAATGATTTCTCAATATGAATTTAGATCAATATCGCATAACCCAGCTACGATTGCTGTATTATATATAAGTGCAATAGCCGGCGACTATTTACAATGCTTAAGTTGTATAATTCGGTTTTCAGTGTAAAAAATAATCCATCGTGTTTCCTTGTTCCAGAAAACAATAATACTTACTGTAAACATGTAGCTCTAAAGGCAGGTGCTATTATGTTTTTTCCAATATCACAATTACTAATATCCATTTGACACATAATTTTGCAATAGATGGATCACACCTAGCACCTGCCACCAATGGCTACACTCTCGAAATGGGTCCCTGTAGGGGCCGACACCAATAAACAAAACATAGATCAAAAACTCAAACTCACCACTATTGATTTAGTAGGCGGCATCTATTGTAACATTTGCCATATAACATTTGGAAACAAAAAGGAATTCGACAGTCACTATACACAACATGGATCAGGCAACGCAGACATCGTATATACATGTGTTGTTTGTCACAAAGAAATAATTGGCTATCCTAGCTTCCGTGGCCACTGTTATTTAGCTCATGTCACGAAAGATAGATTCAAGTAAGTAATTAATCAATCTGAATTTTTCTCAATTAATATAAAAAAAATATTATAAATCTCAGAAGTAGTTAAGGTATTATATTTTTATAAAATTTCATTTGATTTTACATCGAGTTAATCATTATAATGATTTTTGTTGAAAAACTAATTTTTGTAAATATTAAGTTATATAAATATTTGGCAAAAGTTGCTGATTCAGATAAACAATTCATTAGTATACATTAGCCTCCAAAAGTCAATTAATAAAACATGTTTTATTACAGATGTGAACATTGCCACAGGATGTTTTCAAAGCAGACTGCTCTCCAAAGTCACATCAAAAGTATGCATCAAACGATAATCAAATGTTTGATTTGTCAGAAAACGTAAGTGTGAGAGAAGGAAGAGATTACTTTTAAGTTTCAACAACACTTTTCATATGCACAATTTATTTTTCAGATTTCAATGTCAAAAAGAGCTATTACTGCATAAGATGATCCATAAAAACACTGAAAATGGACCACCATATGAATGTCAGACATGTGGTGATCGATTAGAAACAAGTGATGACTGTGAAAACCATATAGAAGATCATTGTTCCATGTTTTACTTTTGTCCAATCTGCAATGAAGATATCATTAATTTACAATATGCTGCTAGTCATTTGACAAAACACTTTGGCAATGTACTTAATGAGAAAAAACCAGCCGAAGACGTAACAGAGATCGAAGAAATATCTAATGATAGTTCACTTGACCTCATTGGTGGCATACTTTGTTGTTACTGCAATAGTACTTATAGAGCTAGACAAGATTTTGATAACCATATAACAACAGATCATCCTGATAGAGATATTGTTTATGCGTGTAATATCTGTGGGAAAGAATTTGAGAAATATTTTAATTTTACTAGCCATTGTTATGATCATACAGCTAAAGACAGATTTCAGTAAGTTTAAATTATTTTGAGTAAATCACTAATCATTGAAAGTAAAAATTAAATAATATGTTTTATTACATTATAGGTGTGAAGAATGTTCCAAAACATTCCCTCGTTTATCTTTACTGGTAATTCATATGGAAGCTTACCACTCCAACACCAAAACATCTGGAGATGCATTCCCGTTCACATGTCTGCAGTGCAACCATGGTTTTAAGACTGACCGCCGTCTCAAAGATCACTATAGGAACGTACACAAGGATCATGCTTATTACAGTCAGTGTCCAGAACAGGGATGTGGAAAGACGTTAGTAGTGATGTTACTAGTCTATGTGATTGATATGTACCTCTTTGTTATATATATTTTTAACATAGTTATTCTGTTACAGTTTTGATGCACCAAAAGATCTGATCCTCCATTTGAAAGAACATAACTCTGTCCACAATTGGTGTAAACAATGTGGCCTCCGATTTTACAGCTTAAAAGCTTGCGAAAAGCATCTCCAATACCATAAAAAGAAACTTTACTCTTGTCCCGTTTGCAGTAAGAACTATGGTGAGAAGTATCTTGTTGTCAAACATGTCCATCAGCACTTTTCAGCGGTACTCCATGTTTGTAAAGTATGTGGGAAAATATACAATGGTAGGAATCGTCTTGTGCAGCATATGAAAGTACATAATGAAGTTAAACCTCATATTTGCTCTTTTTGTGGCAAGGGCTTCACTAAGACATACTTGTTGCAGCAACACTTGAATGTGCACACTGGCCTTAAGCCCTTTAAGTGCACTAATTGCCCTAAAACCTTTGCCAGCTACCCAAATTTAAGGAAACATCAACGTAATATACATAATGTTGCCATACTGAATACTAAAAGGGTTTTAAATGAAAACAATAATCATAACACTTCAAATAAAGCTGTCGATGAAGTGATAAAAGAAAATGAAAAAACTATGTTAGATCATGACCCATCAGAAGAAGTGACAGGCGATATCAATGATACAATAGGAAGCCCAGAAGTAGATTTATCAATTGTTAACACATCTGTCGATATGATAAGTTCAACAACACATAATTTTGAAGAGTCCAATGAGTCTATGAATCAGTGGATACTGAATAGCAGTAATTCCTCTGCTATAGAGATGTTAGCAGAGAGCATAGAGAACCAGCAGGGTGCCAACATTGAAGTCACTAACATTGATGAATTTCAAAAAGAACTTTGGGTTTCCAACTCATCCATTCCAACAGGCAAGTACACGTTTGCATTTTACATTTTGAAATTCCTGCGAATTTGACGAAATGTATGTCATGTTGCTCTGTAGTCATGACTTCAGTTGTAAACAAATGTGCTGATAATGGTTTCTTGATTTTTTATATATAAAAAAAAAATCATTCACCTTGGCCCTTGCAAGGTATTATACAAGATACAAATATTTAGAGGCCAAACTAATTTTTATTAAAATGTTATTTATTGCCCTTTAGATTGGTCTCAAACCGTTGTACCCTATGAGTATGGGCCGGAGTTTGTGTTCGGCGCGGAGGCGGAGGGCGCGGGCGCCGGAGTGATCCCCCTGGGGGACCCGCCCCTCCCCCACATCGACCCCCGACTCACCCTCCTCAATCCCCCGACGTCGCCGTTCTCCCCCTCGCTGGACCCCTCGCCCGTTCTCACAAAGCTGGAATCCCCGTTCGACTTCGACACCGCCCGGTTCGTAATAAACACCGATATATTTTAACCGCCACAATGTATAAATTCACGACGAAACTGGTAAGTTTCTTTTGTTACACTCACGTCGTCGAGTAGTTTTTGTCACATGTCGAATAAGTTTCAGTGACTCGATAAGCTAAGCTTTCCGTCTCTTTCTAATCAGATGGAGGCCACCGAAGTGACTTATATTTTTGGTCCTGAACCAAACGCATTGTTGTATAGAAATAAATAATTGTAATAGTATTGTAACCGCGGTCAGTTGGGACGGATCTGTCCGAGTCTGTTATCACTTTGTTACATTCCAGACTATGAAAACTTGTCTGATGCTGTATTGGAAATGAGTTTTGTCAAGATTGTGACATAGTGGTAACCGTTCACCGTCGGTCCACGAGTCTACCTCACACTGAAACGAGTATATACCTCAGTAATGTCCATAGGAGCTATTTTATAGTGTAACTGTTGATTATACATAACGTGTATCCCACCAAAACATTAGATGAGTAATAAGTTTAATCATAATTATTCATAATAATGCTACCTCAGTTTAGTTATTTAAGTTAAACTTAAGTTTATTCGCGCCCGAATGTATCGGAATGCCTTCGTATCAGGTTGTCTATACATTTAATAGTGATGTGCCGTTTCTTATTTCGTCACGAGTGGCCTATTAAAAAACTTGGCCGTTCGCAACAATCTGGAAGCGAATGTTGACATTTCGTACGCCGATTTCGAACAACTAGAATTATTAATTCGCTCATAAATAGTGACTTTAGTTTGTCATAATAATGTTTTCTGAAATTAGTTTGGTTTTTTTAAATTGTTACAAAAAGTTTGTCCACTTTGTTTCAAAGTTGAGTTACGGCAAACGACAGCTTTGTAAATATGTGATTTTTTTGTGGCATTACATAACTTCCATTTCAATTTCGCTTACTTGGAGCCAATGTTGGGTGTCTGATGATATGATTGCCGCCAATATTTGAATGGAGTAACAGTTACGTGTTGACCGGCATTGGCTCGTGTCTTGCATTTCTTTTTCGATTCCTTTTATTGTTATTATATGAAAGTCGTGAGGCCAAGCTTCACGGCTTTAGTGTAAGTGAATCGATAGTGCTGTGATATTTTTATGTACATCTAGTGTTAAGATTAGTGAGCGTAACGTAATAAGTGAGTACAAAGATAATGTTATTTATGATGAACAAACGGAATTCGGGTCATATAACGATACATGCGTCGTTCCGATTCTGGTGCGACTCATCGCGGTCATATGTACGGTCATCAGAGAAAGGTAACTTGTTCAACAAATCGAGATTTTTATTAACGGTAGCGGCATTTTAAGCCCGCGCGCTCTTGTGATTTAGTGTTAGAGCTTAGTGTTTTTCTGTTGACCTTACACAAAGTCGTACCTAATGCCTCGGGTCGACTCGAGGCAACCACACCGCGACAGAATATGGACACGACAATTCACACGCATATGGAAATATAAGTGAAAAACTTAAAGTATCTAAATATGTATATTCGAATATTTATACGATATTTCGAATTTAACAAAGGCTCGTTCCCTTTACTTTAAGTTCTTCACTTAATAAAGTGACAGGTAAAGTATACCGCACACAAGTACAGTTCAGGAGAGTCCATATGCGTTCAAACAAACAAATTAGGTGTAAATCTCACCAAATTATATACGAAGACAATTTACTTAATCGAAGAAAGTTAAGATTTGATTCTTAAAGATGTTGATGTATATGTAAGAAAGAAAGAAAATATATGAATTAACTCCGAAATATATTTTGGAGAGAGATATTTACAAGTTTGATGCGGGGTCTTAGTGATAAACGTATCCAAAGACTGTTAGGTATTACATGAGTTCTTTGAACTCGAATATTTGACTTATAAGTCAGGGATATAATGCGGAAAAAAGTCAGATACGCGAAAGCAAGAGAAACTAAAATAGATCACTATGTAGCTAACGAAAATCATAGGCTTTGACACGATATCGATAACAAAATTATGAAGAATGCAAAATTGACGCATCGTTCACCTCACTAGGTCAGTAGGCAGATGCAGGTGTAGTGTGGCGACACAGTTGGATTATGCAGGAGCGAGAAACTCGACTCTATGCTTTTGAAATTAACGTTGAAAATTGTACAACGCCCTCCGTGCCGTGTGCGAGCGCACACTAGATTGGTTACCTTTGTATTACTGAGCAGTAAAGTCCCAGTAGTCCTACTGCACATTAATTCGATGGATGTCGGCATGTAGCTTGTGACAGTAATTAAAATAGCATAATTAATCATTCACTATGTTGTAAACCTCTGCAGAGGCTTTCATTTATCAATAATAGTACTTATTCAAGCTTCTATAATCATAATAAATCAAATTATACCATTTCGATGTAAAATTTCGTTGCAAAGGGAACAATTGGTACGATATTTTCGTCTCATTGTTGCCGCTCGATGTGATAATTGGAACCGAGTTAAAACTATATCTTCGTTGCAATGGTAAATGGCCTAATAATGCGGTATTGTAGGTTGTATTTGAAGTTGATGGATCGTTACTTAAAATAAAATGTAGACCGTTTTTGACAAAGTATGATTTTGCACATAATTGCTAATAGTAGGATCACACCCAACTAATTATGTTTGGAAACTACCGCTATAACAAAAATCCTCTATAACCACCATCGCCCATATGACACAAATAATTCACTCTGTATTACATTAGCGGCCCTGCGATTCTGTAAAAATCCAAACCCGAATTCGAATTCACTTTTGTTTAAAAATTCTATTGATAAAACAAAATTGATTGAATATACTTGGCACAGATATCTGTCACTTTACTTATACCACGAAATGTTATTACCGATTCAAGGTTGAGCGGATGCAGCTTTTTGAAGTTGAAGAATTCGTACACATGAGTGAATTCGAGTTCGGGTCTGGATTTTTACAGAATTGCAGGGCAATTCATTAATTTTCCATTTTTCGAACATTCGTTTACGTTTTCGTCCGATCGGCGTCTCGCCAAAGTGAGCGTTAGAATTTCCGCGGCGTGCCGTACACGCAAAGATTGTATTTTACGTAACGATCTATCGCATGTTGAACGTCGATGCGGCCGCCGACGCACGTCGGCGATGCTGAGCAGCCGCGATAATATTGTGGTTGTGCCCTTTGCGATCGTATTTGTCCCTAGCTTTTAGGTGTTAGGTTAGAACTGAGCACAGGGTATTGTGGTTCTATTTTAACGGAGGCGTTAAACTCAGAGTTTGTAAATGACACACTTCATCTGAAATACCAGGTGGCTGCATAATACTACCCCAATACCCAATATTTGTATCTAAATCTGTTTAAAATTATAAGGTTTTGACCGGGTTTTTTATGTTTTAGTTGTATCTTTTGGATCTTTTTTAATCGTTCATCATAAGAAAATTATATATCCATCATAATTAAATGTTGTAATATTAACGTCTTGATATCTCTATTTTATGGCGCATGAGAAGAATTTTACAAAAGAGTACATTCGATTGTTTTATATACTTATATAATGATCGACTTTAGTGCCACATTTTACTGTATTTTATTTAGAAATAAGAGATATGTAAGTTTACAAGCACTTCCAGGGGCATATTTCAATGATACACTGTGTTTTAGGGAATAATAATAAAAAAAAACAAAAAAAAAATTGAAACCCGGTCGATTTATGTGTAGATGTCTAAAATTTTATTTCAATACGATGATAATACGTCATATTTTAGCGCTTCTAAAATGCATAATATATCATAGTTTACGTTCCAAAACTTCTTCAATAATTTTATGATCGTAAAAACGTTATGTAAATAGATTTTTCTTGAACTATCCTTATCATTCACTGCGATAGTTTAGACGTTTCTTTGTTGGCTTTTTGTGGGATTGCAATTTGATTTGTGAAATTGCAGTTTTATTAATAAAATGCTTATTTTCAATTTCGGAACCCTGTAAACTACCGCAGATCAAATTATTAAGTATATCTTGGGCTCAAATGTGACACGCCTACGTCTGTTAGTGTTTTAGGCTTTTTTTTTTATTGAAATAATTTGCTAGCTTTCGCTTCAATTATTGACACGAAGTCTATACTTTTAGGGAAACGTATTTTTCGCTATATAATGTTTATAAAAGCTGCTGTATTTCACTTCAATTCATTTGGTTTAATCGTAATAGGTACATAACAAATAATTTAAACAATCCGTTAGCGACCAACCACGCTTTGTTGCAAAATCCGTATTTCAAGAAGAGAATCCGAGAATTATTCTGTCGATGATATTCAGTATTTAAGTAATTGTGCTTGGGATACTTGTTGTACTGTTATATCCTTACATTTTTATGAATGACGCTATAAATAATACCGATCTACCTCCATATGACTCCATGATTTTACAAGAAAATAGATTTTGTTATAAATATAAACTTTATATTTTGTATGTTACAAAGCTGATATTTGTAAGGGATGTAGGTTTTTACACATAAGATATTTCGATTAAATTATATGTGCATGTTACGTTCCGTTTGTAGAACGCCACTCAAATCTGAATTGAATTGTGTAAGCATTACGACATATTATACTATGTGAATGTATATTTGTTTTTTATTTTGTCTTTTCCCATTTTTATTTATTTGAAATAAACATATATTGAGTAAATCACATTGATTAAAGAATCACGTTCACTTTCCATATATTGATTGACCTGTCAAAAGACGCGTCTACCCACCATTAGTTATCATTTAAATTAGTTTTTGCTTAAAATAGAATAATACCTTAGCATATTTTCATCTGGAGGCCAGGGAGAAACGTAATTTTTAAATATATTTTGAGGTTTTATTATGAACTGTTAAAATTGGAATTAATGAAGCTATTGTAAAAATTAATACATTATAATGAAACTATTACGTATTAGATGAAACGAAACGTAGAAAACCGTCATTCGGTCCGAATTGTATTTAGGTAGTGTAGCAAACCGACATTTTAAGGTCCGAATCGCATTCGGGTAGTGAGTACTATTTAAAAATATTTATAAGCCTCGCAATTTTTTCCTGATTTTAATTTAAGATTTTATTTCCTGATATGAAATCCGAAAATAATAAGCTACAGTTTGAAATATATCACAACATTAGATGCGTTAGTAAATTTTTAGGTCATAATAGGGTGTTGGATACTTACAAATAAGTTGCGTATTATGGTCATCCTGTTAGATAATAATCTAATAAAATTTATTTCTTAGAATTTAAAGACAAAATATGTTTAGATTCAATAAAATAAAATGTAAAATGCAACATTTTTAGGAATTTTATACCAGTACAAAACATAACATTTAACTTTTCTTCTGTTATACTATTTGTTTAGGTCGTAAATAAATAGTTGATAAATATAGGTTGTCGCCTTGACATATTTACCGGCACGTGACGTCACAAATACCACGTTATCAGCGTTTTTAGCGCCAGTTTGGTTATTTAAACTTTAAGAATTATTTTCATCGAAAATATAATAGATTTTCACGAAATATATTGACAGTGTGTTTATAATGTATCAAACAACCATTTAAAATAGTTTTTAGAAAAACATTAAATACCCTATTGGACATGATTCTTTGATAACAATACAGAAAATTATATTAACTGCGAACTTTGAAATCGAAGTGTTTTACCATTTCAATATGAAGTGTTTGATCATTTTATCAAACTTTTGTATTATTATAATAGGGACGATGACTAATTTTTGTTTGTTTGTCCGTCAGGTAGAGTATAAAAAAATATTAAACACGTATTTTTTTTTCGTAGTCATAAAATTACGGCGTTACATGGAGTTGAAATTTCGCATGACGTCACGTTAGAGTACGTTTTCTACTCAACTGTGACGTAGCGAGCCCCCACTCCTCAACTTTAATGCCTGTTATTATTTAATATTTTCATTCATTCTTTTTTTGTGAATTAGTTATTAAGCATAATTGCCAAAGTCAACCAAAAAAACTTCTAATGTCGATTCTCTGCAGTCTTGCATAAGCGGCGCAAAGAGGCCACCATTTTTATATTGCTCAGATGCCCTAGTGGCAAGATGTGGAACTTGCCTATTAGGGCCCGCTCATTATTAGCTCATGAATCCAGCAGTGTCACGACCCATAGTTTCGAAAATACTGCGTAAGAGCATTACACAAACTTTTCAATGTTTCGGTTTATATACAAATTCCAGCTGATGTCTTTCATGTCCTCTAATCTATGAAGGTAGTTTGAAAAGTTCTCGGCCTGACCGAGATTTGAGGGTAGGATGTACTCTCATTTATTGTTATTCGACAGCTGGATTCTTTATTTAATCATATGTCAAGTGACATTGTATTGAGACAAGGGGAGAATATGTAGGAAAATTGGACATGTTTTTATTTTTACTTTCTTTGTTTTCTTGGTCGGGCCAAGAACTTTTTAAACCACCCTCGTGAATATGGCGATAAAAGTAACAATAATAACAGGTAGAAATAAAAAATGAAAGCAAATATGAGGTAAGTATCATTTATTACCATCGATTTATGTACGCTTACAACTATCTATAAATTTTAACTAAAACTGGCTTTCATGTGAAATTAATGGCGATTCAGCTACATCAGTGTCTCTGTTAGCATAGTAATGTGGTCAATTTAAAGAGACAACCAACACAATACTTTAAGACATATCTGTGGTGAACTTTTTTAACTCTGACAATTCCAAATGAATGCATACTCACTTTTGTCGGCTGTCTCTTATAAAGTTGTCTGCACTCACAACTTTTTGGAAAACGTTATTTGCTATGTCTAGAACTGTAACAATCATTGTTATCATTCGTTGCAAATTCAAGCATTAAAATATATTTAAATCAGATTATAAACGTATCTCTAACGTCGCGTAGCATTTTTCAAAAGTTATTCAACAATAAAAGTGTTGTGTTTCATTACTAAGAGTTTCGACGTAGATTATTCTGTTGAAATTCCAAATTTCACTCAGAATAATCGTACAAACTCTAATTTTAACTACAAGAAGCCAGCTAATAACTACTGATTACAATGAACCGATACGATTACTTATTATTTCGTAAAAATTACCTTTCTTAGCCGAAAAATACTTTGAATCCCGCTTATCCATAAACTGACTAGACGTAAAAAATTAGGGCATAACACATATGCCAGCAGTTTCTTACTCAAGCGACGTGACATTTTGTTTATATTATAATTATTATGAAAAATATACAAATTGTGTTACGGCAATCTTATACACTAAGAATTCCACATAATGAAATATTTACAAATGAGTTTAGATAATATTTTACTGCTTTAAATTATTTTAGAGAGAAAATTACATATTTTCGCACTGAAAATTGTTGCAGTAAATTTAAAAATTTGGCCCTTATGTGGGATGTTTTGATATTGACCTCATTATACCCACACATTCCGTCACATATTTATTAAAAATACATCAGTAAAATTGTTTTGTGTTTAGATTCTTGGTTCTGATGTGTTTTATTACTTCATAATTTATTTCTTTCAAATCAAATAGAAAGTTCGGTTTTTATAGCGGAATCTTATATATTTACTTTAATAATTGTAATCCATAGTAAGGATATATGAATATGATATTTATTCGTATTAAATTAATCATTGATATTATTATTTTTTGAACATTATTTGATATTCATTGACATTTTTGTAAAAAATTTCTTAAGACAATTTTAATCACGTATATAGCTGAATTCATAAATAATATTATGCCAGTCCAATAATTTGTGACATTGTCTTTTACGATTATCCTTATAAGAACTAAAATTGCAGTCAAGAATATTAAGGGTTAAGTAAGTATAATTTTTAGTATCTATTTGAATAAATGCAACAAATATACAATAAAACTATAAATAAAATCATAAAAAAAGGTTTTACCAACAGTTTTTCACTTAAATAAACTTCGATAAGTGTAACACATTAAATAAACTTCTAATTTTTTATTTGAAAGAGTCTTGTATAGATCAAATCAGCGTAAAATCATTGAAACAAGAGTTGTACGGCCGAGAAACATATGAAGGAAGAACTTTCTCAGTCATAACACATAAATAATTCACGCACACATTGATAGTCGGTAAATTCGATTATTACTTCATCGATGAAGTCCATTTAAATATTGCCGTATCAAACGCAATTAGGAATTAACCTGACCGTTTATCTGTTTCCTAGCAAATACTTTAGTAGCAGTCGGTTTCTTTGCAGTGCCGGCGGCGTGAGTGCTTATCTTAGCCGGAGTCGATTTAGGTCGCAAACTAGGTATCTGCGACACCCTGATGCCGATTGCAGATTTCTGTTTGGGTGCGCTGACTTGACTTTGTTTCGGTTGCCCTTCGAAGGTGGAGCTTCTGATTAACTTGGGCGTGTCAGTCTTGTCGCTTTCGATCCATACTCTTTTGTCAGCTTTTGCCGGTTGCTTTTTGCTTTGTTCTACTTTTTTCCACAAATTGGCGATTTTGCTTTCGACATCCTTGGTGTTCTTAGATGATTGCACAGAGTTGACACTGGACGTGCTGCCTTGTCTAGAACTTCTCGACGCTAGTGTCACAGTTTTCCCGCTGTCATTGCTCTGCAGACTATGATTAGACGGAGAATTCTTCATTGTTGTCTCTGTGGATCGTTTTGTGGTCGTCGTTTTAGTCGTAGGTTTCTGGTTGCCTTTAACAGCTGCACCTGCAGGTCTCGAGTAGCGATTCAACTGCGGCAGTCGCGACGGTGATGTGTTGACGGGTTTGGTAGGCGAAGTAGCCTTATATTGAGGAACATAAGACTTTTTATCCGGCACGGGTAAATCTTTCGGCGGTACTGTGCTCTCCTCCTTGGTGAAAGTTCCCTGCCTTTCTAACGGTAAGGGTTTACTGCTTCCCGTCAACGGTATCGAAACGGGCTTCTGTTGAACTCCTTTTGTCGGTGATTTGTGCGGAATAGATTTTTTGGGAGAAGTATTTGCGCTCGCAGGCTTGGAAACGGCAGACGGTTTATTTGGAATTTTGACATTCGATTTCAGAGGGTTGTTTACTGTTTTCGGTGGTTGAATTGCTTTCGATGTGCTTTTCACAGCAGCCCCTGCTGCGGTTGGTTTCTTAGCCGGAGCTACGGTAGTTCGTCTGTAAGGAGATACGTACGATGCCTTCTTCCGGCCTCTAATAGCTCTAGGTGTTTCTTGATCTTTTTCTAGAGACTCGTTGCTGTCCACGCTCTCATCTCGTCTATTGGTAGGTTTTATTATTTTCGGTTTGGGGCGAGACGAGGACGTTTCCTGGTCTGATTCCGACCGTGCCCTATCCTCAGAGTTACTGTCGCCTTCGTAACTGGCGAACTCACTACTGCTCGGGTGCTGATTTTTGTCGTTTTCTTGCATACTTCTTTTGTAGGATGCGGTCATTTCGATATTCTTGAGATTGTTCACGACGCACATATCCACTGCCGCGGGACTCTCGATCACCGGCAAATAGTTTCTGAAGCTCTTCGTGTAAGTCTGCATTTGGGTCGAGTTCAGTTCGAAGTCGTCTTCGTTGTGGCCGCTATCGGCGTCCCTGAACACGTCATCGTCACGTTGCCTCTCGTCAGGCAACTGCTGGTGATTCAGTTCGTTGGATGACAAACTATCATAGCCTGTTGTCGTTTCGACATTCTCGAAGTTGGCATCCTTAGTGACGAACGTGGGAGACGGCGGAATGTCTTCGCTCAAGGTTCGCGTTCTAAACCTTTCAGCGTCTTCTATCCGCTTCTGTTTCATAGTTTTCTTCGCCTCCAAACGTCGCTTCAGACTCTCTATGTGAGGGTCTATCACTTTTGGCTGCGAGCACTCCTGCGTCACGATATTTTGTATATTGACGGTCTGCGTTTGGTACCTAGCTCTATCCTCTAGCCGTCTTTGTTTCGCGCTCACTCTCCTTCTCGATTTCGATTCCGACGTCGCGGTGACATATTCTTCCGACTTGTCACTCTCAGATTTGGTCCACGTCAAAAATTCTTCGTCTTCCACTTCGAGCACGACGTCGTTATCGGTCACATTATCCGTGTCCGTTATAGTGTACGTTTGGTATCTGTCTTTAGATACGTGTCTTTTTTCTTTCGGCGTCAAGTAGTTCGAAATCCGATGTCTTTTAGGCGTAGATTCCACGCTGCTTACATCCGACGGCAACGGAGTGCAGGTTTCTGAACCCGAGGGGATATCTGTGACGACGTTCAATGTATTAGATATACAGTCGTCGAACACTTGATGCGCGGTAGTCTGATCTATCTCAACAGTCGACTCGGCCATTTCGTCGAATAGGGACGGAGGATTGACTTTATCCAAGTCGTGGAAGACCGTGGTAAAAGCGCTGTACAGCGGGAAATCTTGAATAGGCTGTTTTAAATCGAACACGACCGGAATCCGTTCTTTACATTCCTCCATTTCGGATACGATGCTCGCGACAGACACCATGCTCCCTTCCATATCCATCGCTTCCATTTCGGATGGCGGTTTCACGTTATCGAGAAAACTCACTGGATTACTGTCCAAGTGTTCTGAGCTACCTTGGTGCATCGAGTTGCTCAATGCTCTCTTGACCATGAGAGCGACGGGTAAGGATTTTTTGCGGCTCCGTTGGGATTTCTTCGAGATTTGCGCAGATGAATCGTCCCAATTGCCGGACGCACTCAAGGACAGTAAGCTTCCTAACTCGGAGGGCGGACGGACGTGGTCCAAATCCAAGCTGGTCAAGGACGTGACGCTATTGTCCATCCCGAAGTGAGCGTTTTTAAGCTGGGCGGCTAATCGGGCCGCTTCCTTCTCTATGGCCGCCGCCATGATCGAATCGAGGTGAGTCTCGCTCTCATCTAGCGGCAGAGAGGGGGCGGGGAAGTCCTCGATCGGCTTGCACTCCTCGAGTCTTTCGGTGAGATCAGGCCTGGACAACGAAGCGTTCGTGACTCGTTTCTCCAGCAGATCGGGAAGCTCAGGAACATCGCGGATTTCGCTCGTCGAAGATTCCAGGTGGGCGGAGCTGATGGTCGGGAAGGTGACGTCATCGGGGCACGTGTGATCCTCCCAGGTATCAGGTTTCACGTCCACCCACTCGAGATCGGTGCGGATTTCTTTCAAGATCGATGCCCCGGAATGGGTGGCGGGGTCCTCTTCGTCGCTGGCGTTTTCTGGGCGGTCCGATTTTCTCACGTCTCCCTTATCATCCTCCGGGGCGGTCGAGGTCGAAACTCTACGATCGGAAACGTCGGCGACATCGGCGTACGCTTCGTTGGATCTGTGCAAGTCGCCGTTTTCACAGTCCGACCTCTCCCTCAGAGTGGAGGCGGCCGAGTAAGCTCTCCGCTCATCGTCCGACGCGTCGCCGTCGGTGACGTCAGCGTACGATTCGTTCGAGCGGTCGAGATCGACGAGGTCCCTCGAGCGGTCGAAATCGTTCAGATCGTAGTCGTCGGAACGAGTCGGGCGATCGTCGCGAACGATTCCGTCCGACGATCGGTCGGCGGAGTACTCTTCGAAGCGCTCCAGCCTCCTCTCGATGTCGTCGAGTTCTGTGGAACGACTCAAGAGGGTTTCCAGATCGTCGATAGCGTTGTGAAGATTTAGATGGGTATCGGCGTCCGTTTGGTCGGTGGGTGGACGCTCTTGTGTTGCGTGTGTGACGGTGAGTGTGCGTGACCGCGTGAGTGTATGTGAGTGAGTATCGGCGAGTGTATGTGAGTGAGTATCAGTGTGTGCATAAGTGAGTATATGTGAGTGTGTATCAGTGAGTGTATGTGAGTGGTCAGTGAGTGTATCAGAGCCAGTGCAGTCGCGCGCGAGGTCTGCGTCGCCTGCGGGCGCGCGGGCCGCAGGCGGCGCCGCCTCGTTTTTTGGGGCGGAACCTGGATAAAACAAAAAGTAAACTCCTTTATCGACTTACTCGAGTATAAAAGAAGCTTCCCGTTGTCTGTACGCCGAGATCTTTTAAACTAGACGACGGATTTTAATGCGATTTTCATCAATATAAAGTGGTTCATGAGGAAGGTGTATATGTCACGTCAACTGGCGGTTTTTCAAACACTTTTTCGTGCAATATTAACTTTTATATCATGGACATTTTTAATGGAATGTAATCTCAATTTCTTTATACAGAGCTAATTGAAAACGTCAGCAACCTCGCAGAATTGATATTATAAACAACTTTTGGTAAACTAGCGCCTTTTGAGCTACCTTGCTGTTGGTGTTCCACATAATTATTACCACTTTAGCAGTAAATTAAATTAGTAAGAATTTTGTTGTATATCAAGTTTAGAGTACTTGTGGTTTTGCAGATAACTCTGTATACAATTATGAATGGTATTACAATAGCAACTGATGATAGTCGAGTGCATGTGTACTGGTAGTGGTACCTGTGTGCAGGGGCTGCGTGTGGTGTGCAGGGGGCGCGTTGCGCGGCGGCGGATGGGATGGGTGTGCGGAGGCGCGGCGGTCGTGCCGCGGCCGCGACCTCCTGTCGGCGCTGCGGGGGCGACGAGACTGAGATATGCCTGGATAATGGAATTACTCATTCTTTAATTATTGTATGAATCATTTGGTTATAATATGAAAACATTGTATCTTATATGACTATGATTTGACGTTAATTTATAAGAAACTAGTGGCCGCCATCGACTTCGCTCCTAATAGTTGCAGCGTGATGTTATATAGCCTAAAGCCTTCCTCGATAAATGGTCTATTCAGCACAAAAATAATTTTTCAATTCGGACCAGTAATTCCTGAGATTAACGCGTTCACACAAACAAACTCTTCAGCTTTATAATATTAGTATAGATTTAATAGTTTTTGACTGGTTTAAAAATTTTACCCTTTTTTTTTACAAAACCAGACAATTTATTGTATTTTGACTTAAATATTTGCAAATCGTCTTGACGATAAAATATGCTGGTCTAAAATTGTTAAACTATTTTGTAACCGTAATTTCGCAAATAAAAATTATTTATATTATGTGCCACCATTATCATCAACCTATCGATATCATCACCGGCCTATAAGTGTCTCCAGTGCTGGGCACAGAAGAAGAGAGAAAGGGCCATGACCCGGTATGTGAGCCCAAACGGGCTCAGTTAAAGTCTGCAGATGCAGCCGAGACCGATGGCTTAACGTACATTCCGAAGCACGGAGGAGCTCGAGATAAGAATTTTTTGGTCACCTATCCTATGACTGGCCGTTGCGAATTTTACTTAACAATTGTATCGCAGACCGAACTAGAACTATTACTGATATATTATCTACAAAAGATTAACAACATCAAAGTATTACGAAAATAATCGCTTCTAAAACTCAGACAAGTCTGTGCCCACCCTAACATTAGGACTGTAATTATTAACTTATGTCTTATGTCTGTTTTACACGTGATTAAGTAGATTTGTAACATAAATTGAAGCGATTTAGTACGTGTTACACAAATATTTTTTTGTATTTAAAATAAATTGTAGCTATATTTCCCTTTTGCAAAATTAATTGTGATTTATAATCTGTGGATAACAAGAACCGAATCGCGGGAGGCCATGACAGAGCATCCTTTGATGATCCATTAGTTTTCCAACTCGAAATAATAAAAAAAACTCAATGTCTCTTTATTGCGTGTGAAACCAATCATTGAAATGTGACGTCACAGCTCGAAATGTCACGTGACAAACAAAAACATCTTTCTTTACTTAACAACACTTTGGACAAACATAAATCTGATAGTGATTTATTATGATCGTATCAGTTTTAAAATACTTTAACCAAAACAGTCAACCAACCACTGCCAACCGAATCAAGTCAAAAGAGTTACGTAGACTTGATGATGTAAAAAAAAAAAAACATTTACCAGCTCTGACGCATCGTTCGAAGACTTCTTTATCAGTGGAACCGAACGATTCATTGCTGAGTGAGCCAGGTGACCTCGCCCGGTGAGGGAGACCTGCCTTCACTGTCTGCTCGAATATCTCCCGGTCCGTGGAACCGAACGAGTCCAGGCTCACTGAACTGGCCGAGTCCACGTCGCGCTGGGGAGGGCGAGGGTCGCGACTACGGTGTTCTGTTAATTACCATACACGTAAAAACTTAGATAATATAATTAATCGGAACTAATACAATAAGGATGATGACTAATTTGCGTTTGTTTGTCCGTCAGGTAGTGTTAAAAATATTAAACACGTATTTTTAAATTTTTTTCGTAATCATAAAATTACGGCGTTACATTGAGTTGAAAGTTCGCATGACGTCACGTTAGAGTACGTTTTCTACTCAACTGTGACGTAGCGAGCCCCCACTCCGCAACTTTAATGCCTGTTAACTAAGCTATTTCTTGTTAAATTGAAGAAAAAAAAAATACGTATATAATATTTTTCTATTATCTGACTGACGGACTAAATAGAATTGCATTTTTTTTACCCAGTCATGATCCCAATTAAAATTAGAAATAGAGACAAAGACAACTTTTTGAAATATTTTTTTATTTTGTAGATATACGTGAAATGTATCTAAAAATAAATATTAAAAAAGGATCATTCATATAATAACTTTGATTTAATTTAATTTTCGAAATTTCCCGCGGATACCCCGTCTTCTGTCATGGCGTCGCTATGACGTATGCGTAAGGTTTAATTCTCAAATTTCTGAGATGAGTAACGACCAACTGACCGTTAGCATTAAAAATCTGGTCAACTTTCTTCAGTCTTTTCTTTTATAATAGTTATGTTTATAATGACATTTTTTTACAAATCATTGATGGAATTCATTTAAAATATTATTTCTTTAAAAATATTTCAATCAGTTTGTCTCTATTGAACAATTTTTAATTTTAACATGTTATTCGCACTGTTAAACCATCATCATCCTCATTGGCTATTTACGTCCCCATTGGCAGGGCTTAGGCCTTCTTTATGGATGGTTAAGAAGGATGGACAGTGACCCTCAACGCTGGCTTAATGCGGAGGATATTAACGGGAGGTCCCGGGAGGAGGAGGATAATAAAAATTTAAAAAAATTTGCTTAACAGCAACGATCGCGTGTATAGTACGTACGTGCGGGGGGCGGGGGCGGCGCGGGGGGCGCGGCGTGGCGCGGCGGCAGCGGCGGCGCGCGGTCGGAGCTGCAACTGCCGCTGCCGCTGCGGCTGTACAATAGAGAAGATATATATATATACTAGCTTTCGCCAGCGGCTTCGCCCGCGTGGACCCTAGGGAAATGTTTAGTGGGATAAAAAGTATCCTATTATCTAAGTCAGCTAACACCCTATCTGTATATCAAATTTCATCAAAATCCGTTCAGTAGTTTCGGTGTGATTGACGTACAAACATCCAAACATCTAAACATCCAAACAAAGAAACTTTCACATTTATAATATTAATAGGATACTAGCTTTCCACCAGCGGCATCACCCGCGTGGTCTTGTATTATACATAAAAACCTCCCTTTTGAATAACCCTATCTATGAAAAAAAAAACTGCATCAAAATCCGTTGCATAGTTTTAAAGATTTAAGCATACGTACGGATATAGGGACAGAGAAAGCGACTATGTTTTATACTATGTAGTGATAATCAAAATATTTACTTAGATAATATTTCAATGAAATCCTGCAAAATCTACACGTATATTATAAAGAGAAAAGATTTCGTTGTTTGTTTGTTTGCAAAGAATACGCTCTGAAACAGCGGGACCAATTTTAAAACTTCTTTCACACACGGGAAGCTATATCATATACGGATAACATAAGCTTTATTGTAACAGCAAATTGAATAAAAATGGGAGTGGAAATTTGTATAGGAAATTAAAACATTACTATTGTTTTACAATTCGATATGTCATTGTAATTTTATTCGAAATTAAATTTTATTTTTTCATTGTAAGGAATTATAAAAACTAGTGAAACGAACGCTGTTATTTGAAATTATTAATCTACTCCTGTGATGTTGTTGGTCTCGTATAAATAACCCTGTATATTTATAGCATATTAAAAGGACTATCTCAAAAGATTAAGATTTTGTATAAATTAGAAAACCAAGCGAGTTGGAGACTAGAACACACATTTGATACAAATAATGACGCTAATTTAGGAATTAGATATTACAAATAACTACGGCTCTAGTAAAATGCATGCCAAAATTTGTATCTCTTCTAAAAGACATCAGAAAACAATTCCACAAAACTAAGCTACTTTCTCAATTTAAAATGAAACAATAAATACACTCACCTGTCGCGTATATTTCTTGCGAAATCATGAGACATCTTCACTGTTTCAGTCGAGGATCGCAAGTGCGGCGGCAGTGATCGCTACAAAATAAGTAATTTTTCTATTAATTAATTTTACGACTAAAAATGTTTTTTTTTTTTTTCATTTTTGTGTTTAAGGTCTCAGGGAACTCTTATAGGTATCCTCGCGATTCTTAAGGGCCCCACAGGCGAGTTGGAATACTCTGTTCTAAGAATTAAGATTTTCTTATACTGTAACATTTTTACTCGTATTTGTTATGTCACAAACTTTAAATTAATGAAATCGAAATATATTGGAGAAAGATTTTTTTCTTTTAGGTAATCCACAACTGTATAAAAGCAATACACAGACTATAAAAAGAAAGAGAGGAATTTTTTCAGCTACTAATAGTTAATTATTCAACGTACATCATCATCATCATCATCATCAGCCTTTTTACGTCCCCACTGCAGGGGCTCAGACCTTCCTTATGGATGGATAAGGAGGATGGGCATTGATCCCCCACGCTGGCCCAATGCGGATTGGAGGGTAATAACGACTGCAAATGCAACCGGGACCGACGGTTTAACGTGCCTTCCGAAGCACGGAGTAGCTCGAGATAATAATTTTTCGGTCACCCATCCCGTGACCGACCCTTGCGAAAGTTGCTTAACAACAACAACTACGATCACGGCCCCCGGCGCTAATCCCCTACGCCACCGAGCTACTACAACGTACAGTGTTATATTATTGACGCAACTTACATAAACATCGCTTCTAACGTTGAATGGCCCAGTAGACACGTCCGCTGCAGGCCCTTTGTTCTTCACCACCTGAGGATAGATTTCTCGTTAATAATTAAGATGGAACTTTGTTTATATTTCACAATCAATTGGAATTTTATAAGAAATATATTTCTTTCGGCTGTTCGGGTAGATTGCCTGAACATCGATGATAATACACTCTGTAGTTGCGGTAAAGTAACAAGTGCTTGAATAATTCGTTAGACCTGTTAGATCCTGGGTAGCTCAGTGGTTGGAGCAGTCGCCCGGATTGCGGAGGGTCATTCCGTTAACATTTCAGAGTGCCATAACAAGGTGGATTTTATTTTTATTATATTTTTAATTAAATATGGAATTTATTATCTTTATTTTTTAAACTTATTTTCCTTGTTGCTGCTGTGAGACGGTTAAAACGTGTGACGTTAAACGTTTGTTTCTCAGTAAATTATTGCAATATTTAGCCTTTTTAATTTTGCCTTTGTTGTTGTATGAGACGGTGACATTCAAAATTTAAAAGGAAATATTGAAATTCTCATTTAAGAACCTAATTTTAAAGTTAAAACAATACTATATTGTAAAAAAAAAAAAAATTAAAAAACAACATTACTTGAGTTTAATCTTGAACTAGCCTTACCCGCTATTCGACACGGTCATTTCCAATGTCAACAGTTTTGAATATTATTCAGTTATTTTTTAATATACACACCTTATCGATCCCTTTCTGTATGCACTCCTCTAGCAAGTCACCGGCGTCGCTCATGTTGGAGCTGTCGGATGTATCGGCGGCGTCATGCTCGTGCACGCGTCTGCCGTTCCTGCGCGCGCTCACTTTCGCTATCCCCTTCTGTATGCACTCCTCTAACAGATCGTTCGCGTCGCTCAGGTTGGACGAGTTTGACGAATCGGTCGAGTCGGCGGGCGGCGGGGGCGCGGGAGGGGGAGGGGCCGACTCGATGGACAGCGCGGACAGATTCGAGTTGCTGCCGGCTTTAGATAGTATGGCGGGGGTGTCTTCCGTGAAGTACACTTGGCAGACGTCGCTGGGAGTTTGTGTGCCTGGCAATTGGGTTTACAATTTCTTAGTAATCACTACGCGTCTTCGCCCGGCTGATAAATATAAACATTTTTTGTTCATTATGTAAACTGGATATTATTTAAAATAGAACCCAGGGATTGAGCTTGTTAAAAAGGGAAAATATACTGTAATCCCGAGCAATAAGAATATTGTTACCTTTGTAACCAGCGTTAGGAGTAGAACTGGATGGTGGTAAACAGGGAACGTGCTCTCTGAAACAAAACATTCAATATGACGTAATTCAAAATCAAATTACATAATTACTTTTAACATCATGTTGTTGATATATAAATACTGAAAAGGGACATCTATAAATTGAGGATTACCTCATTTCGTCTCTTTCTGACAACAGTTGATATTGGTCCTTCGTGGGCGCCGCAGTAGGCAGTTCTTGCTCTTTGATTAGCCGTACTGATGCCTGTGGGAGAGAAAATCTTATTAAAATTGACCTAGGTTGTACTGAAGCTGCTTAGTGTTTTAAAAATAGCGCAAAACCTGATAAACTAAATAGGATCTAGCCGAAAAGTCCGTTTCGTGAGAGGGACATGTGAATGTTTCGGATTCCATGAACAGCGTTCATACGAACAAATCTATCCTTCGAGAACTTTATATGAAAAGTAAAGCTCTTTAATATTTGCTTCGAAAGATTCCGAAAGAACGGAAATAATCTAAAACAATGATTACTGGGAGTGAAATAAGGAGGTGACCTCTAAGAGGTCCCATTCAAGCTGTACGATGAAGTCCTCGCTGTTGCAGACAGTTACAAATGTAGAAAAATCATAAAAGATTAAATATCCACCAGTAATTGGATTCATGAAGCTCAGTACTAAGATATTCCATCTCTAGAGAACAAAATATCAATGATACAGATTCATAAAACATTTTCAGCACTAAACTTGAAATTGCGCATAAATTTGTAGCGGAATTTGGACTCCATTTGAACAAAGTCTGAATTCGAGGATTCTATAAAACGTTATAAACCCTAATGTATGTATCCTTGAATAAAAATTTAGACATTACGCGCTATTTTTTGTTAGCGATTTATTCTTCTGAAAATACTAGTTACCACAGGTGTTACAGAGTTTACCGAATTCGATTGCTAACTCAAAGCGATTGTAATACTTATAACAATTGTTATAAGTCTCTATAATTTGGTATATCTTTATTCGTTAGGCGCGAACAGAGTTCAACTATCAAATTAAGATTCCTTGCATCATCATAATCAAAACTACACGCCTAGATATTGCTAAATTAAATTTCGTATTCCGCAAGGGTCGGTCAAGGGATGGGTGACCCAATAATTATTATCTCGAGCTACTCCGTGCTTCGGAAGGCACGTTAAGCTGTTGGTGCCGACTGCATTTGCGGGTCGTTAATACCCTCCAATCCGTATTGGGTCAGCGAGACGAGTCACGGCTCATCCTTCTGAACCATCCATAAAAAGGTTCGAGTCCTTGCAGTGGGCGCGTAAAAGTCTGATGATCATGGTATTTGACTTGGTATTTTCGGATGTCACCGAGATATATGTAATGATGTACAGGACTGACCTTGTGGTCATCGTCTATGGTGAGGCTGCTGAGGCTGGTGGAGTAGGAGAACTGCGCGGGCGTGTGCTCCACCACGAACTGGGACACGCGCTCCTCGAACACGGACGCGGGCCCGGCCTCTGGTAACCGCCAGTCACAACACGTTAGGTACGCATTATACAAATATTCTTTAGTTCAAAAAGAAAATCTTGTAATTTTTATGTTATGTTTTGTTAACATACTAACAAAGCAGATAGAGAAGAAAAATGGTGTGTTTAAAAATGTTGCTAAGTATGTGTATCTGTAAGTTTATGACAGATCGTTGTCGATATACTTTTTATTCCTTAATATAAAATTTTTGTAACGTTGAATATAATATAACGTTGAATATTAATAAAAATGTTTTATTACCGTTACAAAAATCTCAAAAAAAAAAAAAACTAATTTTGTACATCGATTGAAATTGTGTCACCAAAATATTATAAACATTACAGTATGTGCGGGGTGTAGAGTACGGTATGTGCTCGTGTAGAGTACAGTATGTGCGGGATGTAGAGTACAGTATATGCGGGATAGAGAGTACAGTATGTGCGGGGTATAGAGTACAGGAGGTACCTGGCGGCGGCGTGGGCGGTTGGGGCTGCGCGGGCTCGGCGGGCGGCGAGTGCGGGATGCTCTGCCCCGCCGAGTCCGGGATCTCGCTCGGTGACAGGCAACCCGACGCTAAACGACTACACACCACGAACACGTATTAAATTATTATACTACTAGCTGACCCGACAGACTTCGTCCTGTCAAAAAGATTTGTAATGTGGCAGTTTTTTTGCCTATGTATTTAAAAAAATTCTCCTGAACAGAACCGTCACCCTGGTGATGGGGCGTTGTGAATAAAAAATAATTAAATAAAACATATATAAGGATTTAAAAGTAAGTAATCGCTTTATTGTTAATCATGTGAATCATAATTATTATTGCAATGTATTAATAGTAATAGTATTAAATATAGAAAAAAGAGATTTTTATGATCATAAAAACACATTACACACAACAGCATTATAAAAGTAAACTATTCGAATTAAAAAAATATATAAACATTCTCAAGGAAAAATGCTGGAAGAATCCATCTACCTGTACCCCGGAATGGGACTCGAACCCATTCGCGATCCAGGGACTGCTCTAACCAATGAGCTATCTAGGACCCAACAGCTTTGCTACTACAGAGCGTATTTTCATCAATGTTCCGGCAATACATGTAATGACGTGGAAACTGATGCATTTTATCTCGCGTGCCGAAACTAATACAAAAGAAACGCGAGTTTCGGAACGCGACATTAAACTCCTCCAACTATGTATTCTGTGCTCCAACGCACACACGCACATTGTTTTGATAGATATGATCTTTGACGTTAGGAACACACCTACATTGCTTAGACAACAGTGAGTGCTTGTAATTTAATATGAACTTTATACCATAGCAATAAAGCTCAAATTGACTACGTTTTAGTTACAAATCATTTGTATGGGAAAAAGAAAAGGGCTATTTTTAGGGTTTTTCCAGCAATAATTCTAATTTTTCTCGCCGTAAAAACCATCCTTGAACTTCAACGAACATTTTAAAAAAAGATTTGGCCAAATTGGTCGAGGCGTTGTTGAGTTATGCGCTTACCAACACATTTTGCGATTCATTTTTATATATATAGATTGATTACACAGTATACATCTAGGGTTTGGGTCTCGTCTAGGACTTTTCAAAATTTTAGTTCTCTTATAACTTGTCATGTCTTTATGAACAATGTCTTAACGAGATTCTTTCAATAAAAACCTAAGTGAAAACTGACAAAATACACTGAATTCTGCGATCGTTTGTTGGGAATTCACAAATCCTAATCATACCACTATACAAACTGAATTACTACTACTCGTACTAATTAACATGGCACTCGGTGCTCGGAGAGGAGCTCGGTGGCGCATTGGCTAGCGCGCCCGGTCTGCGATACGGTTGTTAAATAAAATAACTTTCACAATGGCTGGTCATAAGATGGGTTACCAAAAATGTATTATCTCCAATTCGTTCGTGCTTCGGAAGGCACGTTAAGCCATTGGTCAGTCGTCAATACACACCAATCCACCGGGCCCCCGTGGTGGGTCATGGTCCATTCTCCCCATTCGATTCTATCCATAGGGATGGCGTGAACCCCAGGAGTGGGGACTTTAATAGTCTGGTGATGATCAAATCTAGAATAACTGACCTGAACTCCGAGAGCACTGATCCCTGGTCGTCGTGCGAGCAGTCCGGCAGCGAGCCAAGCGAGCTCGAGCGCGAGAACATCAGCGGAGTCTCCTCCACGAAACGCGGCGAGATCGCGCCAGGCGGAGTCGCCACCACAGATACAGGCTCACGCGCGAAAGTCACCGCTTTAGACCCTGTGCAATCACGATAACAATTAATAACAAGACAATTTGTAGTAACCTGACGTGCTGAAATAGTACAGAGAATAGTACAAATGTTACTACACTTATATATCCGTGACAGTATAAAAACTTAAGTATAGTGATATCCCACTAAAGCTGATATTATGATGATGACAGTAGCTCGGTGGCATAGTGGATAAGCGCCGCGGCCCGCGATCGAAGTCGTTAAGCAACTTTCGCAAGGGTCGGTCACGGGATGGGTGACCGAAAAATAATTATCTCGAGCTACTCCGTGCTTCGGAAGGCACATTAAGCCGTTGGTCCCGGCTGCATTTGCAGTCGTTAATACCCTCCAATCCGCATTGGGCCAGCGTGGAGGGTCATGGCCCATCCTCCTTAACCATCCATAAGGAAGGCCTGAGCCCCTGCAGTGGGGACATAAAAGGACTGGTGTGGTGTGTGTATGATGATGTCAAAATGAATTAATGTATATCTTTACTACGACATTTACTAGACTATCGTGACTTCTGAATTTGTGTATCAAAAAAAAGTTTTAAGCTTTTTCGCGGGATTGCTACCATGTAACTTGTTTTTGTTGATCTAACAACTGAATCGAGCTACATAAGCACAGATTATCTCGACTGAACGCCACTATTTACCAAGTATGATCAGGACCAAAGCACAAGAATTACAATCGTGAGGATAGGTTTTAAATGTTGAGTGTCTGAAATCCAGTGGTTTGTAATTGTAAAATTATGAAGATAAGTAACAAAACTGTCGTTTCGCGACCCGACACAGTGTGTGTTGTGTCGAGAACAGGTGCGACATAGTGAATAGTGGTAAGGATATCGAACGAAAAAGGACTAGAAAGAAGGTAGATAGATATATCTGCCAATGACACCCATCAGCAAAATCTTCAGTTACCCCGTCATCATAAAATATCGGAAACTCAACAAAAACAACATGGTAGCAATCCCGCGAAAAACTATTATTTTAAAAAGATGAATATGATTAAACGAATACTATTGATTTCCAAGGTTTGGTTATTATGAAGATCACCATTTCTAGGAATCCGAATTCGAATTCATGCAAAATAATGAAAGATTAGGACGCACGCGAGTAATGAGGCATCTATTTAACAATAAAAAAAAATTAAGATATACATGACTACATTAAAGACGATGATGGGTAATAGAATGCTTTCCTCACATTATTTTAGAGTTCACAAAAAAGAAAATTTTTTTTTCTCACCTTCTTTGTCTTTTACAGAACTACTGATGTTAGTTTCCTGGGGACTGGGTTCAACGTTGATGGTAGCCATTGCGTTCTTCTTAGCTAAGCTGTCTTCCTCTGTTGGTTCCCCGACGCTGCTGAGCGAACTAACTCTAGAGAAATATCCAGGCGTGCCTTCATCGCAGTAATTTACAGGTTTTTCAGGACTTGCCATGCCTGAACTGAATTTAGTGTCGAAGACCTCCCGTTTGGGTTCAGTTTCAGGCAAATCAGCTTGAGGAGTGGTCGCGGCTAAGTCGTTGTCGTGCCGCGGTGGATCCTCTATCGAGCACGTATCCTTTTCATCCGAATGAGTCATCACCTCGGGGTTCTCTTTCACACTAGGAGTCTTCTGCTTCGAATCTTTGGCGATCACCCGAAGATCCGACATAGAAGTCGCCGTAGAGAATATTATAGGCGTTTCGTAAGGCGTCCCTTCGGTGGCGAAGTGTTTAATAGTATCCGAGGGGCCGGGGGGTTCTGAATCAGAACCAGTCTCAGACTGATGTTCGGCGTAACGCAAAGAGTAATCAGTCGGTTGATCCAGATCCGTTTCTTGGTAGTCGCCGAAGGTATTAGGGCTATCTTTCTTTGGATATTTTTTCGTCGTTTCGGGCGTTTTAGACTTTTCCAATGAATCCCCATCATTCGCCTTGGTTTCTGAATACTTCTGACTATAATCTATAGGTTGGTCACAAGAATCTTGGTCGACGTCGTAACCAGATTCTGTGAAGTTAGTTCTAATATCTGTCGTACTTCTTGGAGGAGGGATAGGCGGTTGAGTGGGGAACTTCATGAAACCTTCTTTGCTATGTGTTTTTGATACTTTGAACGCTTCACCACCTGTTTCCGTTTTCATCAAATCTTTACTTCTAGGCGTCGGCACGGGAACTTTGCCAGTGCGCATAACTCGTTCAAAAACTGAATCGGAATGCGTACTCGTTACAGAGTCTTTACTCTCGGATCTGTTAACATTACCCGAGCTACCGCTCGTAGTGGATCTATTTACCATCGCACCTTTCAATAAAGTGTTACTGCAGCTCAAATAACTCGCCAAATGTGCGCTGTGACTTAGCGATATTTGTGATGTTAGCGTTCCCATTAATGGCGAACTGGAAGTCATTCTGTGTCTTTCAAGGTTCATAGCTATCTGTCTTTCAGTTGCTGTAAACAAATTTTTCTCCTCCCTATTACTGGTAGATGGAGATGTGGCCGGTTCAATGTTATCACAAGTTTCAGATAAATTTTGATCTAATTCTTGCTCGAGAGCTTTCTGTTTACGCGCCCCTAAAGTTGGTAGAGCAGGTAAATTCATACTCCTAGCTGTAGTATCTAAAGAGATTATGTGCGTTTTTCCTGGTTTAGAATTGAGTAAATTTTTAAGAGCAGCGCTCGAGCCCATCGCGATCATTTTATGTTTAGAATGGATAAGACTTCTGAGCATCGGCACCGCTCCATGGTCCCAGAGGAATTCTTGGTCCTGAGGGCATCTCGCGGAAAGATTCCACAAAGTGCCACAAGAGTTGCTAACAACTGTCAGACTCGGCGATTTCAGGTGTTGCAGTAAGACACTTAAACAATTTCTCTCCCGGAGAATTTGCCTGTATTCTTCTCGAACGGCAATTTGACTCGAAACGTTTCTCATTATGCCGCCTGCATTTTCTACGATCGCTAATGTTTTTGTAGGTGAATTGTAGCTTAGCATATCGACGAGAAAGCCCAAGGCTCCGTCGACTGAGCATAAGGCCACTTTATTCATGGTACAGTGGGCCGTCAAGTTCCATAGAGCAGATAAGACAGATTTAAGAGTGGCTTCTTTCTGACATGTCATCGCAGCTTTAGTCAAACCTTTGACAGCACCAACTTCTCGAAGAACTTGCTTGCTGTTCGTATCTGCTCTCCAGGATAAATTTCTAAGCACAGCTGCTGTAACCTAAAAAGAAATAAACGAGTTATTAATATATGCAGACAGTCTTCTAAAAAAAAAGTCAATCGATAATCATTATATATACCTGTCGCATATCGTCATTGGGAGATTCTAGTTGTTCAACTAAGGCTAACATAAAGTCTTTAAATGAACAAAGCAAAGACTTATTATTGCCATCACCGAACGTTAAGTTGGTTAACGTCATACCAGCGTATTTTCGCATAGTCAAACAGGTATTATCATCAGTTCTGCTACCATGTGCTGCTTGGTCACCGCTTACTAAAGCGGCTAGTGCTTGTAAGCCACCCAACTGGCAAACTACATGTCTGTGTTCCTCATCAAAAGATAGCTTCATCAAAGCCGCTACACTTTGACTTGGGTGTTTAGTGGCATCATCTTCAATAATTTCTTTACCTTCTTTTCTAGCTTCTACGACATCTTCTAAAACATAACAGTATTCTCTAACTTGTTCTAATAATCTCCATACTCTTGCTTCCCGCCTACCTGCTTTGTCGTCAGTTTGAGTGTATATAATATTGCGCAATGCTTTAGCAGCACGATCTCTTATGTCTCTAGGCACTTTTGAGTGGATCAATTGTACTAATAAAGGTATACAGCCCGCTTGTCTCATTGCAATGCAACTTTCAACAGATCTACTCATTTCTAGAAGTGGTGCACTAAGATCTGCATTATTTTCAGGGGATAAACTTAAAAGAGAAATTAAAGAAAAAACGCAGTCCATTTTGTTATCTAAGGTAGAGGACGGCTGTGGACAATCATTTGAACCGTTGCTGGAAAAACTTCGAACACTAGAAGAGTCATGACTTGTCCAGACATCGCGCTCCCCTGGCCAGGTCCCTCTGTATAGCTGCGAAGCTCGTTTATCTCGTTCGCTTGACCTGGCCGCACTTTCCAATCCATAATGCAAAGCTGTTCTATAACTAGTCCTATGCGGTCGATCTTCCTGAGAGGAATATGTAGAGGATTGTGGTTTTATTTGCCGTTTGGGGAGCGCTCCAGATTTTTTTTGTGCTATATTGTCATCACAATCAACCTCATCGTCAAGAAAGTTTGGATTAGTAATGTCACTTCGTTCATCAAACTCGTCAGGCGAGGGTGAGTGATCTAAGAAATGAGGTTTAGGAATACGGCATTCAATGTTTGATTTGGACGGAAGCTGGTAATCTTCGTCAAGAAAATGAGGCCGGCGTGGGAGAGGATCGGGCTCTAGAGTCTCCAATTCTAATGTCAAGTCACGAGAGCGCGCCTTGTCTTTTGTTTTCGTAACTATGTTTTTAGTAGCAAAGGATTTGGCATCTTTTGGGTTAGTTAAGTGGCGCGCAAGGGGGGAAACAGGAGACTGTGCATCTAGAGGCACGCGTGGTGGTTCGCTTGACGTAGACGGAGTGCAGTCGTCGCTGGCGGAAGGTCCAGAGTCAGTTAATGGTGAATTCGAGGAGTCCATGCTGCTCCAAGGATCTACCATTACTTCGTTCTCCAACTGTAACAAGAATAATAATTTGAAAGACCATAAATCCGCTACTGTAGATTGAGGTAATAATTTTAAAAAGATAAATAAGGTAAGAACCAATAAATATCGTTTCTCGGTTAAGGCTAACCCGTCAAACATGCACCATGAATACATATTTTTACTAAAAGGCTGTAGTCAATGTTGCAGAAAAACAAGAGTGCGTACAGACGGTAGTTGGAAGGAAACCGGGTGCAATGACGAGCAATTAACTTTGTAGTTCGCTCATGTCACACATAACAGATTTATTATATGAATAGTACGACCAATATAACTTGTTACATGTACATATGTAATATTTTTAATAAATAGGTATTCGTCATTTGGATAAATCATATATTCGCATTTAAGCATGAAAGCTTTGATTGAATTATTATAGTATAACTACGAATTAGGTATTTACTACTGATTGAATAAGATAAATGGCATGCCCTATCCGACTTTAGTGTTGTTTATTGACTGCAAGTTCCAATCAATTGCAGGCAATTCTCTACGCGGTGCACACAATAGGGGGTACTGTTCCGGTAAACAATAGTAAGCGGCAACGTCGGTGCCTGTGAATCGCCACGTTTAGGACGCTCGCGTCCATTTCAAAGTATTAGCACAATTTTGTTCATTACCTATAAGATATGCTATAACATCAACCGATTATAATACCTGGCCTACAGTTAGGTAAACATAATAGATAAAATTTAATTATAATCTAAGATGTTATCGCTAGGTGTATAATTTTCTATTATCGTGAGACTACACGTAGTGGTCCGTAGAGCGAAAAGAAATAAACATACGAAGATAAGACTTCCATAATTTTGTCAATCATTATTCACTACACTTACCAACTCGCTATCATTAGAAGTGGCAACATCATCAAGCGGATTCCCATTTTCCATATCGACCCCAGAGTCATTGGGATCGCCAGTTCTTCTCCTGACCTCTTTCCTAGTTAAGTCTTGGAAGTTGTTTCTTATCGGATTGAAATTCATCCTGAGGTCCGTTGTGAAATCATCATACAGTTTGAACTGGTTGGCATTGAACTCCGTGTCATTATCGAGCACGTTATCGAAATGCATCTTGGAGCGATCAGAACCTTTACCGCTGTACGTCACTTTGTAATAGTCGCGGGAACTCATTTTGTTGGTGTACTCACAGTTTGGTATGTTTTACAGTTCTAGCTCATGCCTGATAGATTTACGGGTCCTATAAATATAATAACTGACGCATAAGAAAGAGCCATTCTAATCGGCGAATGCTAATATTCACAAAGTTTGTGTATTGGATACCGTCGTAATACGCTATGGATTGATCCTAACGATGAACATCAAAACAAGCTCAGATATATTTTGGTCGAAATAACAATAATTTTATATGAACACTGTTGCATCTTGAAATAAACCAAAGAACACTTTATACTATCTTGCTCCAGATTACAGTAGCAAAATAGGTCGGTAATAAACAAATTTTATATTTGGATCTAAAGGAGTGTTGTTACGGGAGATAAGAATTTTAAATTTATTATGTACACCATTCCTCTATTGGAAGTACGCCAAATAAGAATGAAAAATTGCTTAGTTGATTTGTGTTTGCGAAAAAGCTTTTAGAGTAAATATGTAAGCTAACAAGGCCTATAAAGCATATAAAAAATAATAATGCACCCGCGCACCATGTCTTTTTTTAACGAACCCGCGAAATATATGAGCGCAGTGCGTACGAGCTATTTTAATATACTACATGTTGCATAAGCGGTTATATTAACGAGAGAAACGCCGCCATATGTTAAACATGTTATCCCATCATTACTGGCACTAAAATATACCATTACAGCGATGACGCTCGTAAACGATCCACTTGTAATTAAACTTGAAATAAAAGTCTGTTTTTATTTGACGTTCGCAAAGTCTAATGAGAAATAGTTGTTTTAGTGGAAATAAATTGCTCCTAAATAATCTATTTGAACATCAAAATGGATATTTGAAATAACTTAGCCCGGTATTAGATTTTCCAGGAGTTGAGTGAATTTACAAACGCCATGATTAGTGTTTCGTTCGAACTAAGATTTGTTTTTGGGAGAAAATTTGTTACAGAAGATTATCTCAGCGCGGTAGCTAATACCCGCCTCCTCGGTATAACTTCGCTTCAACTCCTCGACCTAGTTTTAGTCAGCTTTGGTGTTTTACGATGGCCCTTTACTTTCCCTATCATCAAGTTTACATGCAGAGTACGACATGACATTGATTTAAATGCTTTTAAGTGTTTCGACGACACTTGGCTGTTTTATTTCGTTACATGATCCGATGTTAAATATCGTTACGTTCGAAAATTTAAAACAGCCTACGTTTCTATTTATCGTCAGTATTATTGATATGTATACAATAATATTTGAATACATTAATATATTAGGAAATAAATAAAATATTTCATGTCAAAGTAGTAAGTCAAAGCACATAAGTAATCGATAATCTCACTTAATTAATTTACCATGTACAGGCTATTACATATCATAGCCGACGATGTAATGTGGCATTATGTAAGATACAATGTAAAAGAGAGACAGATTATGACAAAGCACATGTTGAACCGGAAGGAACACAATATTTAAAGATTAAAAGAAACAAAGGAGAATTACAGGCAAACAAAGGCATGTGAAAATAAAAATGTTCCGTTCCCATGTGACATCAGCAAAGAAGGTAATTGATTGCCTATTGCCACGACTGCTGGTCAAAGCACAAAAAGTTTAGTATAATTGGGTCACCAAGACGCGTGGTGTAAAGAACCAGTGCCAATGAACTATTACACAAGTGGATGTTAGCAAAAAGGTCGTTACGCGTGGTTGCGCACACCTATAAGGTGCGGACGGCGCATTTATGAATTTAGGGCGCAGATTGTGCTTTCATCGCGGTATCGCCTGTTAGAAACATTTCAAACAAAAGCATGAGAATTCGAAATTTTTTAAAGACAACTATGTATGTGGCGATAAATGAAGCTTGCATTTCAGAAGAAGTAACTGCATCCAGCAATCATCAGCAAGAGAAGATCAAATAAGAACACGAGAACGAAAGAAGCGATTTGGCTAATTATGGTTTTGAAAAAGTTCAAGGAAAGATTGTAAGATGAGAAATTATGAAGAAGTTGTAAGCAAAATAGTATGTAAACCAACAACTTCATTTTCTCATACAAATTGTTAGACAGAAGACTTAGAATTGTGTTCAGCAATTAATTTTGTTGAACTTTGACCTATTATTTAATTTTGAGGCAGTCAGAAGTACCTCAGGTCAGCTAGTTATTCACATTAATACTGCGGCATAAAATCAAAAGTTATTGCTATGAAAATATCGATAACTTCTCGGATAGGTTAGAGTGCCAAAAAGCCCTACGGCAATATAAACAGCATTAAGGTTATGACTCTTAGTTATGTAGATATTTACAAAATTCTAAATTCGAAGTATTACAGGAGATACAAACTTCCAAAAATATTATTTAAAGATTCTACATGACATCGCAACGAAAAACTAATTACTACACTGTCAACTTCCCACACCAAGCAGCGTAAGGAAATAGTGCTCCAGTTATTTTACACTCTATTCCTTATACCCCAGGTTCTATAACGCTTTAACATGTGTAGCAGGCGAGAACTCACCTAGCCCTTTGGTGCCGCGACAAAACACGAGTCTCCAGGAAATGAGTCTCAAAATAGATTTTTTGTTTGAGAAGCTACTGAGTAACTTACAAATTCAATAATTCGTTTCATTTTTTGAATACAACTAGAAACTTTATTTTGAACATAGATAATGAAATATGGTTAAAATAAAATGATACATAAGGCAAGCCATGAATTAAAATATCAGTCAAAGTTCTCTCCGACCATTAGGCGCATGAAAGCAAAACAGCCACTGGTGAAAGTGAAGTTATGGAATTTCGCGATGCACCCAGCCATTATAGTAATTGGAGTGAGACGTCAAGACCAGACGGTAAGCTATGTCACCAACATGATACTGTCTCTATTTAATCGATTAAATGAATAACGAATTATAAAATGATAGCTTTTGCCCACGACTTTTTCCGCGTAGTATAGTTATTTTGGGCAGCAATTCTAGACACGCAAAACCTGTCAACTAAGTAAAAGCTTGGAGGAAAAGGACAACCTGATATAAATTTAACTTGACGGTCGCTGGTGTAAGTGTTGTAGGACAACATGATAATATCCAGAAATTGCTTATCCATATTAGGGCATGGCACTGGCCCCGTTGGCCATGTTAAGTTGAAATTTCATGTTGACATCGAATTATTCGCCGTGGTACTTTGACAAAACATTATCGTGAGTTAACCTTGGTGGATAGGTCATGTAGGAGAGTAAGATCGTGCTGAGTGAAAGCTGACTGACTGTATAATTATCAATTACGCAATGAACGTTATTACAATACTATCGACCAAATACATACCTATTAGTTATGGGTACCGCTCGGTTGTATTAATAACACATCAATCAACTCTAGACGGCAAGTGATTTGATATGTTTCGATAAACAGTAGCTCTTGTCGACACGACTATTACGCTTGTCGACTTTCAGTTATTGTATGATTTTTTTGGCAAAGACCAATGCTTTTGATTCTAGTTTGCAGTTTCCAATGGCGAATAACTTTAAGTAGTATAAAATTTAGCAATAATATTGTGGATTGGACAATATGCAAAATTTGAAAGTACCATATACCGTTCCATATATACGTCGTTAAATAGATGCATATCAAAACGTATTTTATCCGTAGTCAGAATAATATCGACGATTGTCAATATGTTGTCTTTATACTCACGATCATCACAGCCTTGTTTATGAATATAATGACATAGGGAATATAAGCTTTAGCCCGTTTCGTCAACAGGATCAACGGCTTAATGTGTCTTCCGAAGCATGAAGGGAGTCAAAATAATAAATCTTTAGAAAGCCATCCGATTACAGAAGTGGTTTAGATTAACCGCTACAATCGTAAACCACTACAGTTACTGTTAATTTGAGATCGTTAATAACAGCTTTGAAGCTTTGACTAATTGAAACGATTTCTAAGTTATTGTTGATAATGATAATTAAAATTATTGGTTGATTATCGGCAGTTAACCCAGACCGCGTCGCAAACACGGGTCAGTGCATCAGAGAACGGCGGAGTGGGCCTGCAATGCGGTAATATCAGAATATCCATTCGCCTTTGATACGCTCTCCGCCCACATATTTGGCAAATATCTCTGATGAAACGAGATTATATCTAAAAAATTACATTGTTAAATTTCAATATTGAAATATTTATACTATTGTGTAGGACATTCAACGGTATAGATTATTACTAGACTAATCTGATAAAGCTTGTCAATAATACAATAGAAGTGAATTATAGTTTAAATATCAACGCTTCGAGACTGGGCATATTTAGGTAGTAATTTTTGATATAATTCACTGCATATAGCAAAAACTCTATCTTTATAAATAGTTATTTTATTACAATTCTGAGTTTAAGCATAATAAATTGTTTATTAGTTCAAATTAATCTATATGTCGTCCAGCAGTTGTATAAATATATTAAATAAAAGCAACGACTGTATATTGTAAATACTTAAAGGGTGATAACTAAACGATAATAACTAAAAACTCTAATACGAAGGGCAGAACATGAAAAACATTAAAAAATAAACAAATCGCTTCACGAGCATGGTACGGAGATCGTTGAACTCAATGACGTAATGGTAATATAAGTATAGAGTAATAAAAGCAATTATTATAATTAAAAGACGACACGAAAATTAAAAACAATAGACAAATTACATTACATGAACAATAGTTAGAAAAAGCATTTAAAGACAAGAAATACATCAAAGGTACTTTTTAAATAGTATTGAGCGAGAAGCACAAGAAAACTGATTTTCAGATCACGCAGTAAAAATAAGAAAATTAAGGATATACACGCTGACTGAACATAAAGTAAAACAAAAAGTAGTTGTGAATATATACTAAGATATTGAAGTCGTAACACAACACATAATCTAGTTGAGAACGGCAACAATGAAACTTGCGTAACTAACGAATGATGTGGTGTCATTTTTATATGAACTCGGGTACGCCTCGACATAATTCGATGTATCGCTTCTGGGTTTACGTAATAATTGGATGTTTATATGTAAGGAACTGAACAGTAGCAATGTGAACAATAGCAGAC